TAAAAATGACATATGTATTAAAATTGAACATCGGCCAAAACACATCTTTTGACAGTTGACAAGAGAAATTTGGTGAACCTTTCGTATACCGATTGACAACTTAGTAGAAGAATGATTTCTTTCTAGATCAGGGTTCACCTTCCAAGAAGACACGATGTCCGAGTAATACCTGTTCCGCCGTCTCGGTAGTTTGTAAACAGACAACTGCTAACAAAAAAATTTTAATATTGTTTTTACAAAATATAGTGTACTCCATATATTAACCGGCATATCCAGCTCTATTGGGACAGTAGCGATAACTTACACTTAAGTAACAATAGTTTAAAAGCAGCTATTGCAATGAGTACTCAAAATCAGGCAATAGATTCATCGTATTCAAGGTACACCTAATCAAGCTTTGTTGGTGTCCGTCAACAAAAGCCATGTCTTCCAATTAAAACGTATTCAATATGAGAAATCTTCTCTAACCGTAGCTGGCTATCGGTAATGCGATTATATTGATATTTCGGACGTGGAATTTTCAACTTACTATTACATACGGCTTGGCATAACCAAGCAGGAACTTTTTATTTTCGGTGTATCAAGCTTGAAACAGGAACTAATAACAAGCTGCTTGTTTCGCTCCAGTTCGGTCATTGTTACTGATATGTCTCCGATAGGATAGATCCGAAGTTAATTATGTTAAGGAACAAACTGTCATTCGCCAGAAGCTATATGTATCTACTAATGATATGGTGCGATAGGCTTTAAATAGCAGAAGCCAGCGAAAGGATGAGATGACCTCACTTTGGTTCATTTTTTCGGTAACTGCGCTATTCAATTAACCCCTTAAAAAAATTCAGTTTTTAGAGCGCAAATAAATTAGGGGCTTCCAAAATGACTTAGTCATATTAGTAACTTAATCGTTGTTACGCTACCTAATTTTCATTCAATCAAACTGTTTGTCTCCTTTGAAAAATGGCTGAGATTTTTTAGCTCTTTCAGAAGGGTAATAGAAAATCATCGCTAGCCACTGCTTTACCGACTGTTATGGTTAGGTCTTTACATTGAAAAATAGTAGCCAAAGCAGCAACCCTTGTGATTGACTAATGTAACCATCATTTCGGTTGCTATAATTATTAGGAACGCTGTTATACCGCAGCTCCCTCCTCTAGTGCCCAAGCAGTTCTTACCGACAAAGGACAACTTGCAAGTTTGTTCAGGAATAACAAGTACATACAAGTCGAAAATCAATGTATCTTTATATCAATTAAAGAAACGGCGTTATAAGTACAAAGCTGCAAAAGCAAATAATAATAGACTCGCGAAGACGGCAAAGTTCCCATAGGACCTCATGCGTGGAGCCTGTTATTATTAGTCCTACCCACAGGTGCAGCCGGACGTCCCAATAGTAACAGCGGCTGAAAAATTATTAAATTCAATTACGATGTAGATTATAGAACAAACAATTTTGTTTTTCTGAAGCTCACCCTGTTACCGCTAAAGGTCGATGGTCCGCGGCCGATAGTCAAATTCAATGAATGCGATGACGGTCATACGAAAGCTATTACATGCACAGGTTTTACTTGTATGTATCATATAGTCACTCGACTTGGAAAAATTTCTGATAGCAAAACAAAGTTTCATAACTTGATAAGTATATAAATTCAAATCACAGTTGATACCAATACGGCGTACATTTCAAGCACACAGTAACAAAAAAGATTCTTCTCCGATGGGCAGGTACGCTTACATGTACATATACATAGGCACAAACCTGCCGATCAGCCTTGACTTTCTCGTCTGTTGCTTTTTGCTCCACTCGTCGTTTGCGGTCATCTGTGCCGTCGGCCTTCAAGACGACATCTACTCATTAAGCATTTGCTTATTGGCAGTTTTCTTTAGTTGTTACATCGTTGTCACTAATTCTATAACAATATAAAGTGTGACTGAATGTTTTATTCGTCCCAGAGAAGCGGCTTTACTTTACGCCCCACGGTAACGTACGACTGGAAAAGAATTCAGTCGTTCATAGATAAAAGTACAACAAGATAAAATTAGATAACCATGTCTAGTTTTATGTTAAGTAAGGGGTAACTTCTTCTAGTAGATTGCATAATAAAGCAAAAGCTAGTATTTCGAGTTTCGGAAATTTATTAACTGTCGCAAATGGCTGGTATCCTTTGAATTAAAAGCTCCTCCTCTTTAGAAACGAAGAAAATATAAATCATAGAAGAATATCTGCGATTGGAGATCTCTCCTTTTGCATAACACTGCTCTTACATACGTAACGATCGGCGGAAATAAAGAAAAAGAAAAACAATGTCATGATAGAAACCACGAGCAAAGGATTTAGTACGCGAATGAAGATATGAGTGTACCAAACCACATATCGTGCAAATTATTAATACCTGTTGTAGTAATGCAGCTTTTTTTACACGATTAATATGTACAACACGACATTGAAAAAAAGTGAACAGATAAAACATCTCAATACGTGACAGCAACAAGAATATCGCGGTGCTTTTGCGTGAAGGCGTGGTTTTATCCCCTCGTAGTTATGGCCAATGACGTTATTTCCGTAGTTATGATATCACTTTCTCTTTTCATGGTCCTTTTTTAAACTCTTGTGTCGCTTAGGACAAGACGTAAATATGCTTGTTCAGACCGCGTAATCCGATCGTAACATAGACCCCAATCCGTCCATAAGCAGATAATAATTATTACTCTTTGTCGCTAAGTATTTTTGGCAGAAGGCGTTGACGCGACTACCGGAACGCGTACCAGTTACTCTCCCAACAGTTGCCGCATATTTTTACAATGATAAATTTTAGTATTTACGACTAGAGGCCAGAGTTAACGAAGATGTCGTTCAGAAGATTTTTAGGTGCAATACGTCGGTTCTTCTCGACCACTTAAATCTACTAACTGGTGAATTCGAACTTTTCAAGCTCTATTTTCAGTTAACGTATGTATCTCTACTTTCAGAGTTCTTAGTAAAATAAGAACAAGCAACTGTTTCTGCGTCTCAATTGCATAAATCATGCGGCACCCGCTTCTAATACTATTTTTTTATTAGTTCGGTCAAAGTGAATAAATTTGTTATCGTTAAAAGTCCGAGTTCTCGCTATACTACAGCAGGTAACGAGTTTATCTTAAAGAGATGCGCTGGTCTAAGTTTCTATCCTATCTATATTTCGTCTCGTACTAAAGGCCAGCCGTCTGCTGTAGTGTCAAACGGTTCTAATAGCGGAATAACGATATCCAGACGTGTCTGAGATTCGAAAAGCATAAATGCATCTCGAAAACGAAAAAAATGCTGCAAAATATCGCATCGTTCCTAAATGGCGCCATTTTGAGACATGGGATGATACATATAAACAGCACACTAAAACGTATGACATGCGTCAATCGCATACGATTGATCGCCAAAACGTGTAAAGATCTCCTCAATAAAGCGTTTATTTTTTTACAAATCGCCTTTCGCAATTCATAAACATCTGTGGTAAAAATGTTTTCGTTTTGGACAAAAAATAAGTGCCTATTGTGACGTTTCTACCCAAAAAATGTTAAGAACTACTATCTCACGCACTATCGATCATATTCTCGAACGTGTCACGAGTGCCCTTTACTATACGGAATTGCGAATTTTTATCCTTAACTTAAACGCGATCATGGATTTGAAACTCGTAAAAATAAGTGACCACAGTGAATGTCTCGCACCAAAAGGCAGCCAGCTGCAGGGCTGTCACGCTGTTTTAATGTAAACCATTCGCTCGATCACATTGGTGGGTTTGTGGGTGAAAAAAAGTTCATCCTTTTCAACACTTGAGGGCGTTTACATCATGTGGTGTTCAGTGGGCCTTGCGCAGAAACAGATGGAAAAGGCATGATTTGTATTTGATACTGTACTGAAATAATGTAGTTAAAAGTCTTAATCGATACATCTCGATCAATAAAAATCGTATACTATTTTGCCGGCTATGCAATAAAAGGAAAGCTTTTAATTGAGCTAAATGACAAATAATTTCCCTACCCTTCAAAAGTTTTAATAAGAAATGATAAATAACGCCAGGATATGATTTTTTATTATAATGCACGTGGATCTATTAATTTTTCTCCGAACGTTTTAACGTTTAGTTGACTACGAACCTCTCCATTGTCTTAGCACCAATTGGCAATCACACAGACTTAGTTCGGTCGAATAAGTCTGTTGAGTCCAACATTGAATATTACTTTGCTAGATATTCCTTTGTTTTATTTTCGGCCATTATCTCATAGTACAATAACTCAGATAAAAATTACAGCTAATTTTTCAACACTAGCTATGCAGGCAGAAATAACGATGAACGCAAGAGTGAAAGTGGCCTTTGGGCACTGTCGAATGTCGACGACTGTAAATAATACGATTCTATAAGTAACTGACAGCCAACTTGAAGAATAGGTGCAACTGGAGAAAACATCTCATCCTTGCTGTAAGCAAGACCAATATTATTCGGATTGTCTTCATTATCCTGAGATGACGAAATCACAATGTTTTGTAACATCTACCACCTTCGTTGGCATTATAGAGATACTTTTTATTTGACTTCCTGTATATTTCAATTAGCCTTCTATGTAAAATTGCACCTTTAGGATTTAACTTTCTCGAGAACCGACTTGCAGCCGTCCCTCGTAAAACTTTCACCTAACGTTTACGCATCCTTTCAATGACTTATCAAAAAGCGTTCCGATACGGAGCACTAAACGAAAAAGAATTTGGTACCATGATACTGTTTTAGTTTTTTAAACCAAAGTGAGTCTAAGCCTGGACAACCTTTGTTTTAAGCAAATATGTTGTCGGGGCATACTTTCAGAGCAGACAGTTTACATGCACACGTATCGTCGTGGTTGTACTCTACAAGTAGCCTTAATCTATTTGCTAAGCTCATACACGTCACACGATAATGTTATGTTGTGTATCATAAAACATCCGCTTTTCTACCTTCCATCTGCCGTAGCGCATTCAGCTATCGCCTTACCAAGATCCCTGTTTTCGTTGTGAAATGAAAGGGAAGTCCTGCTGATTGTCACAACGGTCTTTGGTAAAGCGTAGGCGTACGAACCGCCAATAGGTAGCGACTTTTGTATCCTGGTGCACTGCACTTGTTTGTATCCGCAATGATTATTGCAGCAAGCAAAGTCGCACGCACACTACTGAAACCTTCATCTATACGGGAGTGGCAATTAGGGCGCACCCTACTTCGAAAACGACACGGTGTTTCCAAATCAAATTGGCTTCAGCTGTTATAGCACTACATTAATACTCACTACACAGAAGCGACGGTCCTGTAATAGTACATCTATTTTGCACTGTTTAATTAGTATTAGGGGTGTGCGCAGGAAACATCGATAGATCCGAGTACTTTGTACTTTAGCGTTGAGTGTTCCACTTGGCTGATACTAACTAATATTTTGCGAAAAAAATATGTACTTCCGTAACACCCTAGAGCGTAATGTATATCATATGTGTACTTTCGCCAGCACTTGTCCTGCTTTCTGTTCTAATTAAACAATTCAATCAGAGTGACGGCTTTTCAGGTGACAGCTGCGTCCTAGCAGGTGGCAGTTGGCGACAGATATAAACTGTCATCGAAGCTGTCATCACCTTATCATAAGGGCATCTCACAGGGAAACTGAGTTAGGGTACTACTACTACCCACTCTCACCATTTCAATGAAGTTGTTTGGGAACACTTGTATGTTCGTACATGTAAGAACAACGCAAAGAAATGTTATTACGACCGTCGGGGAAAGTATGTATTGCCCTGACTACACACAGGCGGCGGAAACGTGCCGATAACCACTATGGAAGTCTTCCTTTGTTCATTGGGTATACTGATTGCCTATTAGACATTAGTGCTGTTGCAGCAATTCACTAGAGGCTGGGCCTAGCAGGGATGGCTTGTTTACAACAGTCGTTCTCTTATGTAAAGAGCTATCGAGTTAGGACAGGTACCACAAAGAAAGCGTCATAGATTTAACGACGCCTATCACTTTACTGCTTCTTACTCACCTGATCCTCACCACCATTATGTGATAAAACTGTCTTTAATTAATTAGTTAGATTAATAGTCCAGTTGATATTAAATGGTAAAGTAGTAAATAGAGTATAGACTAAATCACAACATTAATTAAAATTGCGCATAGTTCGTTGCGATCAATCATATAGCAGTCGTAAGCATCGGGTTGACTAGGTAATTCCGGGGTAGCTGACCAGTTTTCACTAGAGTACGCGTCTCTGTAATATACTATAATATTAGAAATAATGATTCATTGTTGTATTTCGTAAAGCGTTCACCAAAATAAGTGAGAGTTTAAAATGACAGAGAACAACACATTTGCAACATTTCTGTGTTGTCCCTTCCTTTGCTCATTTCAATAGTCTGGAATTTTGTCACTAAGATATTTCTCTACAAGGCATTTCCACGTCGATGCCTGCGCAGTTATCGGTGATCTGTTTGCCCAATTTAAGAGCACAGGATCTGGTCACAGGACAATAATGATCTGCTTTTGCCGTAGTCTTAAAACAAGGAAATGCGCGCGGCTGTAAACGGTCGCGCAATGAATTCAGCAACAACCTGTTAAATGGATATGAACTGGTTCATTTCAAAACGAAATATGAGAACGTTATTGAGTTTTTTGCAGAGGCGAATTTAAAAATGTATTAATTTTATATCTACGTTTTAATGTATCAGTTAATTATAGCTCTTGGTTCATGATTAAATAGAACATTTCCCTCTCTCTGTATATATGTAAGGGGAGAAGAGTCAAACAGGGCCAAACGGCGTACATTCTCTACCGTTTCAGACATAGGACCGCATCGTGAAGACTAACTCTTTCTTCTGTTAGCCACAATTATCTTATAATTTAGAATATACCTTAGGTGCATTATTTCTTTTTTAAGCTTTCGTACTCGAGCAGATTGTATTCATTGAAATCGATTTTCGCAGTAGGGCAAAAATGCCTGCTCAGCTTTAGAGTTATTGTTTTAGTACTTGAATAATAAGACATATCTTTCCCTGCTATGTTGTACATTATTTACTAAATGCTTCGAGTTTCACACCAGGCAGTAAGTTCTTAAGGCATTATGTCAGACCCTCTAAGCACGAAACTAAGTGTGTCGAACCTAAACCCCCGGGTGTCCCTCCAGTCTAGCCACTACAACATCAGGGGGACAATATGTTACTTGCTAACAGTTCTAAAGTAATAATTTCTGTACATGTTTAAAGCTTCTCAGCCAGAGCTCGCTGATTCAGTTCCCGATGCTGACATGTTCTACGCGGTAAATATGATTAGATAAAGAAAGATGAAAATCTCTCAGCTCTAAGGCCTACGAACGCGGCTGATCTCCAGTGATGCGGTGGAGATTATTTCAAGTCGGTACTGAATCGAACGCTTATATTTTGCATTTGCTTTTCTAAAGGTAACGTGCCTTGACAAAGCAAAGCCTCAAATGAAAATGACTAGTTAATAGTACATACCTAGCCTAGTGTTTTGTGTCCGAAAGGGCCACTTCTGATTAGAAAGATCTCGCGTAGGATCATGTAGTAATTAGTGCGTCGTTACAACGATACTGATTAATCCGATTTGTAGCAATAAATGAAAAATCGAAAGAAATTCAACAGTATGCTGTTTCATATATAATGAAGCCTTACATCTTGACAGTAACTGTCACTTTATTAATACTACGAGCTAAAGTTAACCCGGCAAAACGCTTCCCATAAAAATTCTATCCTAATCTAGTTTTGTATAGCCTCCTCTTGAAGTACCAATTAATGATATCTGCCCGAAAATTTTCGACAACTATAAACATTCACAAGTATGTACATATTCCCGCAACGCCGAGCTAAGAGTCAACCGTTGTAAATTAGCCCGCTTTTTACATATGCTTGTGAGCTGATAATTTTTCCAAATCGTTGTGCTAATATTCACTTGGGTCGTGTTTATCCTCTCTATTCGACAGTAACAATCTTAAAATAACTTGCCAATATATATATATATATATATATATATATATATATATATATATATATATATATATATATGCCATTTGCCACATTCTCAATGAAAGCGTATACGTCGAGTTAATATATAATATATTCAATCTCATTGTCTTATTTAAACAAGCCAACTGGCACCAAGGCTCATCTCACAGCTTATTTTCCAGTTTTAACGTAGTCGTAAGAATATTATTATTGCTCCTGAACTGAAGCTAAGGTGCGCGAAGTGTTGAAAGCTAATCCACCTAATTCCTTCCCTTCTTCTTTCCAGTCTGTTGCAACTTCGGGTTCAACTGTTCTTGATACTGCTCAATAAGTTCTTGTTGAACCGCAGGACTTGTAGGAGAATACCTGAAGGACAAGGACGAAGCATAAAGGAAAACATATGTCGTCACATTTCAAACAGGAAAAAAGAGGATAATTATGTCGCAAACATTACATAAATGCGTTATTTATTTAAATTCCAGCATACATTGTTGTCAAATCCATGCAGGGAGCACCTATACTTTGCGATAGATATGATCATAGAGAGATGAAACTGTCAATGCCATACAGGGCTATCATATAGCTTCTGAAAGCGCTTGGAATTTCGTTTACAAAGATACTACGCTCCACGAAAGAACATACAAGAGCCAACAGAAAAAAAAACCTTATTCTCAAAAAATAATTCATATTCAAAAAGTTGGATCAATAATTTAATTTGAAATTAAAACTTAATGTCCCTGCTCATTCTATCAATCGTTTACTATTTCTATAATTTGAAATATTTTTTTTCTCTTTTTATTAGTAGTGATAAATTTTGCAACCCCAAATTCAACATACCCCTAGTTAGAAAAAGTAAGCAAAGCTAACGTTTCGAAACCTAAACGTGTCACTTACGTTTTTTTAAGCACATGGATTAGTTTTCGAGACCTATATTCAATTTATAATGGGTTAGTAATATCTAGGTAGACTATAATCCTCACGTGCTAAAATATGAAACACTGAGTTGAACGTATATCGACAAAGTTACATAAAATCACTACGAAATCTATTTTCAGAAATACTCAGAAGTATTTAGAAGCCCTTAAATCATACAATAACAATCATTTTCAAGAGAATCATTTATCCGGATAGCGTGGATTCATTATACTTTTCGAACGTATTTTTCGCTTATTGTGATTATTAAGTGTTTCTTCGAGAGTTACATCTAATATGGTGCATACGCTTTCGTGGGTCGTGCATGTTAAACTGCTAGCTTTGTTGGCTTTACTGGAATTGCGTTAACGGGGGCATCTTCACCTAAAAGCCGACATCGTGTCGTTCTTTACCTACATATGTCAATAACGCACTAAGGAGGTTTAGGTTGTAAAATATGCTTAAATTCTCCTAAAAAAAAAGTATGTAGTATTACTGGTTATAGATGACTATTACTGGTACTAGTAATATATAGACGGATTATAAGGTTGTATATCGAGTGTGCTTCCAAGAAACGATTATCGACATAAACGTATTGAGTTTTACGTTCAGTACTGCCGCTACACATTGCATTAGATGGCTGGCTCCCAGTACGAAGAAAAAGGTGTCCATTGCGACCCAGCTTATAAAAACAGCTTATAAAAAAATTATGAAATCACGATACAATCACTAAAGAAAGACCACTACTATTCAGCATCTTGAAATGTGTTACGACTCAGCCTGTATAATAAAAATCATAGAAATTCTATTTATTATGTCCACTTTTAGCTATTGTTTGTGTTTGACCGGGTGAACTATCGGATGCTTCTCTGCAAGATGGCGAACCTTGGAGTTAGCCCGCGTACTACGGTTTGGTGTAGAGGGGATCTGAAGCCACCCTTTTTTTGGCTACACCTTGAAACGGGTATTCCCGCTACCGCTTCACTTTTTCACCATTGCATGAAATAATCTTTGTTCCGGCGTCTCAGTTAATTCGCTAACCTTGGCAGCCTCAGCAACGCCTTTGTAAGCACTTGTGAATACTTAATTTTGTTTATAACTTGAACTACGATTCATATTTGTTGCTAACCTACTTCCTCATTCCGTGCTCAATTCTTTTCGTAGTCCTCATAAATGAAACATGGCCAAAAGTTCCTTACTTAGAATAGATAGAACGCACATAGTAAAATTGTATCAAACTTGGTTGACGGTAGTGCATGGCAAGGCGAGTGTAGTACTAAAAGATGCACACCAGATACTAGACAATAATTTTAATACGGAACATATTTCCGACATAGTCGGATAAAAAATTTTCTGTTACATGCCAACTGGATATCCGATGGTCACAGCAGAATTAGCGTCTGAGCATTTGTGTTATTGCGTACATTATCTCATGGATAGTAGGGGACGAAAATAAGTACGAAAATAACGTGTTAAAAGCAACGCCTCATCCCCAACGCGCAGAAGTTGTCTGTCTTCTATAGATTATAGACCCAAAGAGGTATTTTTTTAATTGAAAAAAACTCACCTACAATATTCCATAGTGAACTCGCCCTTGCCTTGTGTGCATGATCGTAGCTCCGATGAATATCCAAACATTTCGTTGAGTGCAACTTCTGCTATCAACGTAAACCAACCATCCTGAGAATCAGTTCGCGAAACAACGCCATGTTTGCGTGAGATTGACGCTATCACCTGGACAATCGCAATAAAATACCAATTCATCGTTATTTTTAACTTCTTATTATACAGATCTGTAAATACTTTACATCACAGTGATCGCACTTATTACAAATATAATTTCGTCAAGGCAAAAGTCGCACATCTTGGCAAAGGCCTAACACATTCAAAACACGATTCCCCAAACTGAACAGTTGAACGAATATGTCATGATAATGATCTCTTTTCAGTAGTATATTAAATAATTGGAATTTCACAAGGCTGGTGCAACAAAGCCTTATGGCTATTTAGTTACGTAAAGAAAGATTAATTAAAATAACAAGAAAAAATCTCAGTAATAGTGAATTTATTTTAGCCGGTCGGTAGCAAAGATACACTTAGAAATCTTCGTTTTACACAATCGTGTATCTAGTGTGCAGCCACGATTCCAAGTCAGCAAGATTTGACGATTCCATGATTCTGCGGTTTTTCCAAAGTATTAATTGGCTCTCGATTATGGAATTAAAACCTCATACAGCTATAATATTTTCATATTATATTTAAGAAATTCGTTAAAGACGCACCTAAATAACTTGTTTTCGATTACTCAATAACTATACTTCACTCTGTATGTTGTTCAATGTACTTCAAAGAAAAAGAACCAGCAGAAACGTGATCGCCCGAGAAACGGAAATGACGTATTATAATTTTATTATCGGTTATCGATATAATGTTGGTTACAGCCTATGTAGAATAATAAAGGGACTTATTAGTTCAATCGGAAAATAGGTACCACTGTTCTACAACAGCTATCACGCAACAACGTTTTATGCTGGTAGTTGTAAATTATACATACATCTGTAGCAGTCTAATGACTCCGGTGCTCCGTATATGCTACATACTTATACACCTACCTGTCCTTGATACTCGTCCGGTGCGGTAATTTCAACAGTCATAATTGGTTCAAGAATGTGCCAGTTTCCCCGTTCGTAACATTGTTTCATCGCGCCCTGAGCAGCCATCATGAACGAAAACTCACTCGAGTCAACTATGTGATGCTCGCCATCTTCAAGTCGGAATCGAACACCAGAGACCTTGTGGCCTATAAGATTGGGAGATCGAGACTCAAGTGTCAAGTCAAACATTTCAAAATAATATTCCAATGCCACCCATTTAATTGTTAAGAATTTCTTAAAGGTATGGTCACACTTAAATGAACATTTCTGAGACGGTTACGTACTCGCTATGGTTCTAGTAGATCGACTATCCAGCTAGTTGAACAACATGAAATAAGAGCGGCGGATAAGAAAGAAGGCTCCGTTTATAGTTGCTAGAAATCCAATTTACAAGGAACGCTTATATAATATTATATTGTAAATAATATTTGTTGTATATGTAAAATATTGTAGAATTTTAGCAAGGATGCAATACCTGTTAGATGACCTTTCTCACACACAGTCCTGAAGCCTTTCTCTATACCTGCCATGTACTGCTTAGGCACGTTCGTTCCCATGGTGGCATCTCTAAATTCAATCTGAAATAATCTTTGGTTCAATCTATTGGAACTTGTAGAGAATACTCCTTAGGGTATAACGATATACCTATAATGCTAGGAAATTCAAATGTGAAAAACAGTTCTTTTTAATGTTATTTACTTTTCTCGATATTATTTACGGGTCGCTTTTTTTTTTATTAAGGAGACTATGTTAAACGTACGTTACGTGGGCAATAATCACCGCCTATTCAAGTAAACTATAGCGTTAAGAGATTAGCATAGGTTCGCAAAGAGGTGTATTGTTTTAAGAACGCGCAGAACTAAAAATTTACCTTTGTATTACTTTCAGCTGGTAGTGGCTCCAGGAATCCACAAACGCGACCAAATTGGCCTTGTCCACCAGACTGTTTTTTGTGGAGGTAATCAAATTCACAACGCTCGACAAGACTTTCCCTGAAAAAAGGTGTACTTATGTCTCATTCCAACGAAGCATAGGCGTTTTACATAGAAATACCGCGCAAGTGCCAGGTTCTACATTTAAGACTATTTGTTTTTCCTAGGGGCCGACACCGCTCAGTAACAATTACTCCACAACGAAACTACTGCCTATAGCGTAGGAAATATTGTTTTGAATACATTCGAGACAAAAGTTGTATAATTAAAGCTTTCTTTGTTGATCGAACTTAATTAGGCGATAAGTTGATGTGAAGAATCCACATACTAAAGGTAATATTATTTCTTTAATATCAGCTGGCTGCAGAACTGAGGGTTTCAAGAGTATAAGTTTGGTGAAATTTTCTTCTGATGAGACAACTCGATGGTATGCATTGCAAATCTAAAAAAATCTCGCGAGTAAGAGCGCTATACCGAGGACGGGTGTGATGGTCTGGTATAATTCAATCTCCCGTTCAGGCAAACAACGTTTTGCTTGTAGTGTTCATGCCAATGAAGGTCTCTGTGCAGTAAGAAGCGTATTTCACAGTATCGAATTATGGAGGTCCCGTGCATTCCAACGCCTAAGGTTCCATTTACTTTGATCTATTACTAATACTGCCTCATAGCTAACTTGAAATACCGCGTCTCATTGAATGTTATGTCATACAATGTTTGAGTTGATTCATATTAGGCTAAATTTCTTATCATGTCACGTAAAAAACTGGCACAGTTCTTAGGCAAGCACATCTAGGATGATAGTCCGGTCATTCTATTCGAAAGGTGACAAACATAATTTCTTTTTTAGAAATAATGCTACGAGATGCACTTATACTCTCTCAAATCCGAGACTGTTCCCTCCGATATCATCACTGACACCTCTAGCAGGCAAATTGTAGTAAATCTAAAAATTCGAATAGTTTACACATATGAATTTATTTTCAAATTATAACGGGAGTACAGCTCGCCATAAAAAGCTTGTATTCGTTAAAAATTCTACAATTATAAACACTGTAAGCCATAGGTTTAAAAAATTCGGGCAGGAAATTTTTAACGCAAAAATGAGTCTCGTAAGGGTCCCTGTAAAAGTGAATCACGAAGCTTACGTGGAAGCCGACTTATCGTAAAATGCACGGGGATTAAGACTCGGGTTGTATATGTATATGAAAAAATATCGCGCTTGTTTACCTCGGTCAAATTAATAAAGTAAAATATTGAACAAACAAAACTGTCATGATTTGATCGCAGGTTCCACACTGACCCAATCTGGCACGGAGTTGTGACTTGTGGTTCGTTGGTTACGATTGAAGTGTCTTTAAAGAACACTGATACTGAAGATACCGAAGAAGAAATGCATAAGAAAATAGTTCTGCATTAGACAACCGAGATTAGTAAACAAAGGTAAAAAAAATCTCTATTCAAGACAACACTGAACCTCTCACCGCTAGAATCACGACGCCAGAAATGTGAGAGTTAAATTAAAAATTTACTGTCGACCACGATACTCGTCACCCGCTGCTACCATAGATTATAATTTTTAATAGAGACATTATGAAAATTTCGACGTATTGGCAAAATTGTCTTTCAAGACTTCATGGACTCTCGTAGCTTAAATTTCTACAGCAACGGAATAAGCAGATGGTCACAGATAATTATGGTGAATACTTCACCATAAAACACAATTTTTGTCCTGAAAAATGTTCCTTAAGATAGAAGAAATCAACTTCCAAAAAGATTCGAAAATTTAGTTTACCTTGTCATTTTATATATATATGTAGGCATGCAATACTGATACCTGAAGGCGACTTTTGGCTTTCCAAGAATTACTGCACACTTATATTCCCGTTCCATTCGCTGCCCGTAAATATCCAGATGCAGTTCACCCATTCCGCTTGCTATCGTCTCTTTGTTGTCGGCATCATACTCCACCCTGAAGACATCACAATACGAACATAAAAATGTATATAAATATTAAAACAAGTAAACATTAAAGAATTTTTGACAATTTTCGACCGAAATCAATAAGAGTTAAAGAAAAATTAATGCGTTTTATAATTCAACTTTATTATCAAGATATTAGGTCTATAGTGATGCAAATGCACTAGTGCTTTATGCCTAATTAGACTTTGATGCTTGCTTCATATATTAAAACAAGCGTTAGTTATGCAGTACAACAAGATAGAGGACGTTCTAGTTCTAAAATAGCATTTTTCACAAACAATTTTATCGCAATCGAAATTTGATGAAATTTTTACATTATTTGCAGATTTTTTCTGAGTAGTCTCACATACATGAATACGTGTAGACCTATAGTTAGTATTCCAGTGAAGTACATTTTAGATTAAATAATATATGATTTAATTCTCAGAGACGAGATGAACCCTTAGCCGAACATGCTGTATGCACGTTCTGCACTTAAAAATTTTTGAGATTTATATTTTCAATCAATACGCCAATTGTCAAATCGAACACAATCCACTATTTCAACCATTAAACTATGATTGTTATGTGTATTACCTGAATGTCGGATCCTCACGCATAAATCGGCTGCATGCTTTCGAAAAATTATCTGCATCTTTGTTTTCTTTTGGACGAATCGACATCGAAATTACTGGCTCAGGCACAAACATAGGTTCCATGGAAACTTCCAACCCTTTTTCCGATACGAACGTGTCTCCGGAGGCACAGTCCACACCAAACACAGCGCAAATATCACCTATATTTATTCATGAATAAATAAAAGCAGAAACTGCATTGAAGAACACGAGGCAGAACATTCACCGCATTGTTAACACTCGAAGTTTATTTTTAAAAGCAAAAGTTCTCGATCATGATACACTGCTAGACTCCGCACATAATCCACATTACGATTTACCTACTTGTTGAACTCTAATGTAGTACACAGTACTATAATTTAAACAGGTATATTATACGAGAGTACAGGAAGTCATCAAAAGGAAAATATTGCTTCTGTATCCGAATTCCCTGAATTTGCTCCTTCTCCGAAAACTTCTCACTCTGTTAGGCAGCCCCCAAGTCTTCCTGAAGGTGCTGGCCTGCATAACGTAGTATGATATTCTATTCAATAAAATAGAGTTAGTTTAGTTAATAATAGTTGTTTAATAACTATCTTTTACATTTTTTTAAATTAAAACTATTAATAAAAATATAGTTATTAATTAGCTGTATCAAACCTGCATAGGCCTCATTAATATCTTCCATTTCAGCGGAGTGCATCCTAACCACTCTGGGTATACGCACTTTCTTGCCCGTTCTAGTATTAAACAACATGTCGCCCTTCTGTAAGCTTCCTTGGTATACTCTGATATAGGTCAGTTGACCAAAGCGACCAGCTTCAAGTTTGAATGCGAAACCGACGAACGGATATCCTTCACCGCGAGCGACACGCGCTGGGTCCATTCGAATTTTCTCCTCCCCTAAAATGTTTCACATCGTGAAGTTATAATATCATGCAATATAATGAAAGATAGATGGCGACTAAGATAATCTTCTTTGTATCTTGCTATTCCCAAGGTGAATCATTTGCCAATCAAACAAATCACCGAAACCCATTCCTGCTACAAGTCTTACTCTAATCACATAAAACAAATAATGTATAGAACAGATTAAAGAAAACCTTTGAAGGCGAAATTGTCGACCTCGCTTGGATTGGGTAGATACGAGACAATGGCGTCTAATAAAGGTTGGATCCCTTTGTTTTTCAGGGCCGTTCCCATCAGCACAGGAAAGAAACGACGAGCAATCGTACCCCGACGGCAGGCAGCCTCAATTTCTTCAATGGTGGGGGCCTATCAGTAGTGATATTGGAAAACGCCAAATACGATCGGAATAGTAAAAAGTCTGTTCCTTTCTTCAAAATCGTTCGTTCGAGCCAGCGAATGCAAAGTAGTTAGTGGCAATAAGTCAACTAATAAAGCATCTCGATTCATTGCGTTTGGTTTTCCAACTTCAAAAAAATTATGTTAAAGCTATGTTATGGTCGAAGGCTTGTATGAGTGTATGCGCTTAAAGCAAAGATTCTGATCTTTCGCTTGGTACGACCCAAACGCCAATAGGTAAGTAACAAAAACGAACAAGATATACTATAAGGTCCATTAAAATGTAAGAAAAAACATAAGTTACAGAAAATTGGCATCGGTTTTCTAAGCGCTAGATATTATTAATGATAATCAAGCTGATATGTGGTTTTAGATGACGTCATTTTCTATTATTAGTTGACCTCTCCTAAAGGTAACTGGTTTGTTATTAGCAAGCAATAAAATCGATAATTTAAGATAGACTTACTTTTTCCTCCAAAAATAAGTTACCCAGATGTTCGTCCACATTTGCCAAGCATTCAACTAGTTCCTATAACGAAAATAGCAACATCATTTAATAGATTCATACATTACCACTCAATAGATTTTTCACCAATTGTCAGTCCTGGATCATTACACTACCTAATTAAATAATAATTAAATAATAAATTAATAAAGTAGAACGAAACGTTAACCCTAGTTAAGTACTGGTTAAGCGACTAAGCACGGTGCCTCCGCAGAGTGATCTACATGCTATTATTAGTGGGCTGTTCACTAATCCTCATAATTATTGGATGAAAATACTAAAATATTTTCGATTTTGACAGACAACTTAGACGCCTTGAGTCTTATTATAGAAGTTCATAATTACCATTTCCCAATATGTCAATTTTCAGTTACTATAATTTACTTGTATACTCATATTTATAAATATTAGGTTAATATAAATGTAAGCACCTGTCGCTTGTCAGTGACAAGACTTCTCATATCCTTCGGCACTTCATCATAGCGAACTTTTTCACCTGTGGCGCCCTCGCAGTATATAGATCTTTCACGTATAAGATCCACTACACCCTTCATTCAATTGAAGAACAAATTCAATGTTAGCAGTCTATTTTTGGAAATAGAAGGCCCTTAAAAGTGACCAGAGAAATAATTAATGTTGGTGTAAAGCACGAGCGTCGGTGCTTAAGACATCCGATGCGTCTACCAACAGGATTTAAAACTCCCTGATCATGATACATTATGAAGAATACATAATAATTAAAAACTCGCTGCGAAATTGGTCCGTGTCAAGAGGGCATTTCTTCGATGCTCTGTGTGTTTTGAGTATTTCAAAGCCTAAAGGGCCCTAGAGTATATATGTATATATAACACCTAAACGCCTCGCATGTTTGCTAAAGCCTAACTGCCTTTTCCTGCCCTGGAACTCAAACTTTATTGCATGAGATTAGTTCATTTTCGGGTCTAGTACCTCATGTTTGGACTCCAATCCGATGGGAACTTGGAGGAACGCTGCGTTATATCCCAGCTTTTGTTTTAGCTGGCTTATGACCCGGTTGGGGTTAGCAGTAATTCGGTCGAGCTTGTTGATAAATGTAATACATGGCACATTATAACGCTTCATCTGACGTGTAACAGTCATTGTCTGTGATTGCACTCCTCCAACGGCGCATAACACTAAAACAGCGCCATCAAGAACTCTGAAATGTATGTGAATCGACGATAAATTATTAATACCAATACCTAATACTTAACGTAATATTAGTGAAGGCCGGTTTTTCGTTAATTCTAACCATCCAGGTTCTTAGAAGTCAAATTTATTTAATGAATGAATTTCATATGTTACTGCTATCCAGTTGTTAAGATCTTGTTAATATTTAGGATAATATTCCTAAAAGCCTACAAGTATGGTTTATTAACGCAGTGTGCCTATTATACAACCTTAAGGCTCGCTCGACCTCAACTGTAAAGTCGACGTGTCCTGGTGTATCGATGACGTTAATTGTGTGACCTGCCCATGCTATATGGGTAGCAGCACTCTGAATCGTGATACCTCGTTGTCGCTCGAGTTCCATCGAATCCATCACTGCACCGATTTTATCTTTTCCTTTTACCTAACACGATCAATTCATAATACATAAATATGAAAACACAGGAGATTCATGTTGGTGAATGCCTCTGTCAAGTTAAAACTTGACGCATCTAACACCTCCCTTCCCATTAATTACTAGTTGGTTTACTGACAGATATGGCTGATTTTTGCTTCTACATAATGCACGTGTTCCGGTGATCGTGGCATGTAACTGATAAAACAATGGAAGTTTTTTTTATCAGTTAATGCTGGTACGCTTCGGAACGTACTAGACAGTAGATTAACTGGGGGCAATGACGCGTGTCGTACACAAAAAAGGTTGTTCCAATCTCAACACAAGATGTATAACAATCTACAATGCTTAACTGACAGATACTAGAAGGTAAAACATTTCGTTCACGTCTCATAATCCCTGTGTAGCTATAGATATTCGAAAGCGCACTTTTTCATGAAAAAACGTTTAATTTTCAAATATGTTTGTTATGTCTTATGAATAGTGCATAAAAAATGTTTGACGAGCAATAATTTGTGGTGTTGGTTTGATGTTAAACATAGGTAAGTAAAATTTTTACTCTACATGTGTGTCTTTGTAGAGCCACAGAACATTAATGCGACTCTTATTTCAACTTCGCTATAACATATGGACTCCAAACAAGAGAGGCGGTATATATAAAATTGCGGTAGTATATGAGAAGAGTTAATGTGCGTGTCGCTAGCTCTCCCTCGACGTATAGACCATAGAGTTTCTTGTTGATAGTCTTCATAACAAACGCATGTGCACTTCGCAGCGAGGAAGTGCAAATTGAGGTCTTATCATTCGTTCTATTAGAATTGAATCAAACGCACCTCATGCATTTGGTCTATACGGCCTGTATAGTATAGAAGTCGTTCAGTGAGCGTTGTCTTGCCTGAGTCGATATGAGCAGAAATTCCAATATTCCGTATTTTTTCCACTGGTTCGAAGGTCGCTCCAGACGCAAATTTGCGCCGGATCATAGCTCCAAGCCGAGAAACACGAAGCATTTTCTTTATTACAGAGAATATGTGTGCAATTTCTAGGAGATCAGTATTTTCAATCACCACTCAGGGGCTACCATCGTTTAGTGAAACACTAATTAGGTAAGAAGTTTGACAATTAAAACAGTTACTAATCGGATTGTTGGCTTAATTTTACTTTATCGGCACTTGCACATCGAATAGAATAAGCTACGATCCCGCATGTTGTGAAGTTGTTCTGTCGAACTCTTTCGTGGTCCTCTGTGCCGGTGCAATGGACCGCGCGTTCTGCACTTAGTCATACCGTTCTACATTTAGTAAGATTTCAATATGCTGTTACAGGATTTCTGTTAGTTACAGAATTTGCATCATCATCTGCAGCCGGTTGACGGGCTATACCACTAAATACAACACGTGATTATAGATAACGATAGATAAACAGTCTTATTATGACTAGAGAAAGAGGCCTTGATCGTCAGGGCCATTTACCAGAACAAGTGTCGGAGTCATTTACCTCGCGATTCATATTGCCTATAAATGCTTAGACAGACCAACTTATTTAAAAAAAAAAATCGTTTAGAAGGGTCGATGTGTCTAATTTGAAACTAACATTGAAAATTCGATTAGGTACATGCATTTTACAGTTTACGCAGGGTCTGTACGCCGCTGTATTGGCCGCCACGCAGGCCGTCCTCAAACGATATTTATTGTGCTTCATCGTTTTCCATCACCGTGGCCGCCACGCAGACAAAACCTGCTAAAGCCGATTTGCAATAAAGCCAATCGTAACTTGAGAGTAAACTGGCTGATTAAAGATCAAAGTAATCCTTAATATACCAGTCGACCGCTGGCGCCAGTTGAGCAACGGAGAATCATTATTATAATGATGATGGTGATCTGAAATGTCTGCCGCCTACCGCCGGTGTCGCCATCTTTGTTGACTCGGCTCCTCTCGGTGGCCCGTGTTGGTGGTTTTCGCCGCTGATGCTGCTAACTATCAGCAACAACATTCTCCATCGCAGCCAAGCGAGCAAACGGACGAAACCGCCCATTGATCAGTAACAACTGCCAAAGGGGTAGCTGTTGAGTTTCAAGCTCTAATCAACCAACAACAGCGGGTCAAACCAGCCTTATCTAGTTTCAACTTATGCGACTTGTTGTTGTTGTTGTTGTTGCTGTTGTCGTGCTAGTTTCGATTTGTATGTGTCCCGAGGGGAAGTTGTAGAATGCAACTGCTGCTATTGCTGGTGTTTAAGCAGTAAGTTGTGGCGGAAGGTGTGTTCTAGGCTGAGACAACGACGACGACGACAACGACGTCGTCGTTAACGGGGGCCGCGGCAGTGATCATAATTCGGTATTGGGTGTCAGTCGGTTATGCTGTTGTTGCTGAAACTGCAAATTCTTGTTTGACGTTTTGTGTAGTTTTCTGGGCGACCTGGGTTGCACGAACAATTTTGTCTGACCAATTATCCAATAAAAATATAGAAGAAGAGGTCGATGGTAGAGAAACACGCTTCATCGAGGAATATACACATGTAACACATTTCAATGAATTGTGTTTAATACGTTTTCGAAAGGAAAAAGAGGACGAAGAAAACGCTAAGCGTTGTTGCATTCCCGTTCCGCAGTCAGTGGATGATGCTGTTAATTTTTTCCACATATATAGAGAAGATAGTGTGACTATGTGTATTAGTATGTGGTGAATCCTAAAAGTGGCCGCCCGTTTAAGTTGTGTGAGTCGCTAAGCTTATGAGTTTGCAAGTTGCTGCTTGTCGACGGCTCGTCGTTTGATCGTCTCGTCAAGGTTTTTTTTTGTCAAGAAGTAGTCAAAGGTGTTACCACTGCAGCCATGGACGACGCTTCGGACAACGACAAGGTGCCAAATTGACATACACACAAACGAACCTAATACATTTCTGTTTTTATAATAACTAATCAGTATTTGTCCACTCAATGTAGAGCAGGTGTTATGATAGTAGAGCAGGCCGCTAAGAACCACTTGTCCTCTAATAATACTCAACATGCCTAAAGTAATATTTTTACCGAATGAAAAAACATCGGCTCTCTGTATTTTGTTTTACCTTGCTTTGCTTTGCACGCTCTCCGTAGATAAACGTCACTGATTGATTACGTTTTTGATTTTGGGACAAGTAAAACAATGGGAGACGGTAAAATGCAGTCCTTAAAGTTTACGTTTAATTCTACAAATTGTAAATACTGAAATCGATATTGGTCTCCTGCGGCAGATCATACAGAAACTGAAGCCCATATATTGTCGGCGTTTCGGTCTGCCCTGGGATTCAAGATAAACTGTTGTTTATCTGGAGGAGGGTTAACTTGAGTAGAATATAGGATAGTTGAAAAAACAATCACATCCGAAGGGATTCAAAGTCACCGGACACATTCCAAAGATGGAAACACATTTTTTTATGCTTACCAAACGTATATATCGATAAAGCTCGTATCATAGGTATCCAAATCAATTGAGACTCACTACTCTTCCATTAAGTTGAGATGTTGTTGGTCAGTTGATATCAGCTTGCGTGTTTCAGGATGTTTCTTATGCCATAAAGACGTGACATAATAATAATGATAATAGTAATAATAATGACTAACAAACTAACCCGATCTTGTTAACACAGATAAGCGAATCTGTGCGATTCTGTTTAGATTTTAATTTTTGATTCGAATCTGTGAGGGATTTGCGTAAAGCTCTTATGACGTAAAGCCTTCAAGGAGTACCGAGAAGTGATTTAGCAAACAATGGCCGAATCGATATTCGATCTTGTAATACGAAGCTTCTATCTGTCCTGATTCTTTAAGCTAGCTTCAGGGATCAGGCTAACGTAACCGCACGCTCGGTTACAGCGGACACACGAATGAGATCAAGATATCATAACATATTGACAGATGCCATATACGTACATAATAAATCGCCTATTAGTATTAGGCCAATCGCCATCTACAATACGTTAAATATAACAGAACCTTTCTTATCGCGAAAACTACTATACCAACGATATTGGAACAGTTACTCTAATATCGATTCAAATCTAATATCGATATTCAAAGTTAATGTACGCCACTCTGCCATACCTTTTTCATCGTCATCTTCTCGTGGGAGTTACACTATGTTCGCAGTAAACAGATCTTATACGTTTGCCATATATTCTGGGTACGTCTATAAACGCAAGCCGTGTATGGCTAGCATGTATGACAAATAAAATAACGATTACTATTGCTACAATTGGCTAGCAGTCTTCGAGTGAATCCTGCGCCACCGCAAAGGCTCACTGACTAACTGATCAATCCGGCAACGGGTAATAGTAGAGCCGGTCCGATTAGTGGTTGTGGTCAGTCGCAAAAACACCAATCATTAGACCGCTAACGAAAGAATGTTTTGAGAAAATAAAATAAAGTAATATATATAACTCCACGGACACTTATCTATATATAATTTGAAATGATTTAGGTAGCTATAGTACACTATACTCGTTAGTAGTTTTTCTTGGTAAAAATGAATGAATACAATCGGCAACGGAAACCGACGTATAACCGAACAGTATGTATACTCATTACGCAAAGAAACCATTCCAACACTCTCCTGTTCCAACAAAAATTCGTAAGCATTCGGCGAAAAATAACACGTTAATACAAACCGTATTTGACATACGCCAATTCGTTTTTACGATGTCAGAATCGATCAAGCTGCAATCTACTAAGGGGACGACCGCGGAGGACCAAGCGCGGTGTTAAGCCGAGTGCCGTTCTGTTCGAATAGTCGCAACTTGACGCTTCCATTGCGAAAGCCTCTTGTCCAAATCGGAGCACTGCACGAATCATGACCATTTGTTCCTCTATATATATAGATACTCTGTTGGATACACATGTTCATTCAGATACCTGTGTGTACAAGGTAATACCTTGCCGCCTTAATACGGAAGTGATAATGGTTTCTTCCGATGATGCTGATCAGGGTTATTCAGCCAAAAAAACGATTCCTAATGGCTAACTTTTTAGTTAGTTCGAATTTCCAGTGTTGGCCTTGATAAATATTAATATGATCATATGCTATTTTATTATTAACGTAAGTAGGAGTATCTAACGAATCCTTGGTCGACATATGCAGATCACACTGTAGCTCGGAAGTACATGTCATTTACTGTTAATTATCCTCGGCCAACCAGCGGTAAACTGGTCCATTTCCACTGTTTTCCCGTCCACAGTAGACTTTGTTCATTTAAACATTAAGATTTCCTTTTTTTTTTTTATTGTAATTAACGTAGAGAATGTAATTGTATAGGTGTACTCAAAGATAAACTTGGGTCGGCGATGAACACTTCGCTGTGAGATATTGTGCAGCGCTTAACATGGCCGCCGTTCGTTATTTACACAGACCGCGGTGAAACAGCGTATTACGAAAAATAGGACATTTTCGAAAGGCGGCTTGCTCATATTCACGTAATCAAATTACCTCAGATAAGCTTGACTTACACCCAGCGATTTCTCTTGTGTAGCTCAAATCGAATGGCAAAATGTACCAAATCTTTATCAATCCTATAGTCATCTAAATAAGCCTAGGGGAATTCTGTGGTTCCGACGTGCAAATAAACTGCAGAAAGCTGTCCCGTATCAAACACTAAGTGACGTAGGGAGCAAAGTCGACGATAATAGACCTAAGAATCTGTACTGAGTCTTGTCCACTTGTACAGAATTTTTAGTGTCGATTGAAGATTATCCGCGTGAGTTTAGACTACTTCAAACGGAGCGGACGAAAGCAGGAGTATCGTTTCTGCGAATTTACTCATCTCTTAGCAAATTTTGAAAAGGAGTTCAACAGTCGACTGGTTATTGTACTGAATTGGCTTAGAACATTAAATACATCGAAAACTGAGAGATTTTAATGCTTATTTCTCTTTTATCGATCAATTTGAACCGATGGTTAGATATCGGAGATTAACTTAGCATAACGTGCTATAAAATGCTCTGTCTAACTTAGCTAATACTAAAAACAGACGTATTCTAAGATTTTATACATTCTTGTCATATGCGGTCTCAGACAGATCCGTAATAGCTGCCTGTTAAAACCACTGTTAACGAGATACTATTGACTACGTGCTGACTGATCTGACACTGTACATATGTCACTGAGGATTATAGTGCCTATGCTGGTACAAGACCTAAAATTACAAAAGGTGTTACCGATAAGCAGTGAAATGAAGCACTTCCTTCCTTCCTTCATTTAAATTCAATGTGATTTCTGTTTCTTATTGAATCGATGCTATGCCTGCCTCCTCATTTCTGCTCAGGGCTCACTATTCCTAAAAGTAATTGATATGGTGCATTGTCCTACATATGCATTCATTTATTGAATGGTACGTGTTATAGTAGTTAAACATATTGATAGAAAACTGGTGTTGGTCAAAAATGACGCGGACTGTCCATAGTCAAAAAAACAACCTTTATTAATCGGAAATCTGTCTGATTAATTGACAGAACAGTGATCATGTTAGAAAATCAGATCTGCTACGTATTACATTATTTAGTAGTGTATATCTTGAGAACGTACCGTATCGATACATACAGAAGCACTTCCCCAGAACTTCTCACAGAGGTGCGGATATTGAAATATAAGTAGAAGGCATCATGTCATACTACTATCGTTGTTCAACGTGAACGGCACCAACAAGTTGACGTAGGCGGCGGTCGTATTGGCATGGTATTGTCGTTGCCGCTATTGCTATACGACATATATTTATGTGGGAGCTGTCATGTCAGCGGTTGCGAGATGAAGCACCACGCAATGCTTAGTTGCACACAGGCGAATAGGTTACACTGACCAGACAGAATCAAGAGCAGAATAGCACCGTTCTAAGCGGCTCAAAAATTATTAATGTATGAACGATCATTTCAACCGCTTTTTCAGCTGGAGATAAATCGAACAGATAGTCCGGTTTAGTTGTAAATACTGAGAGCAAAAATTGGCCCCCAGATTTTGTTCAGAATCCTACATTTCATATGCGTTGAAAATTAATTTGTAAATGTTCATACTTCGCGAAACTAATCGCCCCGTAAGAATCGAATAAATAGCAAGATGTGTTTACTATTTATCTTTTAATTGGAAACGCACCTGAACCAAGTGGCATTTTTTAGTTGGCCTATCACACCTTTCTTGATTGTTTCGGTTAACAAAAAGCATGTTTGGATGTGAGTATGTGAGACGCTTTATGCAAAGCTTTTACAGCTGTTGGTTCGGTATTTGTCATATTTTAAAGGTGAAATATGTAGGGTCCTTTAAAAAAGCAATAATTCGGTATGTAGCTCTACAAAGAAAAATCTACTTCGGTACATTTCAGGTGCGAATCATCAGTAGTTTCATGAGCCTTTCACCACCTGGAGAGTTCAACGAGGTTTTCAATGGTACGTATAATAAACGGGGTCTATATGTGCTGTAATAGCTCGAAATCTGTAACACAGTGAACAGAACCTGTTCTGCTTTTGTGCAAATTACAAAAAATGTGTCAAGAGTTTGGTCAATACTATACTTCCACATAGAAGAGCTTTGGTAGCATTAGAAAATCTGGGCTTCACACGCTTTTTACCACTGCTATGCTCATGCTGGTTTATACTGCCTCACTTGAAAAAAAAGCCATTTTATACGTACGTCTGTGTTGATGATCGGAAAACTGGACGTAACCAAAAAAGGAAGTAACCTAACCTCAGAATTTGCATGGAACCCTTCCTCATTTTTTACATATACGTGTAACTAATACGGTCAATTTTTTGATACACAAAACTTTGTTGCCTAAAGTTTTTGCATGTAATGCGTATCACTGAGTTTCAATACCGGAATTTTCGAGCTTCTTAAGTTAGTTTTTCAAGCACGTGGTGGACCTTGTGTATATGTATGCTTAGATGAATCTTTTTTATGCATTAGCTCACCACATTTGTCATACATTAAATATTGCAAAAAAAGTTTATGGGCTGCAATTCGTCAACGAAGAGTCATACGCCACGCGTCATTCGTTGTTAGCCGTCATTGTTGTTGTTCCCCACTATTGCCTGAACCGACGTCATTGTATCGCGTTTCCATTAATGGAACTAAATCGAAGCTTTAACATCTATTGTCACTATTTACTTATCATACTTTAGAATTTTCTATCCCCGGGCAGGGGGGGGGGGGGGGGTAGGCTGTACATGAATAGGGTCCCTTTCCGGCAATACCGGACATCAAACTGGAAACATAGAGGGCTCCTTTCCCTGCCGACAACTGTTAATGTGTGATTACATACGTACTGCTTTCCGTACGTCTTATATATATGAGGTAAATAAATGGTGATCAGCGAAAGGGTTCAGAATTCCCGCTTTGGTGATTGTAATTCACTTCATTAGCATATTAATAATCACCTATACCTATTCTTTATTTACCGAGGTTTACGTGCCCGTATTAAGACGATAAACTAACTGGCTTACTATATTAGCTGAAGCACTACTTAACGATAGTAACACCGGGCGTTTTGCCCATCGAAGTATTCAGCCTTTAATTCAAAAGCATTTGGAACTAGTTGAAATGATCTTTCGCCTAAACATTGAAATTTTCAGCGACGTAGCGAGGCGGCGGCTTTTAGGAAGCACACATCAATTTAGTGTCACGTAAATTGGAAGATCTTGTGGAACAGCGTTTACAGGTTGTCGCTTTAATGATGGTTTGCTGGTAGCCTAAGGATGGTGCACCTTGAAAAATACTGTTGGCGGCGCCGGTTCTGTACCACGAACATTTACGCTTGCTCTAAAATGGCACTAAGCTTAAACAAAACGACAGCCATTAATTTAGTTTTTTTCCGATTGCAGACTGTAGGGCTCTAGTTGGCAATCACGAACTCCTCTCAAAGGCTGCAGCAAAGTAAGTGTTACTTTTACACAAAAGCATTGCTGTAGATCTATGGCTTTACACGTTCGAGATGCCTTACATCCTTCAATCAGCTACAGACTAATACCTAGCGAAATCATATTTTTAATAAAAGTAAAATCAATAATAGTAACAATGAGTCCGAACAAAGTGTTTACTAATACAGCTTTTTTTTTTTATTTTGACGTAAATTTCAGCACAATTTCGGATTATCACATGGATCAGCTAACACCGTGCTCAGTCGATGGACTTTCGCACAAAAGTTTAATTACACATTATAACCAACTACCCGATGGAAGGTTACTATCTCTTTCAGTTGACTCTAGATAGATTTTGAATCCAGAAACATAGATGCGACAATCTTCGAGCAAATTACTGCACCTAAATTTTGCCTATCTGACACATATCGGTCCTGTAAAGTAGTGATGCTATTGATTTTTGCTAGGCTTTTCGTATTTCATTTTGAGAGGAGCTGCTTGTAAGATGGGGCCGACTGAACATTGTTTCTTGGGGGTATCTATTTTTTTTTTTGGTTCCATAAAGCGCTTTATCACTTAAGCGAATTGACCTTTCTTTTTTGAGATTTGCTTGACAACTGTCGAAAATTTGCGGGAAGTTTTTACCAAAGAATGGTACGTTCTTTCAAGCTCTATACAAGAGACGTAACATGGGACTAACAGTTAATTTTCAATTTTTTGAAATTTTGTGTAAAGTCTGTGATTTTTGCTTAAGTAGTTTGAAATTTATGAACTTCACGTATACAGATGAAGAAAAAATCGTCTATCTGATAATTTTCAAATTGAGTTCAGTTGTTTCTTTATATAGTAGACATAGTAGCGCGGTTCCATTCTACTCTGTTGGTGATTCATCCCAGGGAAGTAGCTAATCAATGCTGCAACAGCATAATAGAATATGATTTCTGTAACTAAACGGTTGCCACAAGATAATACAATTAATCCTATAAGGTCTTAGGAGAGGTATAACCGGCACCTATAAAAATGTCAGCGCATAGTCGAGCGGTAATCTAGGCTGGGCATAACACGAATCAAATATTAGAAGAATCGCAGTGTGGCAACAGGACTATTGGAATACTCTTATGGGAGAAATTTTGCAGTTATCCCGCTGTCCAAGCGTAACTGGAACGCACTAAAACTCACTAAAAGGCTTACTGAGTCAGAAGAAAATACCTGCAACTGGACAGCGGAATTGCTGTTATAGGGTCGCAGCTGAGTGTTTCAGGTCTACAACTGAGCTATAGTTTCTGCTTAGTTACTTGTCATGCAAATGGAATTCGTTCATATTAAAACAGGTCGAAAAAATAATTACAAAAGATTAGCGGATTAGGCGGAGAAGAATAGTGGTAACGGGATAACTGTTAGTGTTCAGTGTATTTACGCTGAGTATAGCATTAATGAATTGCATCAGTTAAAACGAGACGCGGAACGAAACCCGCGGGTCTGTACACTTTTCTCTAAATAGGACTTATTTAGTCGCTTTCCTAGTTCTAACATTATCGAAAGACCCAATATTCTCCATTTATATGTGGATAGTTACTAGACGTTTTATCATCATAGGTACTATGATCCACGAGGCGGTGTCTCGTTTCGGTTCGATCATTATAAACGCGAAACAACCGATCCACAGCCAATGTCCCCCACAAGCTCACCTGATTCAGAGGCCCTACGAGCGGCCCTTGATGCTGCGTGGGGTGCGTACTGTATCGAACACTATCGCCATGGTGTAGCTGCCGTCTTTGACCAAAGCGAGAACAATAACCAGCAGAGCAGGCAATACATTATGTGTATCGAGGATCATCAGTTCCAGAGTCATAATTACTGGTTTGTACTCGACGAATTGGAAATTATTTCGTTATGATGATGGCAAATAAAAATAAAAAGCAGTATGACTTAAGGCTGTTTACATGATTCTAGCTGTAGCAAGAATAATTTATATAATAAAAGGCAGTTAGGACACGTGCGATGTTTGATAAACAGTGTAAAATAAGTTTTACTATTGTACTGAAGCATTTTCGTACGCGGGTATGTTGTTAACCTTAATTCTAGGAACGGCCGTTGGCGCGGAGTCTGGACGCTCACATGTGAATCGGGGGCTACCCGGGCGTCCTTACTTGGAGCTGTTAAGGTGCAGGTGCATTATTATGAAGACGGAAATGTCCAACTTCAGGCAAATAAAGAACACCAGCTATCCATACCAATTGAGGTACGATGATTAAATTAACAACACAGGTCCCCTGTAAATGATCACATTTTTATGTGCATATATTTTTCCTATATTTGTTCCAAAATTTCTGTGCATTATCTATAAAGAAAGGGTTTAGCAAAAATAAAAATTATTCATTTTTGTGTTTGTTTGTTGTAGAATGATTGTGCGGTATTTGCACAGGCGGTTGTACACGCAGTTCGCGATGCCGAGGCTTCTTACCAGAGTTCGATTAATGAAAATTACAAATCTATGAACGACAAAACTTTCAAGGCTCTTCGAAGACATTTACCTCTCACTCGATCCAAGATCGATTGGCAAAAGATTCTTAGCTACAGGTAAATTTAAATAAAGTGTAAAGTAATTATAGTAACTATTACGTTTTTTTGTAATTCGAAAGAAAATAATCGTCTCTTCGTTTGTACTTTTCATTTTTAGTTATTGATTTTTAGGTACTGTATAGCGGTGGAAAACTTTTGGTTCGATAAGCTCTTTGTTATTGTCGTCGTCTTGTTCGGATCACAAAAGTTTTTCTTGAGTTTAGAGTAGTTATGTCGGGTGGCAAAAAATGTAATTTTTGGCCCTGCTATTCTTTCTATGTTGAAACACTATGCAAAACAACCGAAGAAATTTGCTCTGCGTACGATGAAGGCTTTACCAGACAATTATTTCCTTTCCAAATTGGCAATATTTTTTTTGTTGTTTGGCAGCCTTTAGATTTTTGTGAAAGGCGATTAGAAGTAGAAATGCTGTTTTTTACCACCTGATATACGAGCATTCCCAGGCCGAACTTAAGGTGGCATGTTATGATCTCGACAACGAAATGCAGCTTGTCAGCAATACTTGACCATTTCTAAGACAAAAAAAAATTAAAAATCGGAACCAAGAAGAAAGCCGACCAATATTATATTGACAGTGACGTTTTATCAAATTGTCAGTAACACATTGTTCTCATAAAAATCTGATTATTATGATTTGAATTGCGCTAGCGTAAAGCTAATAACTTATTTTTCTTCCTATCTAATGCCATTCAGGGTTGCTTCTGAGATCAGCACCAAACAACAGTAAGCTCCATCATCCATGTGTCTTACGAAGCATTACGACACGTGTTTCAACAATGCCAATATCATCTTAACTGCAATGAATTGTTAGACAGTTACTGACAGACCACAATGTAACTGTTAGCGGTCCGCCGAAGAATGTCATCATTTGTCTCTTCGTGTGTAACTCTCATCAAAATGTTTAGTCCGCTCTCTCCGTCTCTCTCTTTTTCGTGACAGAGGCGGTAACGAGAGACAACCGCGCTTGAAGTTGTCAAGCGATGCTACTATCATATATTAGATTATACAGCGTAAACCAATATCGTCGTGACAATTTATAATAGACGACAGTGCGCTGCCAGCAACCACCTGGTAATTTACACTTACAAAAAAAAAACAACCAATAATAAAGACAAGCCAATGGACATAAAAACTGTCTGTGTGTGCATGAGACGCACCCGCGATTATAAACAAACGATGAATGACTTTTAGTAATTAAAGATGCTGTGTGCTAACTAATGACAATAACGATAAAGCTAATTATGATGGGCCATTAATATGATTAGCATAGATATAGAAATTATCATTAGTATTATATTGTTATTATTATACTGATATATAAGAGCAAGTTCTAATGGCCTTTATGATGACGCTGCTGGAAAAGTACGAATATGTGTATCGTGGGGCGGGAACACATTCCCAAATAAATAAAACGATCAAATAATCAAATATTCTTCTTATGAGTAAAATTATTTGGTGTAATTTATTTGTCCGACTTTTGATCCACGCCATCTTGGGTCAGAAGCAATATGTGTGGCTTTTTCACAAGTGTAGTGTTCGTTTTAATTATCGCCATCTACTCCGCATCTGAACAGTCTAGCTTTCCAATTCTACATCAGTGTCCATCAGAAAGTAATGGTTTCATAGGTAACTTAGATGTTTTCGTAATGGTATTTACTAATCCAGAAATCAAACAGTTAAATACGCTTGTAGCGTTTGTATTTAACAGATGAGATAACTTAATGCGAGATAATTCATAGTCAATACTAAATAATTGCGTATTAGTATACTGGAGCAAGCACGCATTGTGGGGGGTGCCAATTTATATGATAGACAAATTCAGTGATCAGACAAAAGAACTGAATTATAAAATCAAAGCTCAGTCAACTATTACTGAGAGGTGTGTTGGTCTTTATCAATAAAGTTACTATACAATCAATATTGCGAGCAAGGGTTATTTATAGAAAATATGAACAACGAGACATGAAATGATGGATGGACAGTAATAGCGATGTGAAAACAAGTAAAAGATAATGAGTGCGTTGAGAGTGGACTAATGAACTTGTTTATCATCCCTTTAGTTCGTGTTCGAAATATTGTCAACATTCATAAAATTCAAGTGACACTTTTATAATTGCCCTTATATTCGTATTTGATAATTTCATACTCCGCATACCAGTAACTTTTACAGGGTAAGAGTGTTGCATAAGCTAATTGTTTGTCTAAGTAATAAACCATTAATGCGAGTACGTCCCGTACCCTATTCATTCATTTGTTTGCATTACTGAAGCTGAGTGAGCGTAGTTTGTTTTCGAATTATGATGACTTAACCCACATGACCCGTTTAGCAAAGCATACAACAAATATTACGAGGATTAGTTGTACTAGGACGATACGTCCCAGGTCGTCGCGTTTCTGTGCAGTTGTGTGCTATTTTTAACGCCTTTGACTCTTTCTACTTTGTTAACAAGTCCTCGGAGTTACCCCATCGGTGTAGCATCAAGGACTTGTTTCACCTAGTTAAGGTGGGTCTCGCTGGACTTCCCTTGGGTTCTTTCGACGAACCTTGACCTACGACATAGAAACAATACGATAGCCATCTGCCAAAACCGGAATTTGAGCCAGTTACAACGGCAAGTTCATGGTTACCGTAGCGACGTAATCAGACATACGCATTAGGCGCCCTGTGGTACGTCCTATTAAATTCCATGAACGTAGCAGTTTACTTAACAGTACTCTGTATCGTAAAAAGAAATAGACCTTACTGAATTTAAATAGCTTTTAATTTACAAGCTACGAATATACCTATTTTGGATACAAACCGCAATTTTTAATCGGTACGTCTTCACGCCCGGAGAACAACGCATGTGCAAAAACATCACTAACAGTATTAATGACAACTGGAATTTGGAGCTATTATATAACACCTCCGCTAAGGAGACGCTCCGGGTGCACATAATGTGGTTATCATTGAGTACGAGAAAAAGCATATTTTCTCGTACTCAATAGTTAGCAGGGGCATCTTTGTGTATAATAAATATGTTTACACGAAAAATAGTGCAAAAGCTTTCTATGCAGAGTTGCATCTCAAGGCAATCTCTTTCACTGCATAATAAAATGTCTGTTTTTTTATTGTAGGAACGGTGCCTATTTATCTGCATGTTTATTTTGAAATAATTAAACGATCTTACACAATTTCACGTAAAACCCTGACACTGAACTGAAAGACTGACTAAAACAACAGGTAACAACAACAACAACAACATCACATATTTTATTAAACTAGTAACATTGAGAGAAACAAGACAGCCTGGTTTAGATGAAAATACAATAGATCGATTACTAATGTCGTTCTTCTACGAACTCCAGCGTAGTTTCAGACCATCCTACTATGTTGTGATGTAAAGCCAGTTCAGTACTAAATGAATGTAGAGATGAGAATAGTTGAATTTTGTTAACAAAAAGGCATAACTACAAAACTGGCATTTGTTTGCACTAAAAAAAATAATCAAGACAAATCATTGAAACAACTGAGGCTTGTCTCAAAGACGAATGCATGCTTTCCATTATATTGTCATCAGAATTGGAAAATTAATTGAAGAGGAGATTGCGTTACCTAGTACGCTAAGCCATAAAAAATTAAAGCACTTGTTGAATATGCCTACATGTTTAGAATACGAAGACAACGCCCTGCTCTAAGTTTGTTTGTGGGACTACTACGATTGATCTAGATAATCTTTGAAACACGACCTTTATTTATGTAGCTCCAATAAAATTCCACAGTTCGATATATTTCTGTTTACAGAGTTCAGTTAAATGAGGAGAACATGGAAATCCGAATTTCTGTTAAACCTTTAACTAAACTTGTACAAAGGGCATTGACTTATATAAGAGATACAATCACCCAAAGTCGATCAGACACTAAGCATTGTTTATCTGAGTTTATTAAGTTTAGTATGCGATCAATAAACGGATTTCTTCAAATTACAACATGTTTATTACATTTTTATTGTTTTCATGTGTCATGCAATAAACATACGTTTGTCTACTCGGTACGTATTTGCTAATCCCGAATGATTTATGTGTAATACTCGCTGTTATAAGCAGTAACGTTACATCATGGATGTCAACGGTGCCCTAGTTTTTAGTTTTCTAACATGCTTTCAGATAATCTTAGAGGTTGTATCTCGATATAACACAGCTAATTGAAAAAAGTTTCTATCTGGAATTTGATATGTAGTATGACTCACGAGCCTGTGTACAAATTCTTCTTCACAATGTTAAATAAAACATTCAGTATAAAAAAAAATATGAATACATAAATAAACTACAACGCTTTCTTAGGAGGTTTTGGCGATATAAATACCCGAACAGGTTCACAAAGTTCGATAAAGTTGCTTTCATCGCCACTGGCGAATGCAAGGACTATACCTAACTCAACGTGTAGCGCCTCACTCCAAACGCCATGAGAAAGAAGTACACGCGTGTAGAGACGCTGTCGACCATCGTCCGTTGGCCTGAAGTTCGACCTTCGAGGAAGTATCAGTTGTTCTTGCTTGTCGGGATAACGCAGCCTGCGAAGTGAAATCGGAAGGAATTATTGGTTGCTCCTTTGAGCCACGCGTGAATCTCACAAATATTATTGCAAAAGTCAAATCTAGTACCGTGTTGTCTTTGAAAGTGGATGAAAGAAGTTGGAGAAGATTGTAAAGGTGTCAAGGAACTTAAATATAGGGAATATCTAATTGTAACAAATAAAAGCTAAAAGAAAGCATATATATATATAAGCTAAAATAGGTAAAATCAACGTTTTACATACAGAATAAGTGTTGGAGTTAGCTGGTTTTTTCGTGATAGGACAACCAGTGTACTTAAGCCGCATTTTTTGCCTGACTTTGGAAAATCTTGACTTTTTAAGCTCTAAAGTTGCATTATGTACAAATATAAACCTCGTTTTTTTACAATTAAAAATTCGTAACTGGCTTACGTTTGTTGTCTTTCTAGCCTACTTCTGGAATAGCTATATTGCAAATGGGTGTAGATATACCATATTGTCATATTGTAGAGGGTATAAAAATATGTATAGTTATGCTTGAAGAAAACAACTAGGCCGCATTTGAAATTCGTGTTTTTGGCTGTGTTAGTTTTCTTAATGGCCAAGCTTGAAGCCTTTGTTTTCCTAAAACATTTCGCCAAACTGATGATGGCAAAAAGATTTAGAAAATCAACAGAAAAATAACCTAGGCATAATTTCCTGTTGCTTTCAAATAGTGCTGAAATGCTTTATAAATATATACTGCGCCAATATAATAAGTAGTATGGTACTGCGCTTGCAACAGCTCGAATAGCCTGACGGCGCCCATTCTAGCGGCACCCGACACCATTCATAAACTGACAGGTTTCTCTTGCTTTCCCCAAGGCTTCAATTTTCTGTTGCCAATCTCGGAGTGAATGCAACTCCGCGGCATTTTGACTTTCTACAAACTCACATTCAGATAGATGACCATTTCGGCAGATCGACCTGCTAGCAGAAACAGTTCAGACAGAGAGACCAAGCTAGAACCCTCTTCATACTCCTACCCATGGACGTGTTGAGCAGCTTCTGAAGCGGACTGCAGCTCACGGCAGCCTTGTCTGTTCATTGTATCCGGCCCCATACGACCATCCTCCAGAATCTTGTACCGTGGAGGTTTGACGGTTCTCTCAATAGGACTGATGCAGTTTTGTCTGAGATAGTCCGTTACCGTCTACGATCGCGCCGAAGTCTCCAAGCACGCACTGCTAAGCTTGTGACCTATGATTTCTCCCTGCCTGTGATGGCTTCCTTTGCCAAAAATGGAGGAACGTAGAGAACTGTTCCCTCTCACTTTATACTGCGCCCCAGGCTATTCTCAGGCATGTCTACTGGGATACTGACTTTCTCTACGAACCTTAAGGTTATCGCACCCATAAGGTTATCGCACCCATAAGGTTATCGCACCCATAAGGTTATCGCACCCATAAGGTTATCGCACCCATAAGGTTATCGCACCCATAAGGTTATCGCACCCATAAGGTTATCGCACCCATAAGGTTATCGCACGCAGTCGAGGGTCGTTATCGCACGCAGTCGAGGGTCCTTTATTCAGTCCAAGACCGTGCTGCAGCACTAGCAGAATGGACAGCCGTGCCATGGCGTCCACCATAGCATTCGTCGTGTTTATCGAGTTGTTACAAGCATATCCGAGTTACCGTTTCCTCAGTGAAACTAAATTATCATTTGGTGTTTCCTCATTCAAACTAAATTATCATTTGGTGTTTCCTCATTCAAACTAAATTATCATTTGGTGTTCTTCATTGATCGCATTAAAGTTGATCTGAAAAACGCATTAGGGCTGTATGAAAAACGCATTAAAATTTTTGATCCGAGTTCTCTCAGTTCTTTCCGGCTAGTATGGGACCTGACTATGGCGGAAGAAGAAGACACTATATTCCGTGATTCTACCGCACTTTTTGAATGACATGGCATAGTCTTGTTAGTTTTTGACAATGCAGGTTCGAGACAATGCAGGTTCGAATCATCAATCGTTTGGGGAGGGACTAACTAATACCGCATGATTCCCTTATAGACCAAATTCCTTCTTTGCTTTGCAACTGATTGGGGAACACATCTTCTCATGACCTACTTCTCATCACCTGTGATCAACCGCTTCATAAATGATCTTGGATTTCGCTGCGTTTGTGTAGAGTTTCGCACGTAGAAATGCTACTGAGTAAATTGTTTTCCATGAAGTCGTGTGGTACTGAAATTCGAGCGCCTTATTGTAGCAAGCTTTCATAAAATGGTTTAAAATAATTCGGTAGTAAAAGTTTAATTTTCGGCGATATCAGGATTACTCACGTTCTCGTCTTACTCAGCTTTCGTATTAATTTCACAAGCCTTCCTTGTAATCGATAGATACAAGAAAAGGTACTTATATATATAAATTTTCAAGCCATATATATAAATTTTCAAGCCTTCCTTGTAATCGATAGATACAAGAAAGGGTAAGTTTCACATATAAATTTTCGGGATGTAAGCAGCCTCATGATGACATATCTTAGTTATAAGTAGCACATATTTGTAATAGATCTTATGGATCTGAGAAACTTTCAAATGACACTAGTTCCGACCGAACGCGACTCTCTCGCGATTTTGTTACTTTAAAGAAATCTAGCTAGAAAAACGGTCAAATTTTTTGCGACAATACTGGAGGCAATACTGGACATAAGTTTGCTTTACCCTCAGACATTGAACTTCGGTGCAGTGGTGCCAGTCGCCCCCCTTTAAATAACGCCCGTACAAATGCGGTCAAAATTTATTCCTGAAAATTTAAACCACCGCCAATTCTTGTCCATAAAAGAGCTATTAGCGTACGCAACGACGAGCTCGCGCCTCCTTCAAGCTGGACTTGCTTTGCCCCTAAGCCGTTACGCCGGCATCTGTCTGTAACTTCATCTCCAAAATCTGCTGAGAGCAGCTTTCATTTGCTTTGATTCTCTTACTTTCTTAAACATTACCGATTGGTAGGTTAGCCTATGATTCGACAAACTTCAAACAGAGTTCCTTTAAGTAGATTAAGGCGTAAAATAGACTTGACATTCGTGCAAAATCTCATGTAGGCAGCCTATAGTAGCGGGTGAGACTCACGAAGCTTTTCAACTCCATACCCGTCGCCGAAATTGGCAGGATTTTCACCTTCCAGATTTCCTCGGAATGCACGGAAAAAAAATTCAAATCAGTGTAATCGTGTTATTGTCGCTGTGATTCACTTGATCTTTTTTAACCTTTAAAGTTTTTTTCAGATATAAAATGCCATTTTTCTCTCATGTCATCTAAATTCGTGCTGCTCTACCAGTATCGGCTGATCAAAATAAAAAATAAAAAAATAAAGAAAATCATAATATTAAAGCAGTGGAGGCTTGTGAGAGCCTCGTCATTGCGAATTTGTGACAATCAGTTTGCGGCAGTTAACGCAGAATTTCACCATTCTATGTTTTTGATACGGACGACCAAAGAGGGCCTTATGCTGAAAGACAATTCGATGATAACGTTTCGCAACATAATATGAAACCATCGCGGCTATGTGAAAATGAATGGTGAATTGCCGAATCCTTATAGGATTATCCATTTGCTAAGCGGCACATAGTCTAACCACGGTAAGTCTGCAGAAATACCTAAACTTAATGATTACCAATCGTAAATAATTGATAGTTGGTAATATTTAAGGTATTACTGTTTTCAGAAAAAAACGACAGTGAGAGTCTTGAGCGCGATATGTCAATTGACGCTGCGCAAACGTGATTTTTTTATCAGCTGTCCCCATTCGTCGGTGAATCATTCAACGAAAAAGCCGTAGCAGCTGTTACTGACAGCTATCAATTTTCACCTGTTATAGAATTACAAAAAATAAGTAACCATCAGTACCTTATTCTCACTGCCGCTACGTCCGCGACATTTTCCAGTTCGCAATCGAGGGTAACAGCGACAGGGATTCCGGCCTGGAATTTAATTGGAAGGTCCTGGTCGCCAGTTGGCTCATTGATCACTGCACTCGCCTATTAAATAAGTTCAACCGAAAAAAAAATACTTGAATGTACATAATCGCGCAATTATTATAAAACAGTGCAATAAAGTTAAGCGGAAAACATCATCAATTAACATTTCATAATCACCAAATCGATTAGTTATGGGTATATTCGGTAACAAAAGTTCCCCAAAAACATAGTGAGACTTTTCGATGCGTATACATTTTGGCGAACATTTCATAAACTTTTTCAAGGAAGCCTAGCTTATATTCAATTCAAAACGGTGATTATAACATTGATACTGGATCAAGATACCATATGTGTGCCTAGAGTAGCTTATACAGTTACCTGTCGAATTCTCTGTAGACTTTCTTCCGCAGATCGATAATGTGGGATAATCAACATGTGCCCGGTAGTAGATCCTCCAGTCGTAGCTGGGAGCTTATGCGTGTTTGTCGTAGCTAGCTGTTCAAGGAGAGGCGCCACTGCTCGACACACCGAGCCAGGCCGAGTGTCCGAAAGGGTATCCAGTTCGCGAAGAACAGCTACTGTCCATGCTTCCGGATCGAGTTTATGCTCTTCCAGGTACGTTTGCAGTCGGTCCACCTATGTAACAACCAATTATAGGTGTGTTGAAACGAGGCAGCATTAGTCACACCCTTAAAGAATTTCTAAATATTGTTATTTGTGACCACAAACTAACCTGTAAAAGGAACGCTTCACAAAGTCCTAGGGCTGACATATTACATCCACGTATAACGAGTACAAGATGCAGGGCTCGAAGACGAAGCCATAACTGCCTAACAGCAGCCACCTGCAGCATTCATATGATAAAATAATAAATATTTGAGGAAATAACAAAGTCGTAACTAATAGAATGAGTAAACGTGAAAAACTTATTCAGTGAAATTTATCTTTGCATTGTATGAGAAGTGGCGAAAAAGGAAGCATATATATTACGGCAATATTATTTTGTTGGAAACCTTATTGGAAATATAGGGAATAACCTCAATATATAGGTGAGTGACATCGAAATTAAATTAAATGGTAGAAACAATTATGATCGTTTATTTTTTTCGATGAGGTTATCGCCATAAACGTATGTTGCAAAAGACTGTGTTGCATCTCATACCTCGGGAGGGGTGAGGCCGACAAAGCGATGTTCAAGAATCGAGGCCTGTGCAAATAGCTCGTCCAATTGCGCCTTAAGTGCAGGGCCCATTGGCTGCGTCGCCTGCCCAAGATCAAACCATGAGCGATTCGTCACCACCTGATCAAAGACAAATTTCAGTATTACAATACAAAAATTATATTTATACGAACGCTCCCAATATTCAAGAAACAATAATTTGAAACTGGCCTCATTTAAGTTAAGCTTGTATGCGAGCAGCACTGTGGGTCAAATAAGGCAGTGGGCCTTTTCTCGTACCTGACTAATCGTCGATTGACACGTGATAAAGATTCGAGCACAATGAGCAGCAGGGGCCAATGCAGGCTCAACCGCTGCCAATTGGTGTAGATCCTCAATCGCCGACCGTAGCCATCGATGACGCACTTCCAAAGAACAACTGGCTGGAAGATGTACTACTCTCTGCAATCAATAATATGTAAACATCGACCACAGCTCCTCATAAGGTAACTGTACAAATTTTGAAAATTATGAAATACTTATCACAAAAACTAATGGGCTTAATCAGGAAGATTAAGGGAACTGATTGTCATAGAAAGAAGAATCGTCGTACGATCATCTTAAACAAAGACCTAAATTTATTCTAATGTAACTTTTATTTAGAAAGGACATGATTTACGCACTCCTAATGTAGATTTTGCTACGCAGACTATCACTACTGCCAATGAAGATGAATAGATAAAACTGAATTGACAAATGCAAACTATGCTCCTTATAATTGCTTGTCTATATGCTGCTGACCTGTAACACGTGTCTAAGAAACGTCTCACTCTGCTCAAGCGAAGAACTCGTCAAAGTCTTTGACGCAGCTAAAATTTGCCCATTTTTCAATGGCAACTCCAGGTATGGCACAAGGTGTGGCATTGAATCCCTCAGGTAGATGTAATGCCTGAGTGTGTGTTCTTCAAGTAAAGGAAGCATCGTTGCACAGCCGGCCGCTGCATTGAAAATCACGATCAAGATCGCCATATAACGCCTGTGTGTCAGGTGAAAAATTGCCAAAATTATTCCACTGAACCCTATATTTGGAGTCCTTCATGCTTAGAACAAGAGGCATCACATACGGAAGATTTTTATTCAGTTCACCTATCTTCGACGTCAGGTTCCGGCAGATCAAGATATGGATGGATATTGAGCAGTTTTGGCACCAGGGCTAATGTTATGTGAGGGTTTCGCTCCCCTAAGCGCATTAAACACCGATAAATGCTTTTGCGGTCCTGAGGGTACCTGCGAACAAAGATGAGACAAACATTGTTGAACCTAAATGCCGCATTTTTAAACTCTCATAAATTATAACTAATATTACATTTTCAGCAACCAGGGCAATGAAACTATCATGACAGTGTTATCGGTATGGTCTCGAGACGTGAAAACACTTCTTTGTAACTTTGTTTTGAGCGACATTCTCAGAATAGCTGGCAGACTAATTTTGCTCTTCAAAGTTCGGTCTAGTACACTGAAGAAACGTAGTAAAGGCTGTTAATAGGTAAAACAAGGTGCGTAACAAGTTGTCCTTGCCACCATAAACGTCAACAGGCGTTGATTGGATGAGACAACCTACATCCTTAAATTTTCGAGAAGGGCTTCAATACAGGAGTTCAAACTTGTGGCAGTTCTCAGGCGGCAGCAGCATAGCATCCGGTGCAGAGCCTCGCGTGTGTACATAGAAAAATCCTTAAGAACTGCCAACACGGTATCAAGTTGATCATCGCGAAGTACATGTGCGTGGCCCATTTTTTCCAAAACATCGATTGCCTGTAATAAAACACAATACGAAATAAAAATACATTCATCTTTTGTACGTAACAAATCTTAATGTAATCTGTATTGTACGTAGATCACAGATCATGTACTTTTTTAATCCTCGCAGTACTTTTCTAAATACACATGATAATTTAATTTGTACCTTGAGGCGAACTTCCTCAATTTCATCGTTGAACATATCCACAACAAAGTCGAGCGATTGCGAGGCAAATGAAGCAGATTTGATAGCCAAATTGCAAAGGGACTCAAGGGAAGCCAGTCGGACTTCAAGAAATTCGTCCTCTAGTGCGTGGACAAAGAAACCGCACGCTCCCTGATTAATCAAGCTTACAGTTTCCTCATCAACCTTCTCACGAGGAGCATCGTCCTGCGGTCAAAGAACAATACAGTTTCAATTAGATAGACTAAGATAGTAGAATTTTTTTTGGTAAACACGTAAGTACACGGATATTTGGTTCAATGTTTTTCGTAAGAAACAAGTAAGAAAAGAAGCTATGCGATCGTCATACTTTGGTCTACAGGAACGATTATTACCAGAGCGAAAAGGTGCATGCCTCGTGTATCAAGCGAGTGCACGCTCACCGCGTAACAGATCTTGAGCCGATACGCCACATGCACTCTGCAGGAGTTCTCATCTCACCTGCCATTTTTGTCCAGACGACCATTCACCAGCTTGGAACGCCTCTCGTTGACGCTCATGAGCCGATGCTTTTCTTCGCAGATTTGACATAAGCTTTTTATCAAGTGTTTGTTCCAGAAAACCAGGAGACACGTCAAGCATACTTCCCAGTAGTTGGGCTGCCAGAACCTGTAGTATGTGTGGTAAAAATGAACTTGGTATAACAGATGATATTTATATATTTGCGCTTGAACAGCCATAGAAATAACAAAATCCTCCACTAATACCTATCACTACATTGGACAGTAATCAAAGTTTACCGGTAATTATTACCAGACAAACTGTATTTGGACGGAACAAGCATGTTTGTAGTATAATAGTATTCACGGTTATTATTAGAGCTTGGAGGCTTGGGAAGACAGTCAGAAGAAACGGAGTTTTACCGTAAGTAAACTTACCCGCACGTTCATGCAACCATCATTGATCATCTGGCAGATATTAGCAAACGCGTGATCGTAAAGAGAAATCTTTTCGCCTGAACCCGGCGCCGATTCAACTAGCTCACGACCATGCAATTGAGCCAACGCCTGCAATATAATTAACAATAATATTTTTGTGAGACGGTAGCAGCTCATATTATCAAAATTGTTTTCCAATCCTACCAAACACATAGTATCACCCTTTGGTGTGTTAGTCTAGGCTTTGCCCTAGATTATATAGCCTTTTTAGCTTCCACCATAATACATTTTTTATCATGTATAATCAAACGTTTTAGGCATTGTTCGATTTCGTTTCGGTTTTGAAGTGATTCGCATATCAAAATACGCAATCGTCAATTCGCGTGGCGTCCAAACATCCGAGTTTCTTTTTGTAGACAGTTTTTTTAAATACATCAGAACTATTTGCCAGTGGATCTTTAGTTCCTTAGCGATGTTACGGTTATTCACGTTTCAGTATTGCTCAGCTTCCTCATTAATTTCATCAACTTTTGGGTCGACCTTTTATATCAACATCTTTAGACCGTTTTTTTCCAAGAACACATCTTGACCATGGGCAGAACGGTTTTATGGATTTCGATAGTATTTTGTGTCTTTATTGTAATAATGTTACAGATGTTTGCAGCGATTTTGCTCATCTTCCAGTCGCTCTACCTTAAACGCCCTTGTGTCTGACTAAATGCATTCCAACAATCTTAGCATACCTACTACTGCCAAATCCAGCATTTCACCGACATGATTTGTATTACCTTAGATAGAGCTGTGTGGAGCCACCTAGTTAAAAAAGCGTCAATACTTTTTTAACTATTTCATCCAGTCCTGTTTGTGTAGCACATAATAAGCACTGTATAACATTATGTAGACACAGACATACAGAAATACTGCGAACTGTCCAACCTTGACTGGTTATAGTAAATCTTCCAGTGGAAACCCTGAAACTGAAATGTGTGTCTATTTCAAAGACAAAAAAATTGGCGCACATTTCGATGTCTAGTACGTTTCAATACAATCTTTTTTGGATGTGTGGAAACGCAGGTTTCTAGAATTTTTGGTCTACTAACAAACGAAATCTTTGAATCGCAAAATTTTTGCAGGCAGTATAGTTGAGTAAAATTCCGCAAGTCAAGAGGCATCAATATCGCGTCATCCATAGCCGCTATTGGAGGATTGTTTGGCTATTTTGAAATTTACACGAATAATTGAAAAAAGGTTCAATCTCAGCATGCATATGTATATAAATATTATAGCCGCTGACTTGTTGTATTTCGTACTAATATCGTATAATTGTATAATTCGATTTATTCGGTTCTTAGTCAACATTCGACCTAAAGTGTACTACTTCTCGGTCTTTTATTTTCTCGGGGTACTATTACGTAAGCCGTAAGATATGGCGCTCGAAACTGTGTGATTAGTTTTTCAAGTGTTTTTCTGATTGGATTGTTTTTATATAGTAGACAGAGTGGAACGTTCAAAAGCATATGCATGAAGCCCTGAAGCACGCTGTTGCTGTTCGAAATAATTTGTGAGATTGTTTTCGTGGAGCCAATACGCCAGTAATGTTTGCGCACCAAAACCACACAACATACATCTTTAGCTAAGAATGATAGATATAAAGGCACTTACAACAACGAGTTTCATTGACACCATTCGCACACATTCGAAGTCATCATTAAGCCCTCTTATTGCTTCAGCATAAAGTGACACATCTAGCGGAACGCTTCGACGGTGGAGGATAAGAGCCGCCTCTAACGCGGCTGTTCGTACTCGGGGTTCCTGATGACGCGTGTGAATCGTCAGAGTTGTCAAAACCTGTTCAAAACACAGAGAGAGACATGTACTTAAGCATGCATTATTGGTAATCTTTATTATTGGTAAATCTGATATTTATATATATATATATAACATGACATACACACCTGAAACATACTTAACACCATCCATGTTCATTTAAACAAAAATAATGAATACTTTGATATGTCCAAGTTAATTTCAGCAATTTTTATTTGTTTTGCGAACACGAAGTTTTGATGGCGGTCTGCTGTAGAAATGGGTGGTCGGACCATCGCGTTACATTATCGAAGTCTACTCATTTTATTGCCACTTGTTGTAACATATTGTCATAGAACACTTGGGCTAACTTAAAATGTAAAACGAAGCTAAACTAATTTCCCAATAAGCTCTGTAATTATGATTGCATTCATTGGCAAGTAAAGCGTCGAATTATTACCTGAGAAAGTGTAACGGTATTATCTACTTGCTCGATCGTCTGTGTAGAAGAGCTTCGTGAGGTTCTAAAGCTCGGGGCAGTTTCCGAGGATGCCGGCACTAACTTAGCTAACCATGTCAACACTCGACTTTTGACAAGGTGACTGGTGTCACTAAGGCTACACTCTAGAATCCTGGAAAGAGGACACAAGTTCATACTTTTCGTCGTTAAAAATTGAATACACGTGCCATGTTATATTCGTTACACAGTTCCTTAAGACCTGATCAGAGTTTTTCAAACAAAATCAGATTGTGGGGTCGTTGCTTTGCGATAAGGTAAAAGAAGGTGGCGAGATACATTTCTAGTAAAACCTTCGTAGAAAATTTTTAAAATGGCTAGACTCGAGGGGTTGTAACAACAAATACAATACCTTAGACATCTATTGTGAGTGGGTCGATCATCCGCCTTCATAGCATGTTCTCCCACAGCTACAACAGCGTCCATTAAAGCGGCCCTTACAACATGTGACTCCTCTGACGAGTTGGGGCCTATAATAAACGTGCTCAACTCGTCAAGCCGTGAAGGACATAGCAGAGGTAAAAGCGAAGCAATTTTTGCACGCACTGGGCTGTCGCTTTCCCTATTGGACAAGAGTCGAAAAAATCCAAAAAATCAAAATTGTGTTTTTTAAGTGCGACGGCCTCTGGACAGACTCAAAAACTGGCATACAAAAGAGAGAAAACATGACATTAGAAAATAAAAGCTAAGCAGCATTAAAAGTCCGTTTAAGTAAATAAACATTAGGTAGTGAATTAATCACCTTTGGAAGTGTTCAGCAAGAACACGATGCATGAGAACACGTTCTTCTGCCTCTCTAGGCATCGACCTTTCCAACTGAAGAAGAACTCCTAGACGACCACGTTGGTCATTATTATTGCGTAAACTATCGCTCACCTAATGAGAAGGATGCAGAAGCACGATGGTAAGTTAAATGTTTTTACCGTTGTGACTTTGGAGCTAAGTCTCATATATTTACATGAACTATCGACGAAAACACAAGCCATGTAATGCAAATTTCATACAGCGCATATTCATAGCACACAAAGCGTAATCACGTGCGCGTATTAAGCTATAAGTGCAATTTCATTCAAAACCGTTTTCTGAGTCAGAATAATAATATTTTGTTTTTACGAGTTGTTTTCGCTTCACTAAAACGGAAATGTTTTTATTTTCAGAAGTCGTTAACATTATTCGCATCCGTATGTATTTGTATCATGGATAGATAAGTAAAGGATGACGTCTGTCTGAGATTAGCTGTGATGCGATTGGCTTGGCGTTGCTTGTGCTATTGCGTTCAGCTATTTGATATACATATATATACATATATATATACAAAGAGTGTCCTAAAAAAGTAAACGTAACTTTCACCGACAACATGTATCACTGTTAAAATGGTACTTCTCTGTTAGCAACGTTTGAAAATGCGACGGGCACTTGTTTTGCTTACGTCAAGCTCATGGCTTGATTGTCTTACATATTTTTTTAGCAGTTTTGCTATAATTTCTTAGTACTCTTTCTTGGCCAGTAGAATTCATTAATATTCTTGGTCTTCCGGAACATCATGTATGAACATCCTGAACAGTTCCATCTTATCTTTTATCCGATTACTTGTCGACTAACTGATTGATTCTAGTTAATTAACTAATTAATTTTCATTAAGTGCATCTGCCTGAAACTCCCTGCAATAAGACTTTAGTATTTCTGCTGTATGTTCATACTTCCAATTAAAAAATTAGAGCCCGTTAAACAGCATATATATTTCTTGGATAGCCTGATATATATGTACTGCACTAAAAGAGCTCTGCCGAGACCGAAACAGATGATATAGTCTGATGGTACTGATGAACGGCGCGAATGCGTTCAAATTTCCCATCCAACTTCTCTCAGTGTTTGCCGGGTAGCTAAAGATATATGTGGTATGGCATTGTTATGGTTAAAAACGACGCCCGATTATTTTTAGGAGTTTATTTAAGTAATTTTTCTTAAATAGCTTGTTGTAATATTATGAGTTGTTGATAGTAGGAATCCCAATTGATCGTTTTACCCAACGGCAGCAGCCCATACTGCGTGATTGTCTGCAGTTCTACCGAACGTATAGTATCACTTTCTTTGGTGTCTATGCGGCCTCGCTATGGATTACGGAGCAATGTTCTCCAACTTAGTGTCAGATACACTTTTCAGCACCCGTGATTAATTGCTTTAGTGATAACAGACCAACTTTATTCAGTTTCTGCAAAGCTGGAATGACGATTGAATAAATTCTGTTGCGTCAGTTTGTATGATACCCGACCCTCGGACTTCCTTTGTAGCCAGCATCCTTCATATGATTTAGATCTATGTAGTGGTGTGTGTTTAGTTCCTCGGCGATATCATGGCTACTCACATGTCGGTCTTATTTAATTCCTTCGACCTATTTGGTAACTAACACGCCATTGAAAATAAATATTTTAGATCAAAATTTCCAAAAAGACACTTTGACCTGACTGAAAAATGACCACTTTTAGTTCATTTCTTTCTATAATGCATGTCGATCATTTCAGCACAAAATTTCTATGGGCCTGGTCAACATTTTGTGCTTTTATCGTAATAAAATGGACAAAATATAATAAATTCACTTATCTTTAGTCTCAGTAAAGGAATTACAACAATTTTAGCCTATGTACTACTATGTGCCTTTCAAATGATACTTATTATTAGATGTATAATTTCAAAGGTACCTAGCTAGAATACTTTTTCGGCTATCCAGTAGAAATAGGTAGATATAATCTATGTAATGATTCTGTTCACTTTTTGTTATACATTCACTACCGAGAATAACGGGACACCTATACTTCAACCTAATGCAAATAATTCCAATTTGCAACTAATAACCTACGATTACTGGCCTGCGCTTCTTATTTTTCAATCTCAATTTTTCATCTCAAAGCAGCAGTATGGAAAAGGCAGTTACTCGATGTGGTAATTTGCTGCTATCGTAAGTTATTGTTTTAAAATAAAACTGCTCTCCCCACCCAAGCTATTGTTTTAAAATAAAACTGCTCTCCCCACCCAAGCTATTGTTTTAAAATAAAACTGCTTTTCCTTTTTCTTTTAAAAGAAGAGCAGTTTTTTGTTATGCACGCCTACCTCTATTTCGAAGTGGGCATGTAGTGGACTGCAGAATTTCCCACAATGTATATGTTCAAATAAAAGCATAACTTTGGACGTATATTTAAACCTTATTAGCCAGGCATGTTCAAAGTCGCAAGGTTTTATTTAACCGAACGAGTATTTTCTTTATAAGTAAGTAAGAGGGATAAAGTAAAGACGACGTTGGTGATCAACGGCCTCAGGTCCTACAACTACTGCCTATGAAGTATAACAGTACCGTAATGCTTTTTCTAAGGTTAATCTGTTATTTACCTGTTGAGTCTTTGTGTGGATCTCAGCCTTTTTAGTGAGATGTAGCTTCTTCAGTGGCCTTTGTCTCGGAGAACCTTCCTGTATCGTCGCAGAATACTCTGCCAAGGCGCGTTTTTTCAAGACAGCCGCCATGGCTACAAAAAGCCGGCCTAACAGTCAATAATAATTGTTATAACACAAAATAGAACCTTGAACACCTTTATTTCTCCTGCACTGGCTGGTACGTTTGTATCTTTGTAGATTTTTCTTAAAGTTTCGGTAGAACAAGAACGATATTATAAAAATCTGAAGGATCAAAAAATAAATTGTTTTTGATCCCTCGGAAATTGAAGCAACAAGTCACACGTCACGTAATAATGCTATTTGCGCGCTCCGCTGCGATCATCATTTATATTACAACGGAGTTGATCGCATGTATTTTCATTCTGTCAAAAAGTGATTTTCGCTTGTTTATAACATAATTTACAGAACAGCCGCGCTGTTCACATATGACTGGTAGCCGGCCAGTAGTTCGAAACATTCGTCAATAACACCCACTGAACTACACAGAGCATTCGACGAAGTGGATTAGCATAAGTATATTTGCGCGCCTCACGATCAATCTGATATATTTCAAATGTTGATGGATGTTTTATTCATTAAATGCATTGTTCTGGAAGCAGGTTTACTGGACCACTAGAGTTTAATGGTAAAGTTTTTCTGATACTCATGCTAGTTCAGATAGCACATTCATCACCGCCTGCGCATCCATCGACTGGCCAGCGCTGTTCATCTAGTCAATGGTTGATTACCTACTGTTGCAAAAGTCCGCCTTGTCGAACGGCGTGATTCTAGAGGTAGGCTTGCATCAGGCTGGTATTTCTCTAGCAATTTGCTCGGTAAGTCCTCTTGTTTTACTTACATGATATCACTAATTATAATACACGGCATCGTAGGTGCAATTGCCATATTGACGTGTCTGATAGTGTCACACTGGCGGCGTGGAAGATAAAAGATCGACTTTGTCTACCTGAACAGGGGCGTCCATAATGGACGCGCGCCTAAAATACGAGTGCATAAGCGGAACGGCACGTCTGGGCTTTCGGGCGACGTCACGATACAGAGATTTGATAAATTCAAATGTTCAAAAATGAATTGAAAAGACCATCAAGTAACGGGAAGATTATTGAATTGATTCGTTGTTTAGAAATTCCCGACCGATTGTGTACAATATTGACAACTGGCTTGTTCTCTAAGCATATTTGTCATGTGCACGCTTATCCTTGGCATTTCCTCAAGCAAGTTCGAGTCTACCAGAGTCTTTGACGAAAATATCCTGCTTTAGTTGAAGCTGATTCTTGCCTCAAGATAAGTCGGTCGTAACCTTAACTATATATTCATTACAAAGTACAGCCTAAGGTCTAGTTTCGTCAGTATATTGTAGTTTGTTGTGAGTAAGAGTGCTTTTTTTACGTTATTTCATTGCTATCTGATCCTTGTGATGTTATCCTTCAACGTTCACTGATTAACATGATTAATTTTTCTTACTTAAACTACTAAAAGGAAACTAATGAAGAAGTTGACAAAATCTATTCAATTGTTTTCGGTTATAAGGATGGGGCGAGGATTGACAATTGTTCCATGTTTCATTTCTCGTAGATTTCAATCCCGTCCGTCTTGAGTGAAAATGCGCCGTCTACTTTGTATAAAAGTTTCGTGTAAAAATCGGCAAAACTTTTAAGTCGTCGATTATTGCTCATAGGTGCTTGAATTTATTGTTGATTATTGTTACTGTCAATCGTCACTTGCTCACGGCTCTTGAGCCTTTTACAGACATGCAGGGGGTAAGAGGCATTAGCCTGGACGGAAAAGTATAAAATATATATCGTCATCCTTGCCCCTAACATTGTTCACTTAAAAACTCAACAATTGGGGAGTTTGGTGGTTTTATCAGTTGCAATAGTATTATGAGTATGTACTCCGTATTAATGTGATTTGCAAGTCAGCAGTGCGAAATACTGGAATCCCATTACGTTCGTGTTGGTTTTCGAATGCCTTAAGGCTAGTCGTAACGATGCGGTAGTGTTGAAAAGGGTTCATAACTGTAAATACATCAACATTGAGAACAGACATTTGCGATCGTGCAATTGGTTTCTAGCTGTGCGCACCCTGTTGATAGGAACGGCTATCTAATCGTCACTCAGGTTACGTTATTTACATACAACAACATCAACGTTGTGCCATTGAAGTAAGGCTACAAGCGTCTTAATTCTCTACGACTATACACCACCTTTATGTTGTTGTTGTTGTTGTTAACAATGATGATGATGATGATGATGATGATAATGATGATGGTGGTGGTGGTATGAGTTGAAGAACAGCACACCGACACGCGACCATTTTACTGACTTGCAGGCGCTTGCTGTCCGGCCCCGACGCAACCTGTCCTGCACGCACCTGGACTGTTCCTGGACACCATCCCGGTGTCTACTCGCCTGTCTTCTCAGCCTTTTCGAGTTTGAGCGGCGGATGACAACACTATTGACGCGTACTTCTCTGCTACTCCGGTTGATCGAAGCTCACTCGTGCCGCTGTCTGAAAAAGCGTCATTTCTGCTCAGTCACTCACCTCTTACAGTTGCCGTCCAACGCAGAGCGGCAGGATCATCACGTTATTGTTACGCGGCTGATCTTATTGCGTGAATAAACCATCTCTAATAAGGTGCCGTCGTTTTCCGGAGAGTTTTTTCATATACCAAAATTGTGCTGACAGACAATCTACCTACCTTTTGCCGTTGAAACCGAGGGCCACCGGTTAATAGAAGCTAGAATTATTAATACGTTGGAAAATTTAAACCCAGCAAATAGTACATAGTCAAGCAAGCCAGCAAAGCCGACAAGTGCCGATTAAATCTTAACAGCACGAATAATTATGGGCGACGGCGGAGGAACAACAAGTCCGGATCTTGCGTCGATGGACGGAAGCGGCATTTCAACCTCTGATCTTGACCGTCAGATTGCACAGTTGCGCTGCTGTGAGATTATTCGTGAGTCGGAAGTCAAAGCGTTGTGTGCTAAGGCCCGCGAGATTCTCATTGAGGAAAGCAACGTGCAAGTCGTAGACGCACCGGTAACTGTTTGTGGGGACATCCACGGTCAGTTCTACGACCTAAAAGAGCTATTCCGTGTCGGCGGTGATGTGCCAGAAACAAATTATTTATTCATGGGCGATTTCGTCGACCGTGGTTACTATTCTGTAGAGACGTTCCTACTGTTGCTGGCATTAAAAGTGCGCTATCCTGATCGTATTACGCTGATTCGGGGCAACCATGAATCGCGGCAAATCACGCAGGTTTACGGTTTCTACGATGAATGCATGCGCAAATACAATAGTGTTACAGTATGGCGTTACTGTACTGAGATCTTCGACTATCTTTCTCTGTCGGCTATTATCGACGGGAAGATTTTTTGTGTTCACGGCGGTTTGTCGCCATCGATTCAAACGCTAGACCAAATTCGAACCATCGACAGAAAGCAAGAAGTGCCCCACGATGGGCCTATGTGCGATCTGCTATGGTCCGATCCCGAGGATATGCAGGGTTGGGGCGTGAGTCCTCGAGGAGCTGGTTACCTCTTTGGCAGTGACGTCGTGCAACAGTTCAATGCGGCAAACAATATTGATATCATCTGTCGCGCGCACCAGCTAGTCATGGAGGGTTACAAATGGCATTTCAACGAATTAGTGCTAACTGTTTGGTCTGCGCCAAATTACTGTTATCGGTGCGGAAACGTAGCGGCGATACTCGAATTGGATGAATATCTGCAAAGGGACTTCACGATCTTTGAAGCCGCACCACCCGAAAGTCGAGGAATACCAACAAAAAAACCCCAGCCAGATTATTTTCTTTAATTAAGCGTTGTCATTTATATGACGAACAACAGCAAAACTTAGCAGCAGTAACAAGCGGGCGGCGGGCAATACCTTCTGAGGTAACAGAAAACATGTTGATGATGGTTTTCTTGTCTTTTGGATCGTTTGTATTTATGCCCATAGCTGTGGTACAAACAATCTTAAGAACACATTTAGAAAATAGATCTTAGAAGGTTATTACACCAAGGACAGCCCTAAATAATAATAATAATGTTTATCGAACGTTGGGTGAATTTTCCCCCTTAAATCCGTCAGCTAGCAAGTTATGCTTGCGCAGGCGCCTACGTGGGGTTGCATAGGACTGGCATTAAGATACAGGGACAGATAGGAGCAAAGCCGCAGCTGATGTTTCATACAGTTACTGTACAATGGATCTGTGTCCCTTAGAGGACCAAACTTGGCAGTTTTTATATCATGACGATGAGGATATACATTAGAAAATATCATAGGTAATGCTGGGGCGAAAATTGTATAAAATGGGCTGTATGTGTTTGTTCAGACTATCTATCATGCATTTTATGTATGGAATGCATAACAAGCGAAACAAGTTATGCTCAAGTACCGTTCCTGACACGAAGTTGGTGGATTGTTAATAAAATATGTGAATTGCAATTGCTAGTAATTTTTATTAGCTTGTCTGTTTATTATGCCTGACAGCGTAATCACATCACAAGTATTTTTTTGAGGGCACATCATTAGATCAGGTCACATGGCTTCTTTTGCCAGTACTAAATCTTGATTTAGGTTATATTGTCTTACCCTACAAGCATGATTTGCGTGGTCAAGTCGATTTAGGATGCATTGGGAAATTTGTTTTAAAATTCCTATAAGTACTCTTTTGCGCACTGTTGTAACGAGCAGCACTAATTGTAACTACGATTCCAGTAACACGAACACGAATTTGTGTAACCAGCTTCGATTTTTTTTACATGTTTTTTACTGCACGCTCTGTTTAGTAAAGCTTGTTATGTAGTGCATATTGGTAGTTCTAGAACAATGACACCTTCGAAGTCTTGATACGTCCGAGATAATTTTTGGGGTTTGGAATTACTCTAAGACCAGTGGTGAACCGCTTACCTTGCATATTCGTTTCTGAAATCGGGTTAAAATTCTTTTTTAAGACAGGCGACCAAGTGTTCACCATGTTGTTGTTTTTTTTCTAGATCGGCCTGGATCTGTTACATCTTTTTTGAAAATGTGGTATAGTATTTTTTTTTTCGAGCATTTTTTGGGCTAGACTATGATGATAATTACGTACTTCATGGTGTCCACGAATAGGCTTCTGTTTTGATAACAATAACAATCATAAAATCTATTTTGATCATCGTGCTCCACAATGCATTTTTGAACCCTGATGATTCGTGTTTTTTTGGGACAATAACAGCCTACTATAAACATAGTAATAGAAACGTAACTTTTTTTTATCCGCACATTGAGAAACAAATTTTCTATACTTTCCAAGAGTGACATCCAGTGGTGGGATAGGGGCACCTGCGGTTTTCAGAGATTGTGAGACCCATTTGTAATTTCCAGTAACTTATAGAAAACTGTTCGATCTGTCGTCTCTTGTCCGCAGGTGCCCCTATCATCAGTCGCCCGAACCCAGGACACTCAGTCTACGTGTATGTCATTTTGACTGGCTATTGGGTATCTAACACTGAACGTCCAGGTCTACTTCCCGTTCGCGACGTGTTTGTGTTCTGTCCATAGCTGAAACTTAAAGGAAATGCCACGTTCTCCGTAGTGGTCACAGAATTGTACAAGCAACTGTACAACGCTGCAAGCCAACCACGGTAATTTGATTCGATTGCGTTGCATTAACCAGGTGGTTTGCTGAGCTGATTTCAGCCGAATCCACTAAAGAGTGACAGCCGTGGCCACTATGGAAGCGTCTCTAGCACAATGCATCGAGCAATCCGTGTCAGCGTCTGCGACGCCAGAACAGCGTCGCGCAGCGACCAAAGCCTACAACGAGTTCAAGGAATCGAAAGATCCCACTGTCATGGCTGCAGCTTTGGCATTATGTGCTCCACAGCCAAAAACAGGGTATACGCCCGACGCGTGCAACGTCCGGCATATGGTGCGTCATGGCGCTCTGCTACTGATGGAGCACTGGGTTAGATTACGATGGAACGAATTTTCTGAGACCGAACGAACCCAACTTAAAACTGAATTGTTTCAATGGATCGAGGGAACGGGCGATATTATGCAAGAAATTCCACAGGTCAAAGAAGGTATCTGCCGCCTTGCTGTAGAAATCGCCAAACGTGAATGGCCGCAAAAATGGCCTGAACTGATGCCAACTTTATTTACTATAACCAAACTCCGTGGCATGGGCCAAACAGAGCTAGTATTACTTACGCTGCTTCGAATAGCCGAAGACGTCGTGCAACTGCAAACCCTAAATGATGCACCTCAAAGACGCAAGGATATATATCAGGCATTGACTGACATGATCCCAGGACTTTTCGAGCTCTTTTTTGGCATACTCAACAAATACTACTCACTAGAAGATCCCAGTCCAGCTGTAATGGCGGCTCGTGCCAAACTTCTAGCCAGTACGTTGATCACACTAACCTGCTATGTTGAATTCGTTCAACTGAAGGAATTTTTGCTTGACGATGTATTCAAAATGCTCTGCTTTCTCCTAAATGATTCAGGCCTTCGTTTGCAGGCCGCTAATTGCCTCTGTGAAATAGCAGCTAGAAAGTTTAAAGGCCTGGAACTCGAACAGCTCTGCTCGAAATTCCTTAAGCAGGAGGTGATGTCGGAGATACTAAGTAGCATCGGTGGAATACTTGCGGCCACTGAGCAGGGTCGGGAGAATGATTCAACGTTCCTGTTGGCGTTATGCGAAACACTCGCTGGAGTGTCGAAACAGATTTCAGCGTCCATACTTCAGTCGGATCAGAAGTTTGAATATCCTTCGACGTTTGTTGAAATGGTTAATGCTGTTATTCAACTGTGCCAGCACCCCAGTTGTGTTGTGGCCCGTGTCGCATTGTCGGCAGCCGCACCGCTGTTGAAGGTCGAGCAAAAGGATGCCAGTAAGCTCGCATATCCACCATTGTTGTGGACAGTTGTTTGCAAAATGATCCAGCAAAGGCTCGTCTTCAATGACTACACTCAATCTGCATGGGATTTTGAAGACTACGCTGAACTAAAAAAGGCCTATAGCCATTTCCGGTCAGAGTTATGTGACCTGTTAAGAACTGCTGTGGTAATTCACCCTTCTGTGGCGGTTAATGTAGGATTAACGCGTTTGAGGGACCTGCTTCAACGAACGTCTATTATAAGTTTGACGCCGTTGACTGCTAGTAACAGTAACGCATCTTGTGCTGTGACCGCCGAAGAGTGGGCCGGCTTTCACCGTTATTTAGATACCGTTTGCTCAACTATCGTCAAGGAATCGGTATATATAGTCAACAGTGATATACCTATGCAATTTATAGGAGCTTTTGATGAACTAGTGGCGTTAAGTCGCGCTGGCGAAGATAACCTAAGCAGACTTTCGTCTATTGCCTCTTGTTGTTCTGCTCTATCGCATTTTATTGCTGACGACACAGCCAGGCTGGGTAAACTTCTTGAAGTTGTTTTTGCCATGGGGGCTTTAGAGCTACCTGGCGAAACAAGAGCGACACGGTCCCCAGAATCTCGTGAATATCGAAAACATGGTACCGCTCTATTTGTCCGCTTATGCGTGGACCATCCTCAGCAAATGGCCAAGCACCTTGAGGCGATCAAGCTTACTATCTCCCAAAGACTGACATTAAATACTGTTAGTGGACTAGAAAGGCAACACTACCTCGAGGGGTTGACTGTGCTTTCGAATGTGGCAAATGACCCAGTTGCGCAGTCCGCTCTTCTAGAACACATGTTGGCTTCCGACGTAGCATTCTTTTGCGCTGATCCCGTTTTCATAAGGGCTGTTGAAAACGTTCAGTCCTTTGCTCTGTTTCTGGGCTTACAGGATATAGAAGCCTTTGCAAGGGCTGTCGACAACAGGGCAAATTTGACAGGCAAGCTTATGTCCATTACTGGAGTGCTAAAGAGATGCAAAACTATCCAAGACAGACACGTAGCCTTCGAACTAATTAGCAAAACGTGTTTGATACCGATCCTGAAAATCGTCTGGTTATTCAAAGAACTATTTGCACATTTGAATTTACTACATCCTGATATTCTTCAAAGTATAATGTGCCTCAACGAAGCCGACAAATCGAATATTTTTGCCGACAACCGACCATGCTGCGACTTCCCTGTACCGAGTGTCTCTGCTGCTCAAGGCTTTGTTTCCATTCTGCAGGAGACGCTTAGTCAGTTTCTGGTTACTTGCACCTTCAGATCCGAGTTCTATACTCTACGAGACGATATGACCTACATCATAACTCACGGCATGGAGAATCTGCCCATTATCAAAATGCGATTCTACTTTCATTCCGTGGTCAGGTCGCTCGTCAAAAACTGTCCCGAGCGGCTACTTTTGCCGAAGCTATCGTCAACTTTTGTTCCGCTCATGTCAAGTGTTTTTACTTTTCTTCATGGGCAATGGCAGGAGTGGATGAGCCGAAAAGACATCGACAGAGCGCATGAGGAATCCGAAGCAACACTTGAAACATTTGTGAATGAACAGGTCATGCATCAGATGAGCAGAGATCTTATGGAAGTCATGGCCAACTTTCTTTTAGACACAAACAAGCCGCAAGTAACAGCAGGGCAAGCGTCTAATTTTGAATCGGTGTCTGCGATTACTACTTTCGGCAAAGAACTTTTAGTTGATGAAAGTGCAAGCCAATGCACTATTACTATCGCCTTTACAGCCCTTTTCTGGGGTGATACGTTAACAAGTTACAAGGCATACAAGTTATGTCGTGCCATTACCGCGTACATTGTGGAGAGTGGACGCGAGTTCGACATCCGTTGCTCTTCATTTATGTTTGGAGCGTTCTTGCGTTCGTTACGTGTGCACGGCGACGAGGAAGGGCACGTTGCCCTTCTACTGTCCTTCGGTGTTTACCTGTACAGGTGGTTAGGACATTCTAGGGGCGCAAGTGATTCTAGCAGTCCTCAGCCCTTCCTGCGAGATATGCTTCTTCAAGCGGGCTGTAATGAGGTCTCTCTAGCGCACTTCGAAAGGAGTATTGCACCTGGTGTAACGACGCCTCAGAGAAAATGCAAAGAACTTTTCAAAATGGCTGTAAAAGGAATTATAAAAGAAAGCGTCAGTACCCAATGGAAGGAAGAAGTTCATATTCAGCATTTAGCCCCGCTGTGGAAAATGCCAAAGAAGCGAGTGGATGACGAAAAAGTGATTTCGCTGGAGGATTTATTTGGATAACAGAAGGAAAAGGGACCTAGTTAGCCTACAGGAGTATACCGCCCAAAACTTGAGAAGGTGAATGCTATATGAATGCACTGCACTGTACATCGTCCTTCAAAACCCGTAAAGTAATTACAAATATCTCTGACACATTAATGAAGCAATGCCGTAATAAGAAAATGCTAATTGAAGATTAATCTTATTTTTCTCGCGGCATATGTTAATAGTACCCCCTATGGCCTCGTTTGCAAATTCAAAAGCGCCAGGTCTCGAAAATGATGACGCCTGTATTTTTGCTAACTATCTAACTCTCCTTTTGTTGTCTAAAAATGGATCAAGACGGAAAGGCTAGTGCCGGTTGTTGAGTGTGTCGACCTGCTATTAAAACCAGGCGTAAATATGATGTTTACTAGACGAAGTAGTTACCTATTTGCTCGATGCAGACGTTTAACAGCATTTCCGGGAGCGTTAAAAAATGGTTATGTAGAGTAAGGGTGTTTACTCTAGCAGAATAATGTGATTTTAATACTAATCAGACATGTAATCAACAGACGTTGATGTGGCTAAGCAGTAGTATAAGGGCATTCCCGTCGAAATGTGCAATGCATTCCTAGCAGAGTTCCTCAGATATTTTCAGTTGTTTTGCCTAAATCATAAATTGTAACGGGAATTAGCAAATCCTGTCACTTATGAACCTAATATTGATTTTGTACACGTTGTACATAATAGAGTGACCTGTCAGCTAGCAATCTACCAACAGTATACCATTAGCTGTGCTCATTATTGCGATCGTCATCAGGGGCAAATTTGTATAGAGCGGACAAGTTTGTTCCGTATTTGTACAGTAATTTAAGTAGCTAAATGTTGGGTTGATCTATTTGATATCATTTTTAATGGATCTCTTTGCAGTTCTGCATTGCGCTGAAAAATGGAGATCCTGGGATTTTTATTTGTAGAGATGGACCAAACGTTGCATCTTAATAATAATTCAATCTAATGCAAATAATTTGTATTTCACGTGGTGTACGATTCCGCATCACAACGGTAAATACTTATACATTTCAAACAATATAGGATTCTAGAGAATACTCAAGAGAGTATTTTAATAAAGAAATTCATGGAAATAGCTGTGTTTTTATTTTTATCGTTACATTAATTGTTGTTATATATATATAAATTTTGCCTGTAATTTTACTGCACCAGCTTCATTACTACCACAAGTTTTTACCGACGACAACGCTCGTAATTCGTAAGGACAGTTTGACGCGACTAGTAGAAGGTGTGTGCAGCGATTGGCTCCTTTTTCAGGTAACGAATTCGCTACCAGTTCAGGGGACAGGATCAAGTGAAACGTGCTAAATTTTTATAAGTGCTGTCTCCAAGTCAGAATATCAATGTGCAAGATGTATCTTTTGTTATGCAATATATGAGAACCATCTAGTATGAACTATCAGTTTGGAAAATAAGGGCTTTATTCGTCGAGATACTCAATAATCCTGAAAAGTTTTTCGCTCGGTGATTGGTTTGTTTCACTATCTATTCACTCGCATAAATTAGACAATTTTTGACAACGGTCGGTACTATACTGTGTAGTCTAAACTCAGAGGCCACTCTAGGACTTCTTCACAAAAAGTTTTCTGCTTGTTCACGATGCTTCTACTGGAAACGAGATCATCCTTCATAAAACATCCCTCCTCCTAATCGTTTCCCCTGTGTGTACTCTACTGTACCATATGCCTTTTCCTCCTTCTTTTGCACGATGCTTTTACGACGATCTATTTAAGTTGACCGAGTGATGCACTATTTATTCCAGAGAACATAATCTAGATGCGCGAGTGTGTCAAAACCCGTATTACTACCTACAAAGTTACGCACTAAAAAAACACCTGCAGAATACACGCGAGTCTCCGTTATAATCTATGGGATAGATATCATACCCGGTACGCGCGAGACGCATGCTCCTTTGCCACAATTGAAAATTTTTGCTGTTGCCTTTCTGAAAATCATTCTATAATCAACTTTAACTCTGTTGTACAGTTACTGTACATTCTATTCAGGAATCAGCTGTTTTGCTAAACGGAGTAGCACAAACGATCAAGAGAGGAGACAGTTGGTCAGATCGTTTGGGAGCAGTTTTGTCATCATTGCAAGGAATAAGTTGGATGATTGAAATTATTAAATGTAAAATAAACATACATAGCAGTGGTGCGTGTACGTTAAAGTTATTTATTTTTACTTTCTCCTTTTGTGATGCAGGTGGTACTGCCACTGAGTGATGATCGCAATGAACAGGCCGTTGTCAGTAGTTCCCGGTGCTAGCATTGAAACTCTTAATGGCGGTACGTCCAGCGACCAAACGGAAGCATCGTTGCCAAAGATCGAAAGACCTGATGACGTGATCGCTGAAATTGACGTGCTATTATCGGATGACCTTAACAATTCTCTATACCTACTTCAGTATCCGTACAGGCCACGTGATCAGCCACCATACAGGCCTGACGAAATCACAGCTATTCGATTCAAACCTGAAAGGGAACAGTTAGAAATTCAGCTAGGTACGTTACAAAATTTAGTTTTCGATTATTAATTAATTAGCTGAATAGTATATAATTAATTAATAATTATCATATACTATTCAGCTTATAACTTTATTCAGACATTCTGCAAACTTTTTACTTCTATAGCAATTAATACTCGAGGAGTAAACTACGATCGACGAAGAAGTGAAGCGATCGCAACAGCAAGCAACCGTCAGTGGGGGGGTGGTGGAAGTAGTAGCGATGGTTCAGGAGTTGGCGGTGGTTACTTCCCGAACGGGGTTGTGGACCGGCAGCTTTTGCGATCGAGCAAGCCTATCGGGAATGGGAGCGAGTCAAATCTCGCTGTCGGTCGATTTGAGAGGATTCGAGATTCTGAGGGGAGAATTGCCAGGTCTGTGTTGCATCTAACACCTATAAAAAACGTGCTGCAGATGGAGACGGCGTGCGATTATCTCGACGCACATAAAACGACCGGTCAGGTAAGGTCGAAACAGCGGCAGGCACCGATGATGTACACTCATTTTAATGTTTGTACTGAATCAAAGCACATGCTACGGGGTTGTAAGTCCATTTGCCTCAGTTGAATTATGTATATGAGCAGATATGGTGTCTAGTATGAGATGTACACGCAAATTGGCCAATTTTTTTCGCCAGAATGTCAGTGCTACCATCTTAAATGAGATAAGCACACTCTTTTCAGGGCGGTAAGGGTGATGGAGAATCTGAAGACTCGAAGCCCGTCACAGTTCGGTTTGCTGGCAGGGAAAGTGATCGGTGAGTAGCATAGCGATGGTTAGCCATCAACGCGTCCTGTTTGATAAAAACATGCCAGTGTAGCCAACTAGGGTCATGGATTTTATCAACTTTTATAAGCGATAACTTACCATGTATTATATAAAGGGGCCATATAATTGTCACCAAACCTCCTATTTTTACCCAGTCGACAATAGGATATTCAAATACGTATAGTAACGATGGGCAGACACTGTAGGAAGAGGCTACGCCTATGAATCTATTACTGTTATTATATAATACCTTCGTTAGTTACCGCTAAAAATACCTGTTCAATTAGTGTGAAAGCCATTCGCGCCAGAGCGTACTCCCAAATTGTGAAGAAAAATGCCGAAGAACCATGGCAGGCGATGGGGTATCGCGACATGGAGAGCCCCGAGGCGGAACAGGCGCGTTTACAAATGCTCTGTCCACATCAACACGATGCGCATGGCGTTTCGACAACGGATAATTCGAATATTTTCAACGTGGAAGGGTCAGAGTATGCTACTGCAATCACCAATAGGCATGCCGCTGGACTCCGAGGAGACTCACTGAAAAGCATCCGTGAAAAGCCACTCAATGAACAGGTAGCTTGCGGTCAGCAAATAATAATAATAAATGTTTCGTACGATTTCCGCAAATAGTGATTACCTGTCGTCATAATATGATTACGGCTGCTGTACAGCAAACCGAAGCGTTGATAAACCACAGGGTGATGATTGCTTCATGTCACTTTTGCGACTATCTTTTTTTAATAGACCCTGTGCTCGGATAAAATTATATTCCATGTAGTTAATAAAATGTTTTACTGAAGTGTGATTAAACTCTGAAAACGAAAAATATAGTGATGATCTACAGGCTTCAGTGCGGTCGGGTTGGCTTTGCAAAAAGACGTGCTTGTTATTGCCCTTCGTTTTCCTTTCTCAACTAAAATACAATTCATACTTAACCCAATTTTACACTGCGTCGCGGAACTTCGCATAGACCTTTGCTGGACGAATCACAGTTCTTGACCCGTCTAAATTGACAGTAAATAACTATAAAGCATCGTCTTGTCTAAACCAAGTCATTGCCCCTTAGAGCTCATGAGAGCGTGGTGTCAATCAATCCCACCCGAAACGTACTTTAGGCTAAGTAAGGCAAGATACTGATGTGTGATCACACTAGTTCTTGATTGAGAATCAGATTCAGGAGTTTTGACAACAAATAAAACCCTTAACACAAGTGTTTCAAGCAGATTGACACATGCAAATTTTTGCAGGTGGCCTACGTGCTTGGAAACGCAAAGATTCTTCGATTCGACACTCTTTTAGATATCTTGCCCCAAGGACCGCAGGCATTAGATCGGGTGCAGGTGTTAAGGGCTGTGCAGCAGTGCGCTTGCCTCGTACAGGTGCCTACCTTTCTTTCATTAACTATGTATGATAGTTCCAAATATTTAGTATTTTTCATTTACGTATTATTAATCGGCGACAGGACAATGAGTGGAATTATATTACTGTGCCACAGATACTGTTCACTTAACTTAATAGCATCTACTACTCATCCTTTCTCAGGGAAACTGGGTAGTCAAAAGCGAGGTGTTATACCCGAAAGATAGCCACAGCGATCAGTTGGGTCTTCCGGGTGAGATTATGCGACGCTCTCGAAATTACATCCTTGTTCAACTGCAAAATTCGCTTGTTGTTAGCAAGAGCCAGTTGACAGATGCACTTCGACTGCCCCACGAAGAACTTGAGCAGCTTCTCTTACATCTCACTGTCCAGGACGGACATGACAGGTAATAGATGTGGGTCAAAAGACGATAATATTGCACGATTCTTCCAGATTACCTAACTGAGTGAATACTAAATAGAACAATTATCTCTACTGCAAAGTTTAGACAAGTAGCCGTCCCCTTACAAGATAATGAATCACAATGTCATTTAGGGGTGCATAAAACAGTTCGTCTGCACTCGGTTACAGGTGGCGCTTGAAACTACCGCGAGATGAAAAATTTCTACGGGCGAATCCAGATATTGTGCATCGTCAAAATTTAATTTGGGAAGCTCTCGAAAGCGGCTTGAGTAGGGTAGGTCCCAGTCAACATGACAAATATACTGAAAAGCAAAAGATCAAACCGATAGCCCATTTACAATGAAGGACTATATATATTGAAGTAAAGAAGTCCGCTGAGATGGGCAGAAGCCGAGTAACAACAAAGTCCAATCTTTTCTTTTAGGAGTTCAAGGAAGCTAGAAGCACAACGGTTGGTGAGAAAATAGCTGCTGCCGGTAATCGCAGAAGGCATTCGGGTAAAGTCGCCGATCCTTTGTGAGAAGAGCCCGTCCAGTTTTAATGTAACAACGACGACAGAAATAAACGTAATGACTATAATATCACAAATGGATACATTGCGTGACTATGCAACGCAGCTTCTTGAAACCTTGGGCACTGCTGTCCAATGCCCGTTTGATATGCGTAGTAAAGAGCAAGCCATTTGAGCCTGCGCAACTTACGTGTCATATGTTAAACAACAATGTTGAATTTCATGTCTTGCTGAATATTGTGTTCACTTTAGATTAGTTTATTTAAGTTTGGGGCTTAAAAAGATCACTTACGCCTTCTGCTAAAGATTTTACTGTTTTTGCGTATTAGAAACGAAAGCTGCGAATAACTGAAGTTGAAAAACAAACAAATATGGTAAAAGTACAAAATCGTTCTGCAGATAGTGCGGGGAAATGGAGCTCACATCGCGCTTTACAATGCTTAATTTCAGCAAGCCATCGTTTGTTCGGCTTTGTCTATAGGTAATGCCCATGTTTTATAATTCAATAATATCTATTTGTACAGTGGTGTTACCTTCGGTAGTGATACACAGATTGTTTCAACCCGTGTTCCTATGAAGCGAGTTGTGAGAGATTGTAACAATTCTATGTTGATGGTGGAAGTGAAGAAATTGTCAGTGGTCATGAACAGGTGAATGGATGCTCGATAATTTGTTGGTTCTGCGAGTTCTAATTCTTCGAACGACTCAGCGTTGTGTTTATTGTCGCTAACGGAAAGACGCTCCATTAAATAAATGTCATTATTTTTTGTTACACTTTTTAATTTTATTTCCTTCTTTGAATTTCCTTAAAAAAATTCTATGAAGAAATTAGACAGTTTGTCTGAGAAAAAATTATCTGTACGCTAACATTCATAATATAGATGGATTCTCAAATGTCATGTTAATGATGATATATCACCAACCGCTTCGATCGTTCGTTTTAAAAGAGTAGAAACCATTGTAACTAATATGAACCCTTCTGGTCACGTCGATTTGGTGATGGGGCAAAGTACACAGTTATGTCTTAGTTCATTTATCGTTTGGTTTTAGCTTTACCGAAGCCTAATTCAGCTCATCTGATTGTGTTGAGGTTTTCGTATCTACTATAAAAATTACTTTAAAGAATTGTAATAAACATCATAACACAAACGAAACATTACTTTAACATATATATATATATATACGGTTATTTCTCGGAAAATCGGAATGACGGGCAAAATCATTAGATATCGTAATCCATAGCGCGGAACCATAGAAGATATGGCGCGTATATGTTTGGATCGCTTACCTGCAAGGGATGCAACACAATAGGTCTTGTGACGATGTGCGCTAGATCTTTAAACATACTGGATTTCAATTGGCTTAGATAGTGGTAGATTCAAATTCAAGATTCAGAAAGTTAAGTTCAACACAACAATCGTTTTTCTTCCATCAGTGGCAAAATGCATAGTTAACTACGATCGCATCGCTTAAAAGTATCATAGAAGATACAAGTCGGAACTACTACGTAACCTATAACTGATGATAAAAAAAAGTAGTGACCGTAAATTTTGACACGAACCTGAGGTTCCGATGCAGATCAATTGTCTGTACAAAGCCGGCAGATGCGATTCGTTCATATCCGTATGTTAGTACACGTTACAAAAAGGATTGGTTTATGAGGTATTGTGATCTTACAAGCCTTCGTCTTTTCGTCAGCGAAGACTATGAGCTTCAGGCGCGTCTTCTGCAATGATCGTCTCAAAAACGGATGATATTACTGGTCCTGTGCGCGTGCTAGGAGCCAGCCGTCTGAAGCAACGGTTAATGGCAGTACCGGACATAAAAGTGACAAAATTCAAAGGAGTAGTACTATACGACGATTTATCGATTTACTTCTCAATGATTGTGTTTGAAAATAAATTGCTTTTCCACCCTTTAGATCCGGTTAATTGAAACTGACTTACCGAGACCCTTTCTTAACACAGTTAGCAAGGGCACCGCCTACTCATATATAAGTGAACATGATATACGAAATGCTCTGTAACTTTTTTTAAAGTTTAGATTATTTAATTTCTGCAAAAAAAAGACTAATATCTATCCTCGACCAAATTATTTACAGGTCAATAAAGAAGTGACTCTTATTCGGTTGTCGTTGACCTGGATAGCTCTTATGTATATATGGTTGAATCGGAGTCCTCAACAAAAGATCAATTTAGCCTCGTTTAAATGTCATTATGATAATATTGAATAAAATAATAACACATAAACAGAGCAAAGTAGTTTATACCCATTATTTGTTATTTGCTATGGGTGTCTTCTTTTCTCAGCAGGCTGTATTGTAAGATTAAATGATGACGTTTATTATTTTGGATTTAGATAGATGTTACCGCCTCATATCGAAAAACGAAACACGCAGATAACGTTTAATCTGTGTCGCGATCTGCCATGCTGTAGCAAAGTCCTAGCTGTTTAATAACATTGCCTCTTAATCTTTAAATGTTACTATTTGCCATTGTATTTAAGCGTACATGCAGAAAATGTAATCTGAAGCAGAACAAGGAAAAGCATTAGTAGAACTGAACAGATACTAATTATTATTCTCCCCATATATAATTCTGTAATATCTAATGAAGAACCCCTCCTCGTTTCCGTAGGAGCAATGTCTGTCTGTTTGCTTAAACATGGAACTTATTTGTCGCATGGGAAAACATCACCCAAAGTTCTTAAAAATCTGAAAACTGAATATTGACTTTATGCCTCATAACAGTTATGAGCTTCCCGAAGGCGTAGCCTCAATATATAGTATTGCAAAGCATATATATTCTATTCTCGTATGGTTTATCAAACCGTATTCCCCACTTATGGCGCAAGGACCACTACGATAAGCATGCCTGAAAGGCAACTTGTTTCGATGCTTCAGTAGCAAAATTTTACGTTACCTAAATGTTTGATACGTTTAAACGTAATGAACAGGACGAGGTAGCGAAGAAAACCGGACGCTATTTTCTGTCGTCTTGTTGGTGAACGTTTCCAGTCCTAAAAGGTTCTTAGAAGCTCGTTTTAGATGCTTCAACAATGCGTCCAGTACTCGGTCCTCGGGATGATGGACAAAGTAAAGAACGTATTGCACAAAAGACTGAGGAAGGGGTTCAAAGCGGCAACGCGCCTAAACATGTCTTTGCATATAAGGCAATAGCGTTAATGTGGGATCTTAACTATTATAACAATCAATGAAAACTGTAGCAGCTTCATCTCGCTTGTCGTTTACATAAGTCTGAGCTGATGATTTTTGTGAAGACGCAGAGCTCATAGATAACGATCAATGCATTTTCCTACGGCCACCGCGCAATAACTAAACCTGGTTTCAGAAGTCGTTGTAGAAACAATCGGTTCTGCAATTCTACAATATGCGACACCATTCGAAAGCCATCGATATTACACACAGGCACCGTGCCTGGCATCAATGACGCGTCGATCCGCTTCAGTGAGAAGGTGTCTAAGTGTAGCGTAGTAAATACTGCCATTTTAGAGATATATCATTGTGTCCCAAGGAAAACGTCATTAACTTTAGTCGTGCATTATAATTATCTATTTATTTGTTGTTGTCGTCGTCGTTTCATTTTATTATTATCTAAACTTTACATTCAGACATTCACTCGAATAAATTCTATTCGTCAACAGCTGGTCCGTCAATCGCTGTTTCCACTAACAAAAAAAAGAATAGTTATCTTTTCCGTTTGCCAAGCTTTCTCTCCTTTTCCCCTATAAGTGATTTTCTACGATCGTGGTCTAGATGCGTCCCGTCTTTCTTTCCCTTCGGACAACGGCACTGGGCAATGAATAATAACAATATCATTATAGCTACTATAATTAATGCTATAGTAAGGGCATGATGTATTATTATATTGTAGCTTTTGATGTTGCGCCGATTAAGCCATACACTTTTATTTAACACATCAACTCATTCTATTGTAACGCATTTACCATGCTGTTGTCATGAGCGAGATAAGTGCTTAGCTTTTAGGACACGTTTTTTTACTTAGACACATTAAAGAAACAGGCGACCCAAATTAAATAAATTGAATAACATCATAATAAGAACCACAATTACCATTGACATTCTTTTGCTCATCACTTTATAGAACATAGATGTAAATAAGGTCATCGCTTTCGTCGTTGTTGTCGTTTCATGGTAAATACAAAGCTCATTCAGTTACCCCCAAACATTGCCCTTCTTTGTTGCAGAGGCTATGGAGGCATATGAACTTTATTCGTAATAGTAATTATAATATCATACTAGTATTATCAATCAGATAGTTTTAGCTGAATTACGTACACTCTATATACACACACAAATTTGACCAGCGACGCGTGTGCTGGATGGCGGTGCTCTCAAGTGCGCACACGCATCGATTCTCCCTTGCCCATTTTTTCTTGCTCTATCCGCCCGGCATCTATTTCTTTCTGTCTCGTTCTTAACGATGTAATTGCGTAGTTTCCGTAGGTGCATTCAAGTAGCGCCTGCCTAAATAGGGTGTATCCTCGCTTGCTTCGCCGTTCCCGCCAACAGTTTGAGAAGCAGGCATCATCAATGACCTCGATTGTTCACACGTATAATTGAATGTATGCGATTTTCGCAGAAGAAAGGCCCCGTTTCGGCTACTATTGTTTCTGTTGTTGCTGTTTTTCGTAGATCACGTTTATCTGTTCTGCCGTAGCCCCCTCCGCCAGCTTGCCCCTAGCCATCTGAATCTTGCTGGAGCTATTACAACCGCATTGACAATAAGGTGTCTATGAATTCTAGTTGCATTCAGACTTCATATCCGTCATCATTTTAGCGTCTTATTCAAACAGACTAAGTAGCTACGGTGGCCCTATGATATGATATATAATTTGGAAGTCCGAGATATGTATCAACTTTATACATCCTATATAAAGGCTTTTATTTACATGCGTTTATGCTAGTGACCAGCTCAGGGTACTGTTTTGTGTCATCTCGAATACGACTACTGATGATGCGGATCTGTACCGTAGACGTCATTTATAAATAGGTATCATTTACCGGTCGCTCTCTATTGTGATGATCATAAATCAACTTCGTGACCTTTGTCTGGACCTTAGATCCACTTACTTTTTTACTGCAATCTATGCGCGCATAATATAGGAGACTCATAAAATACGGTTAACACTGTTATGATCGGCTTTTTTTCACACGAGGCTCTGTTTCTAAGCCACGCAGAAGTGCTGGGCGGTGTACGAGTGCTCTTGTGGGTGGTGGAAAGGACATTGTCTTTACTGAATGATGGAGAGTAGCATTTAGGAAAAAAATCGCCATCTCTCCTCAATTATTTTGTCTCCCGCCCACTGGCTCTAGCCTTTGCACTAAGGAAAGCAGTACGATTAGCTTCCCTTCGTTGGTCACGCTGCTTGAATCTTTTCTCAATATTGGAAACGGGCGGACGTCGTTCAGAATCGTCATTTGTTTAGTCCTTTCCTATGTGATTAATCTAGAATATATTACGACACTCGTATGTCGTCTTAGTATGACAGATTTTATTTTAATTACTTTATTTTTCACATGCAGTAATAAGGGTGTCTGCTATATTACATGAATGTATGTATGTACAGAACCGTCGCATCAAATAGCATCGCTTTGCTTCATTCACGCTGCCGCAAACGTCAAGTCTCCGCCTTCGCCCGCGCGTGTGCTCTTCCTGTTTATGATTAGTTTTGATATTTCTAGTAAGTGACTAGTAAGGGCAGAGCAGCTATAGAACAAGCATAGCGATAGGGAGGTGGAAGATCCATTGGTCGCCGCCGGGAGAACGCAGTGGTCCGGTGCCTTGCCCGCTTTGCCCCGTTTGTTGTTTGAGGACCCACGCGATATGGCTCAACCAAGGGCAGCCGCTGAAATTCGAAGCCGTCAGAAATGCACAGACGCTGTGTTTTCAGGATAGAGGTTTATATATCAGCATACCAAACAGCAAATTATTGAAAGATAAAATATTCGAACAATGCATAGTAAGAGGTATGTCCAAACAAGCTAAGGCACCATGACATAACCATAAAATAGTAAAACAATCAATATACTATTATGAACTAAAGTATACATGCATTCAGTAGTTAACCCCACAAGAAAAACAGGATCGTAGAGCTGTTTTCGTCTCTCGTCTACTCATCCAGGCCTAGCTACTAACGTCCACGATTAATTATTGTTATGAAGGTAACTTACGTAGATGCGGTCTCCAAGGAGCAGTCGTCACCTCCTGGTGATGATGCCAACCTACACCAACTCCGACAGTGGTTTCGCTCATTCCAGAGCCCCCGCTAACCATGTCAGCTGTGTATGCAGCTGGGGGTGGTGCGAGTTCGACAGCGGTGTGCCCGGGGGAAGACACCTCCATCGAGACGCCATACATCCCTACTGCAGGTTGTGGTGTCATTCCGCCCACACTCAACTGGTGAGCCATACCCCCGACGCCTCCAACCGTCATTCCCACTCCAACACCCATGCCGACGCCTCCGCCACGACCCCACATCAGCACGCTCTGTCGAGTCGAATCGAGCGTTAATGGAGACGCGGGACTTTTGACGCGAATCGGTTCTGTCGTTCCAGTCGGGAGCAGCGTTGGCAAGTGAGCGTGACCGGGCGTTGGCTGCACCAATAGGGGCGACGTGTGCTGATGGTGATGATACGGTGATGACGCTGGCGGCGAATCATGCTGGTATTTGCCGTGTCCAGCGATACCTGGCGGTGTGTCGAGCGTCTCCTTGGAATGCTCGTATGTGGCAGCGTTACCTGGGAATGGAGAATAGTGCTGCGGTGGCGGCGGATAGTCGCTTGTCGGATAGTATCCGCTCAGGGGGTGGTGTCGATAGTGTAGAAAGTCGGCTGGCGCCGTTAGAAACGAACGTGAATTGTCAAACAAAAAATTCGCCTGCGTGGCCGCCGTGTAACCGCCGAGCTCAGGGTGTGTATAGGGACTGGGATACATCGAGGCATTGTACGCAGCGGGGTCAGAATGGTCCATTGTGGATACTCCGGATAAGTGGTAAGCAGTCGCGGCGGTGGGCAATTGCATCGCTGCAGCGGTCATTGCCATAGGCGTCATCGGTGGTGGCGCACAACTGTCAGGTGAATGAGGGTTTTTGTTGCTTCGCTTCTTGCTACCTCCGCCCGAGCTGGGTGCGTGTGACCCGAGCATCGCGTGATGATGATGATGGTGGTGATGGTGGTTATTGTTATTATTATTGTTATTTCCAGCACTATCCTTCTTGTACTTTCTTCGAGGCTTTTCGGAACTCGCACTGTCGTTGCTAATAATTCGGGTTGTACCATTATTGCAACCGTTGCTGTTCACCACTGTAGTACAATCAGGTAGCGGAGGTGAGTCGGGTGACGAGATCGAGCCAGCCAGAAGCTGGTTCAGCCCCGTATCCAAATAAGTAACCTTGAAATCCATTGTCCGCTTACCCAGTAGGTCACGGCCTTCCTCCTCCCTGAATAAAAGAGAAAAAATGAAAAATAATGTCGCAGTCTGAATACGGGCGAAATATCGAAAGCTGTTGGAAAGTATCAGCTTAGTTGTTTGTTTGTACGAGATGTATGTACATAATCGTTGTAATACAGTGTTGTTCTTAAGATATAATCTATGTACACCTGGTTGGCTGTCAATGTCTATTCGATATGCGTGGTAAACAGTTAAAGTAGCACACAATTTGTTCGCTTCGCGGTGCAGCCCGTGCCGTGGGGTGAGCTGAGCAACAAGTTACTTACATGAGTGGCCGATGCGTGCAAAGTATGAAGTCGGGCTTGCTATTTTTGTATACGAGCCGCGTACTTGTCTGCAGCCACTGCCAGCTACTCGTGCCATTGTTTTCACTATTAGCACTCAGCCGGTACGCGATCAGACCTGACGCGCCCGTTTTCAACACTGAAATTTCACATACACATTAAGACGGAGTAACGATATAATGTACGCAGTAATGTAAAGTACTGATGCAGTGTTCTGCCTAAAATGTACAATTGTACGGACCACAATACGCTAATTTCTTTACTCACCACATTTGATGTTGCTTGAATGAGTTAAAACGTTCTTTAGATGTTCAAATGTTATGTTTTAAGTTGGTCAAGTAAAGGTGAACATTTATCGAGCTTACGTTCTTGGTGCGCAGATGCAACGTAAGCGAGATCGTCCGGATGGACAAGGTCATAGCCTCCGCGCATCGCTCCAATGTCCTGATCTGTCAGCCCGAGCAACGCTTTGCCTCGCGAGTCCATCGATACTAACGACAGGTCCAGCTTGTGCTTCGACTTGAACATGCTCTCCTATAGAAAATCAAGCAATGCCTAATTTAACCTACATACATCTTCTCTGACGAATCAATGCTTTGTCTTCATTTATATCCAATATATAGGGATTTTGCTGTTACTGACAATGATTCTATATCACATGAACGATGCTGAGCTTGATTTGTTCATTGATTTCTTCAATCTAACTTTAGATAGAGTGTCTGCTTGCAGTTTAGGAGCAAAGTGCCACTTAAAGAAATTATCTAATACTATGGCGAATCAAAAGTTGTTTTAGTTATCAGAAGTATGGAACAGAACCTGAAAGCAAACGATTTCTAACCTTCTGCGGCATTTCCAGTAACGATGGCGGTCCAAATGGGGTGCAAAGCGCAAACAGTGCCAGGGGTGGATCTTCCGTTTTATGGTTTTGTCCGTGAAGTACTTTGATACGGCCCTGAATATCCAAACGCTGTATGGCAAGGAGCGATACCGATCAGAAACAAGTATCACAGGCACGTGTATGTCCGTATACGCACAATACAGATATGATTTTTTGTGAAAAAAAAATGACTCGAAGGTTCTTTTTTTTTTTTCTTACTCGAAGGTATTTTTAGCAGCAAGTGACTATATACGATTCACGTATTAGTAATTGGCAATAATAACTTAACGCATAGCAAAGTATAACCGATTTTGTGAACTTACGAGAAATCCTGAAGTGTTGTCAAGAAGGCATCGAAACCGAACTGTAAAATTTCGGTCTAAATGCCGGTGAAGTTCTGAAAGTTCAAAACACGACGATAATGTTCGAAGTTACTATCCACGGCACGCTACATTAACAAAGCGGCTGGTTTGCTTTCAATAATTCGTCTCTTATTGTGCTACTGAATACGTAAATAGCGGAATACACAGGCACACGCTACCACCTTAATGTAGCATTTTTTGTATGCTCACACCTCCGCTCTTCTGTATTGACGGAGAAAAATTGTTACAAGGTAAGTTGTAATTGGGAGTTACCTGACGACTGAAGCATATGTTGCACAGAAATGTTAGCCCGATCTGCGGGCAACTGCGAATTCCACATTAAAAGCCTCTGTAGCTCTTCGCGGTCCTCAGAATGAACTAGCTCGTAGACACTCTGGTGACAAATATCGGACTGAAAAACAAATCATTTTTGATTTTTGTTAATTTTTCTTATTGAAATCTTATTTCTTCTGAGTTTATGCATTAGGAGGCTCATGTGTGAAGTTCATGCGCGATCAAGTGCTCAGTAGGTCTGACCGTACGTATATATATATATATATACATACATTTTGTATAGAACGTTAGGATTCCTGTTAGGAAACTACTACATGTCTCTGCCATGCAAGCACAGCTTCGAAGCTGTCTCTAATATTAGTGCCGGATAAAGTCGGTCTATTCAGTAACACAAGTGTAGGCATTTTATATTTGAAATCTAAGCGTTGGCTGGATAATTAAACGCGTAAAAAAACTATGGCAATATAGTTAAACTTACGCGTCTTTCTTAAGTTGTGTGGGTGCAGCGATGAGTGTCATAATCCTAAAAATTGTGACATTTGATTCTAACAAAGCTTAATCAGCCGTTTCTATTGGCTTCTGCTTGATACAGAGCAATATTAGGGTTAACTGTTGCTAGAAGCCAATGTTTTGACGCTTTTTTTTTAGCACATATTAGAACATGGAAATCCAGATGCTTGTGCCAAGAAGGACTATTAAATACTAGGATATTGCACAACGGACAACCGCGTAAACTTCAATACCAACGAACTAACAGGTTAGAACCGAGGCCAAACGTAATGAAAATGCAAAAATTCTGAATATTTATTTCGAGAGCAACCGAAACAGCAGTTTATCTAAGAATAATGCTACCAGAGTTTCCCACTATATCGTGTAAATCGTGAGGTCGACTTAACGGCAGAATTGAATACCAAAGGTACGATATAATTTCAATGAACGTGAAGGGTAAACTGTACCAAGACGTTTGCCATTAAAAACGCATGTACCAACGTAAAGGAAGTTGTCGAGGAGGAAAAGACTTCAATAAACCTACAAAGACATTGTGTATATGCGTCACTTATTTGATTTCAGACAACACAATAATAATGAAATGAACACAACGAGGTTCTAATTTTTTGCATATTTTTTATGTGCAACAAAATTAGCGTGTAATAGGTTATGACGACTATTTTGGCCTATATCACGTATTTAGAATCCACTATCTAGGCATTATTAGATATAGTTCAAGCGTTGCGATGGTATAGTATGAAAAAAAAAAATAGAAACACTTCGTTCTAGATTAAGGCAGACATTTGAGGTATGCAACCAATTTTCAAGAAATTTCGCGACGTGAAAACTTCCCCAGCCGCCCACAATCCTCGGATTGTGCGACCGGCGCTGGAAAAGATACTCACGCTCATTTGCACACTCTTAGGAGAGCTGCTGTTTCGCTTGTCATAATTAAGGCCGCATGATTTACAAATGTAGGTCAAGTAGCTTTCATTATGAGTCACCGTATATAGATAGGACATTCAATTGCATTTCCTTTGTTTGCAAAAAGCTACTTTCTTTAAATATTTGAGTACTTAAAATTGTGACTTCATTCGTTTGCTTCTATATTTAAGTTTAAACACACGATTTTTTCTCAGCTGCTACTAATTGCTTTCTTTCGCATAATTCAAACATGGGCCAGATAATTTCTTTGGTTATTACTACGATAATAACATAAATATTATGATAATAAGCAGATATTCATTACCAGGAACAACAGTAGTAACGTTCAACACGATTTCGTGAAAGCCTTGTGAAGACGGTATTATTTATGATATAAATAATGGCATATTCACTCCGTCGGGTGGGATGAGAGGTATTTGCTTCTTAATTTCCTTCCAGCTTTGATCATTGCCCCATTTTAGGCACTTGCAATTTGTATTTTTATTTCTCTTCGAACAAGTAATAGGTCAGGTAAGAACTACTGCTAATATGATCCAGTCAAATGCAGTAGAAGCTCTTACTCGTCCTTATCTTACCACACTTTTACGGAAATCAAGCGAAGTAGAAAAGGTTCAATGAGACCTTTCTTTTTCTACCTTCCGTCTTCCCGTGTCTTCTTCCCGTTCATGCCTTAATGTCCTAAAACGGTCATCGCCATCTCCACCTGGTGGTTATATCGTGCAAGTTCACACCTATTTTCTTATTCTGCGACCGGTTGGCCTGTCGAAAAAACTACATTCATACGGGTAGGTTGTGGAGTCGAAAACAAGGGACTGAGCACGGTCTAGATGGTTTAAGCCTCGGTTCGTTCTCCAAGGCTCACTGCGAAGAGCTAAGCTTAGAGCGTTCGCGGCGACAGCGCGGTCCGTCATGCAGCGCCACCCAAAGACAACCTCTCCCTTTCTTCCTATCTGCTTTTTTACCTCTTCGGCTGGTCTGGCCGGCCGGTCAGCGCCACACATGGTCATCACATGATGGTCCAAATCAGCAACGGCCTATGGAAGTAGCTAGTATACGTGTGCACGAACAAGGGCCAATCCATGGTGGTATAGCCAGCGCGGGGAAGCTGCACATCCGACACATGCCCCATGCGCCGACCACCGAGCTTCGAGAGAATGGTATTACGGGCTTGCCCTGAGGATCCTAAGCGGGCGGAGTTTATTATTTATAATTATCCCCCTACTACCATTACTACTAGTACTGGTCACCACCCTCTGATTGAGCAGCCGCGAACGAAACCACTCCCTCTTCGGAAGCCTCAAGCTAAGGCGTAATGCGCTAGGCGATGTTGCCACTGGCGCCTTGACTGCTTTCTTGGCCTTTGCGATCTGGCCGTCATTCGCGAGCAAGCGACCAAGTCACGGGCTAACAGCATCAGAGATATAGGGCACTTGCCTTGAGGCCAACGAACATAGACAGCGCACTGAACAACGAAAAGGGAGGCCTTGGGAGATGTGAAGAGGAGTGCATGGAAGAGGAGGAGGAAGGGGAGCAAGGGTGATGTTGTTGAGGGGACGCCGTCGAGCGCTCAGTTGGTGGTTGGGCGGCGACCGAGTTGCTACGAAGTGTGCAGCAGCAGCAGCAGCAGCAATCAGCTTGCACGCGGTCGTACCATGCTGCATTGTGTTCCCTCGTCGTCGAGTCGGCCAAACTCGGCCCAGTTCATCATAGCCACGTCCTGACAGCGATAGTTCCTCTTGACTTATTCTTAGTGCGGATGCTTTTAGCAGAGCAGAACCGCGCAGCCCGGTTGACCAAGCAAGACTCTGTAGGTTAGTTCCATAACGACGACTTGCGGGGTCACAGGTCTCGGGGTGGGGGCCAAATCGACTTAGGCGGCTGTGTACATCCGCGTTTGTGGCGGGGTCCTCAACACACGAACTAACCTAGCCGTTATGCATACGCTCCGATCCATAATCACTTTTTTATGTTTATGTTAGAAGGACAAAGCAAGACCCGCGCGAAGAATCGAATTGCTATCAACTAACAGCTATTATTACCGTCTATTGCAAATAACCAAGACGTGAGACAATAGAGTGTCCAGCATTGATTTGCCATTTGTTTGCCACCGAGACATATCTATTGGTATGATCATCACCTTCAGGCAACGGCTTGACCACTTCTTCCCTAATGAACACCACCGAACACGTTTCCAGTTGGCGATATATGCATACGTGCCATTGTGTAAACATGGGGGCGCTTTCAGTCAGACAGCGTGTCACTTTCATGCCACATGGCGCTCTTACATCAAGCAGCGGGGGATGTCTTGACCAGCAAAACACGAAGGACTTGACATGCACATGCAAAAACGAGCATTCTATTATCTTACCTGATGAAAGCCGAGATAGGTCTCCACGGTATGCGATGCGAAGAACACCTCTCCATCGCACGTTAGAATGAGCAGAAAGCCATTCAGAGCCTGCTGGGTATTGCAAAGCAAACAAGGGATAGCAACGGGACAGTGTATTAATCACAGTTCATCCCTATCACGATGAGATTAAGAGAATCTACGGTAAAAACAGCCGTTCCCTATGTAAAACATTTCATCTGAAGATCTTGAAACTATTACTTCGTACACAACTTGAGATACTCAGCTTTTAGCAAGTTACGTTTGTGAAGATAGTGGCTTGTCCACATGCATGGAATAGAATACGATTCTGTGTGTATAATATGCTACTCACTCGCTATTGTTCATTCATCGTTCAACTTGCCGCATCTGATTAACTTGTACTGCCCTCATGACGATAATGTCATACTTCCTAGCAAAAAGTTAGTTTCAGAAAGCATTTTATTGATTGATTCAAGTCAGTGGCCGTCTGGGCTGGTTTAGGCAAGGCGAGGCGAGACGATGCTCTAATGATTTAATACGCATAGTCGGGTAAATCTTCAAGAAGAAGCGTTTTTAATTGTGGCTGGCGCAGTTCGTTGTAGTTGTTAATCTATTCGAACAAATAAGAGGAGCCAGCTGCCGCGTACGACATCAGATCTATAATATTACATATCATAGCTATGGTGGGACAAGGGTCCTAGTACAGGTAGATGCATTGAATTGTAGATGAATTTAGTCCTCTCCCACCCGCGACAGTCATGATGTTGGCGCTGATGGGGTCCGTAGATAGCGTTGGACGCGCACTGCTGCCTTGCCGCTCCGGGCGGAAGAAATCAAGCGAACGAATCGAGATTGGAGATCGGAGATATACAAATTACCTCTGTGTTACTTGTTTGTAAATAGGATAACACTTTGTCTAGCTGACACAAGGTGTCAATGTGAACACCGCGGTACGAAATAGAAGACTCCTAGGAAAATAGGACGGCAACTGTTTTGGAACAAATATGAATGACGCCGAATTTCCACAGTCGATCATTTAGTTTTTCTGGCACTAAAGTTGCAGACAATGCGCTGTATGACAAATATTTTAAAAACCTACCATATGATTACTATTAAATAATTCGATAAACGCAGTGGCCATACTTGCCTTTAGAAACTGGGTATTGTGAAACCTGCCAGTTATTTAGATTTAGGACATGTTTGTTGATACATCCCAACATACAGAACTAACAGGAATCAATCGAATTCCTAACCCTTTTTCTTCAGATAAATATTGAAAGCCAGCGCGCTTTGTCGATACATTCTCACAGACGTTCATTTATTGGGCTGCCGTATCTAAAGTCTATAGCAATACATTTTTCAAACGATAGTGTAAGTCTGATCTATTGGCCCACTCTAAAGACTCAGAGGTATTGGGGAAGCGAACATAATACGAAGCTTCGATGAAGTCTGCTATTCCTACAAGGGAGAGCTACCTAGATACTATTATGATAGCTTAAGTTCGGTTTACGTATATGCTTACATGACTGTGCCGTTTGTTAGTTATTATCAATGCGAATTATCCCAATCTTCATACCTTTGGGGCCTCACTGTGTCAGAATTATCCGTTGACAATGCCCTAAGCGTTCCCCCGGGACTTTCTCTGAACCACAGAGTTTAGCGAGTGATGCCTGCCTCGTACTTCCGCTGCGCAATATGATGTCACACGCTATAAACCCATCTTTCGTGTTTGACCACCCCCGCTCCCTTCTTTCCCCTTATCTCTTCACTCACGAAACGGATGCTCTCCATGGTTGTACTATCCATTTCCCAAGAATTAAGAAAGCTCGACTTAGATTACATTTTTTTCCTGCGGTATTATGAGGCAACTTCGGCACGGAGGATGTCTGACTCTAAAAAGATATGTAATCCAAGTTTATAGAAATGGAGAACGAAGCTTTATGATCAATTTCTATATGATATGAGATAGATACACAATTAGAATCATCGGCCTTCTTTTATAGTATAACTACTTCGAACTATCTTTATCTCAGTTACTGATCAGGTCACGGTGCATGCTTATAGGGTATGCATCACTCACGCTGCATTACCAGGTCGTACTAGGAATTTGAACCTGTTCTTCTGTCTGATAGCCACGCGTGGTCAATAAGTAGGTGGTGAACACCGTGTTTTTCGAGGTCAGTTGTGTACTGTTGGATAGCCGTTCGATGTCTCCAACCTACATAATATAAAGGACACGGTCGCCGCCTTTTTGGAGAACTATTCGAGCCTGCGAATAATCGAACAGTTGCCACTTCGGATTTCGGGTTGTTCGCTGATCAGGCGCAAAGCTGCTTTGAACAGCCATAGTACTCTACTAGGGATGTACGAACGGAGTGTTTACGCAGCCCTAGTCTAATTGACCACCGTCTTCGACCTATGATGCTAAGGCAGGTAAGCGTATTGGAAGCGTATATGTGTGTAGTATTTACATGGGAGAGGGTAAGCAAGCTTCTAGCTCGTAATGTTCGTCCGTTATCTCAACGTAACAGACGCTGGACGGCTCATCAGGCGTTTACGTTCGGGGAGACAGAGAATACGAAACTTAATTATAGCAGTAGTTATGGTGGGAAAATTCTACAAATATTCTAGGGCTATTATTAGTTAAAATGTAGTTCACGGTTTTGTTGTAGACGCTGTGCAGAGACAATCGAAGAACCCCAATTAGTGCCGATCAGACAAGCTGCTATAGTTTGCCTGCTGACCCAGTGTCATCAAATAAGTTACTTTCTGCGTACTTGTGCCAGTCGTATATAATGATTTGCCGATATCAGATCGATAACAAGATACTGGTGCGCCGTGAAGATCGCTGGCTAAGAGCACCTTTAAGGCACTTGGATATTAGTCACTATCCATTTTAGGTCTGGCAATAATATCCAATCAAACTTGCCAAAATAGTTATGGTAAGCATCAAAAAAGACGTAGCAGAAGTAACTCTAATACAACATTAGCGCTATTAAAAACAGTATATTAAACAGTATATATATATGATGAAGTTGTCTCCCTGCTGAATCTGTCTTAGACAGTTAGACAAAATAAAAATAGCAAAGTTCTAAATTTCAGTCCACTAACTCAAGTACAATACCACACATATTTCCACAGCAGTTGACCACATGTTTGAGAACTAACATTACAAAAACGCAGCTTCAATTACGAACAATTATAATGTATAGTCTAGTCAAAACGTAGAACCCGCGTCTGTCCAACAATCAATCCCTCAACCATGCGTATCTGTTTTATATATGTACATATACCAGCCATATATGTATACATGTATATGTACACATATATACGTGGCTGTAAATAACAGCCATATGCTATTGTGATACTTGTGTCAGGCCAAGAGAAAATATGCACTCTTTCTAACACTAAATTTAAGTATTACGTTAGGCGTAAATGGTAATTCAGCGTAGACACAGATGAACAGAGCTGGCTAAATGTATGTAATATTGAAATCATTTTGTCTTGGCATACCGTCGGTATATTTTGGCAGTTTACTTTACGAGGTCATTGTCAAGCCTAAGCAGCCCATCACCATAACCACATGGGCCTATGAAAAAGAAAGAAAGGACATATAGAATGGGCCGGTCGTCTTAAGTAAGTCCCTGCTGCCGCCGTCGCTGCTAGTGTTGTGAACATCTTGCCTGCAGTTTACCATAGCAAAAGGCGGTCTCGGCGAAAACCCGCGTATGCTGAACCCGCCCAGATGTTCTGACGTTTCATAGGCGCGCTCACAAAGAAAAAGTGTATGGCCAACATGTAGTGGTGTGGTGCAGTAGAAATCCAAAATATAGTTCTTCGTTGCTCCGATCCTGCCGAAGCAAGACGGGGGCCACTCTTGGGACAGGGGTCTGTTCCTGCTCTTGTCCTGGGAGCAGAGGAGAGCAGAGGGCTTTCTCTCCCCTCATCATAGAAAAGGGCTACAGCCGACGAGCAAACGGATAGCCAACCAACCAACCTTCGCCTTGGCAACTCTCTGCAGGAACAAAGATGTTTCGCCTTGTGCCTCGCCTGCTTGGCACTGTCTTTCTCTTCTTCCCCTGGGAGTTTAACGTAATAGACGAGCCATTCGGAAGATTGTGGTCTTTTCCTTCGTATGGTTCGCCCTCCGTTTTCGGGCCGTGCGCAAAGCAAAGACTTCTTCTCTTCTACGCTAGGGAAGGTATAAGACCAAAAGCAAGGACCCTGTGTACTATACTAGCAAGCAATGCAGGGACAGCGGCTTTGGCAGCCAGAGCCGCGTCTTTGCTCGAACGCGCACCACCGACTAGGGCCAGCACGGCGATGGCGGCCGCGCCTGCTGTCGGGGGTTGTGATGGAAATGGGGGAAATGAGAGAGATGCGCTGTGTGATTCGGCAGGCGGCTCGGCCTAACCCAGTTTTGCCTGCTCTTACTTTATTCCGAGTCCTTGCTCACAGACGAGACTGAGGAGAACAGCCAGCCTGTGTATTCTAACCTTCCTCATTCCCTGCCCCTTGTTTTATTTCGTTCTCAAGTATCCACCCTCTCTCTTTTAGCTCCTCCTCCTCCTCCTCCTCCTCCTCCTCCTCCTCCTCCTCCAACGGAAAAGAAGAACTCTTCTTTGCCGGTCGCCAGCGATCAACCGACCCAAAAAGGCTTTCAGTGCACAACCGCTGAGTTTCAGTGTTTTTTTTGCTTTTTTCAACATTGTTACACGCTAGCTGGGCTTTTAGAAGACGATCGTTTGAAGAAGTTGTTATAATGTAGGTATGCCACCTAATGCAAACTATTTGGTATGTTTTTCGGGATACTTCGGATAGATTTAGCTACTACCACAATTGGCTCGTTTAATTGTCCTCTTTTTATTAGATTCATTATCTAGCACTCCCCAGTCAAGAACGCTAGCGATCCCCGTGTACCATTTGTAGAATTACCCTTGCCTGTCCGGTGACTCGTTACCACTCCTTTCGCGCTCTTCTTTTTGTGGGTAGCTCGCAGTGCCATAAACTCCGCTTCTCGGTTTCTTAGCTTTCGTTCTGTCTTTTTCGCTTCTACTCTCAGGGGTCACGGGGCTAGCCCCTGCCGGCTCTTTATTGTGCACTCGTTATTTCCGACTACCGCCGATACCAATTGCTTTGTCAAGTTTCAAACTGCCAACTCGTCATAATCTAAAAATCACTCCCTGCTGTATCTGCACCCATAACTGAATTTTGTCTTAGATATAATTTGAATCAAAATATTGAAATGATCGTCAAATGGGTATGCGTTAGCTAATTTTCAGCCGCCTTACATTCATAGGTAAAGATGTTCGTTGATATTGCTACAGCATTTAAACGCGTAACGTCACGGCTCTCCGAAAGTACAATTCCTTTGCGATGTATCGTTCTGCCGTGATATCGGCAGGGTATGGAGGGAAGGCGATTGAGTTCCAAGCTACCCGAGGTAACCCAGACATGCTCGTTCGACAGTACATCGACACATGAGCTCCGATTTACTACAACAAAAGGCCAGCTGTTTTTTGTACTTAATGAATTGTCTACAGACATAGGTAAATCGAATAGTATAACAACATTATATAAAATAGCGATAGGCCAGTTTCTAGAAACGAATTTATTAATCTCGAGCCTGAAAATTTAAAGATTACCGGGTGCAGCTTCGCATGAATAAGAGCAGAGCGTACATTGCATTGTACTTCCAAAATATCAGCGGGCTATTAAGCCTGTCATTGTTACACTGTATTGACTAACTTCCGCTGGCCCTGGCATTGCACTGGGTAGGGTTTCGTACAACCTCCTCTTCGTCGACTTCTCTGTTTCATTATAGCAAAATTCGAGCGCTAGTGGAAACGCTGAGGCGAGAGAGGCAGCGGTATCGACTTTTAGAGTCCGCTAAAAAGGATGGATGCCGTTGACATGATGGTAGCCGTCACTAAGCGTTCGTTTTGTGATCATACTGGCGGCGATTCTGGCTGCAGCTTCAGCGGCCACCTCGGCTCGCATGCCACTCATACAGCTATAGACACGTGCCTATGAACACGCACTAGACTGATTCATTCCATCTGCGCTTGCGTTCTCAATCAGGCGGCGATTACCTCGAAGGTTGTCGGCTGTTCCCCCCAGCATCGATAAGTTCGATGTACATAAGTATAGCAGCAATGCTGGCATCACTTCTTTCGCCCTTCGCTCTCTCGCCGTTACTCATTCGCTGGCTCGCAAGGGACGACAGCGGCGAGGAGCGACTGTCTGTGCTTGTCTGTTAGACGAAGGCCGGCAGCCAGAACGTCGAGCAGAGCTGCCGTGGTTGTGTTCCTGCAGTAGCCTATAAGTCGGGAAAGCGGTAGCCAGCGGTGCTACGCGCAGCAGCTACAACAACTTGAGTTAACTAGTAAGTCGAGGGGTCATAGAAACAATGGCTCAGGGGCTGTCGTCTGTTGCTCCGTCTTCGCTCCGCCTGACTTGCAGCCTGTTTGCGCAGCACCAACCGACAGGGGACACCGAGAGAGGTGGCAAATCGGACCGTCTGCGTTGTCTACCGCAGCCGCCTGTCGTGGCGCTGTAATAGTGGGTACACGTTGTTCTTGCAAGAAAGGGAATAGGCTAGGAAAGGACCCACAGCACAATGGCGCTCTCGTCGGCCAGCTCCGGCTCCCGCTGGCAAAATTGGTGCAGTTGCAGGCGGGGCGAGCGCCGTGTAGTTTAGCCTGTTTTTGCAACAAAGTTATCACCATGACAACGCATAGCGGAAGTCCCGAGTCATTTTATGGGCCTCATTCACCCAGTCACAGGGCTCGCTGACTTCTCACTACTTCTTCGTGTAGCGGTTGTAATCTCGCGGGGAGGCCCGAGAATCGTCCGCTGCTTGTTGGTTGGTCGACAAGCTGCCCGGACGGCTGTTGGCTGCTGCTGTCGGTCCTAACAAAGCGTTGAAGAGGGCGTAATGGCGGTGATCGTGTGGTGGTATCGGCATAGGTGGAAACGGGTGAGAGGCGCAAGCTGATTGCTTTGCTCATTATCTGGGCGCACTGTTAAATTGGCATTGCCTTTTTTTTTCGAGAGCACGCAGCATCAGCTCTCTCTGGCGTCAGAAAGAGAGCACAGAAATGACGATCGGACGCGACCGACAACGATAGCGAGAAAACGATAGAAAAAAAAGCAGGTCTCCGATAGCCGATAGGGGACACCATACGGGGATGTATCCTGACAGGCGGCACCAGTGATACAAAATGGGACAGGTATTTTGCTTTTTTCAATAGAAAAAAAAAACGACTAGAAACGGTGAGATTTCGCTGCTATCTTACCTCAACTGGTAAAAAAGGCAAAGTATAATGACTCCACCCGAAATCGTCAGGGAATTCAACAGCCGTGCTTGAAGAACATTGCATTTTAATATCAAATCAATGCAAGGACCTCAGATTACAATGGCACGCTGCCAGTTTATACATGAGGGCAGCATAAATTATCACTGCTGATTAGAAAAGGAGTGACGGGGGGCCAAAAAAGAGAAAACAAAGCAGAACGAGTGAATATACGCGGTTCAAAGCCAGCGCAATAGTTAGCTTGTTAATAGTTATCAATTTTCAAACGGTTACAGTCGTAATAGCCAGTAGCAGTCCAAGCTTTAACGTTATCTTCTATATATATCGTATACTCACTATAACGAACATTTCCGCCCCATCATGCAATTGCGTATCTTCTAGATGTGTGTTTGTGTAACAGTATGCGGGTTTCCCACGATGTGTTATTGTATCTAGGACGTTTTCTGTCGTAGCGTAATGCATTTGATGCCCAGATTATTTTCGTCGTTACAAACGTCTATGTTGTGGCGTGTCGCTTCTTCCGCAAGGTAGGACCGGTTCGCCGGGTAAAATCAAAAAGGTAAAGACAAAAAACGAGCGTTTGTCACAAGTCTCGCTTTCCGTTGCACCTTTCTTTCAACGCAGCTTTAATATAAAAAATAGATAAGACTACTTTATTAATTAATAATTAATTGATCGCTACGTTATGTTGTCGGCAGCATTGGAGTAGGTATAGTCACAAAAAACTATCGTCCCCGTTTCATGAAGCAAATGTCTATACGGCAATTGAAATATCTGTAACCATGGAGAAATATTTAAATTTTTCACGTTATCATTTGCGGCGAATAGAACAAGGCATACATGCGCAGTAAATAAACCTGCCGAGTTTAGTTAAACCATATACCCATATAGAAATGGTAGAACATGCTTTCGCCGTCTGAGTGGCTAACTGATGTCCTTCCTCTTCATGTTTGAAATACAAAAAAGTGGACCAAAGCGGATTTTTCTCAAGGTTCCGATCTGCTTTTCGTCCGTTGGCGTGTATTAATTCAGTGAAAATAATTGTTAATGCATTTCATCAAAGATTTAGAGTATTCCAAGTGTCCCATAAGCCGCGGGAAAGGCACTAGGTGATATGGTGTTTTTCGGACCGTCAACGTCTTGTCCGGCGCACACACTGTATCAATCGCGCATCTCTATTTTTCAATTGATGAGGAAAAGGCCTATAGTTGAGGGATGAACTAGGTGTCTGCAAAAGACGGCCCTCCAGCACTGAGTCTGGTCCCAACGCAAAACGAACATGGTGCGACCGGAATGGGCTTTACACAGAGGGAAGCAGATGATCGAGAAAAACAGACTGGTCGACCAGAGTTTGTACTACCACTACTACTACGCTACTTACGCCCAGCGAACTGCGTTAGCTAACGAAAAGACCCTATAGAGTAAAGCAAGCCATCTATCTCCATGGCAGTGCCGGGGCACACATCGCAAAGGTCGTTAATACTTTTCTGCGGTGTCCTGCATCCTCAGCATCGAACCTGAACTACGGTGGAACGGAGTGGAAAAATAACAGCGAACACCTAACGTGCCATATGCTAATTATAGTTCGTTCGCAACGCTACATTTGTCTACAGGTTGAAAAACTGATATTTCTTATCCTCCAGTATACACTAGGGGAACTATTTGACTTGATTTGTATTGGAACCTCTCATAACTTTTTTTTTTTCACTCAATTATATAATAATATAACTAGCAAATAACTAGCGTTCTGTCTGATTTCTGAACCAACCTGTAGTATGAGATCACCCTCAATGAGCGATTCCAGATACATCAGATCGCGGCTTTTTGAATGATGATGACCACTTAAAGCTTGAGATGCTGTAAATAAGACACATAACAACACAGGTTTGGAATCACGTTAGCTGGCAGTGATTTTTATCATTTCAGTTGAATAGTCATCATATAACAACTATACGTGGGCCATTATTACGATCAGGCCACTCTAGATAGCCTGTCGTCGTGTAAGGGCGACAGTGATGAAGAGATTAGTCGTTCGAAGTGCTAGCGTTAGATAAGAGGAGATTTAATTTTCTATAATACATGATCTATTATTATTTCTAATTGCAAGGGCTAGATGTGTTCGCAGTGTAGAGGTATCAATGCGTCCAATCACTTTAAGAAGACCAGATAACAGGTTGGTATTTAGCCTTCCACTTGATACATCAACTATAGGTGGGACCAGATAAGATCAGTTATGTGTGTGTGTGTCGACGCCTGTTGTTTCCAACACAAGATGCTACAGACAGATAGTTTATCTGAAATTGATATTCCAATGATACAAGTGGACAGAAGATTATATTTCTAGCCATAGAGAACAGCCGTTATAGCTATCTCATATAAAACGGCATGAACCATCTCAGCCCAATTTTAAGGTAGTTACAGCAGTGTATTTCGCCCTGTTGTTTCCACTGGTCGTACTCAATTACCAGCAGATACATTTGGATCTACTTCTTAATTATACCCAATCAGATTTTTTAACACCGATGTAGGTGACATATATGTGTATCTGATGTAGGATAGTAAAAACATACATTATTGCCGTTAGCATGTAACTGGTATCGAACGGCCTAATAGATGGCTTAACTACTTTTACCCTGGATTTTTTTTGTATATACAGCTAATAGTAGAGCTTCACGTTATGGTTACCACAATAACGCAGCTTGATGAAGACATTTCCAAGCCACCACATCTCTACTATTGCTCATGCGGAACCAAACAGCGACGATCGGTCTTCACATACCAGATGTTTTTCCCGATGCCATCTTACCAATCTCTAAAGTGATTCACTTAAGAACAACGGTAACAGTAGAAATTCGCTCGTACAACGATATCCGTGTTTAGCCCAAGGTGTGCATGTACCACAGACCAGGGGCAATTGGTAATATAAACGGCGTGCGGGCGTTTGGTCGACAAAAGGAAGTCGGGTGCGTACAGAGTCGATAGTAAGAACTATACTCGATATGTATATGCTCTGACTCAATCCATTTACATCTACTACTATTGCCTTCTTTGCCTTTTCGTAGCTGTTGGCCATTCTACTGCTTCTGCCAATTTTGCCGTTCCGGGGGGTGAGCGGCTGTAGTGAACCGAGCGCGAATCAATTCTATCTTTTCTGGTCGGTTACTGACGTACCAGCAACAGCGGGCAAGTTAAGGTTCTGTTCGGTGTTCAAGTACGCACTGGTCTAGGGGACGAGGTGACATGCCGATTTCCATTAAACTGTTTGTACGCCGCCACCACCGCCGCCGCCGCCGCCGCCGCCGCCGCCGCCGTCGCCACCGTTCCAGCCTCACGCTGTGGTCTCTAGAAAACGGCTTAGGGCGGTTCGTCCCCATTCAGTTGGCAATTACTACCTGCTCGCCAATCTATCGTAATATACTACACCACACTATCCTGAAATGGGTACAAGCCACTGTGTTGTGGTACCATTATACCTCCACTCTATTTTTCAATGCCGCGGCATCAGTTTCACGATGACGATGACGACAAGGAAGAGCGCGAACGAACGAACGAACGAACCAATGAAAAATAGCAAGCAGAAGAACGACACGCACTGTCGAAGGTGACGCCATATGTGGCTCAACCATCAACGTCACCGTCGTCGATACCAGAAGCTGCAGCAGCAGCAGCGGCACAGCCGCTAGTGCCAAGATCATATAGGATCCATCTAAGGCGTATTACTCCTCACGAAGCTTTCATGAATACCGCTCATACTCTATTAGACTCAATTCACAGAAACATGTATGAACGGACCCTGCTGCATAGCCATACAAATGCGTCTCGGTTAAGAGAGCTATGAACTAATGCATGAGCTGTCGTAAAAAAAACTTAAGTCCTATCACAGACCTAGAAAAGGTATCGTGATCGTTGTTGTTATTGCTACCGTGCCATTTAAACTCAATCACAAAAAACAGATGTTGGTAACAAGACGGAAAAACAACAATGCTGATTATGAGCATACAGAACTGATAGTGATCGAGAAAGAAACGTCTTTGTTCTTTTGTTCTCTATTATCGTTGAGCTGAACAAAAGCTGTAAGGTAACATCGGAAATGGTTTAATGTCTATGGATTTTGTTTGGCTTACTAGATTTTCCACAAGTCACAAGCTCTATTTGCTGTGGCTGTAAATGTTCATCGCCACCAAAGCACTGCCGTATAATCATATTTAGTTTCTAATAGCGAATCTGTTAGGACGCGGATGATACAACCGCACTGATCTCCCCCGGCCCCCGGCTTCATTTAATCAGTTTGTCCGTCCGGGACTTTGGCCAGTGTGGTAGGGTGCTACGCAACGTAATCCACCGCTAGGTTTCCCTGCTCGACAACTCCAAATCAGAGATGGCCGAAAAAGCACTCTCAGAAGCCCCAATGCATACGGCCGCTGCCACTGCTGCTGGCTGTAAGAAGCCGCAGCAAAGGAGTAGGCGACGTCCGACATCATCATTCCTCCGTTCGGACTTCCCGCCCACCACAGATCTGTGGCGCGCGCGCGCGTGTGTCACCGTCGTCGTCTCTGCACTGCTGCTTCCGCTGTTACACTTCATGGCGGAATCGCGTGCCCTCAAAAATTCGACTTTGGTTTCCCCTGTCGTTTTCGCTGCTGCGAACGTAGCCGCCACCACATGGCTGAGCCTAGCTTCCCTTTTCCTCGGCCGCAATACTCCTCCTACTTTGTCCAGTTCCTCACATCTGAAGGTACCTCTTCTATTGCGTCTTCCTTTTCCCCTTCTGTTAACCCCTTACCCATTCCGTTTAGCCCCCGTTTACCTTCTATTTTGATTCTTGGCTCTGTTGATCTTCTGCCTCCCCCTGTTTCCCTTTCATCTCTGGCTGCTGGCTCACCTAATTTTCCCATTTCTCGTCTGTGACGACAAGAGAATAGCAGTTCTGCCTTTTCCTACTCGTTTTCGTTATAACTCTGTTTCTACGATTACGACTGCTACAACTTCATTTTGCGGCCCAGTATCGCCAGTGCATCGCAGTTACTTTGTTCCGATGCTGCCGACACGAGGAAGAAGTTCCGTAGAACTAGTACGTTACAGCTACTACTAGCGCCACGACGGATTGAAAGATGTCGAGTTGCTTTCCTTTTAGGGGAAGCTTACGCAACTTCGATTGATCGTTCGATTTGATTATCCGTAGGTGACCGAAATTTTCCCGCAAACTTTTTCTCGTTTCAGATTTCCAACGAACCACAACAGGAGCCGTTGCTGTACGCTCGACCTGTCGCTATCTGCTTTCGCTGAATAGTCGGAGTGGAACGGCCTTCAGCCGGATGGGATAAATAGATCTCGTTTATTTAATGACTCCTGTGTAACGCGCAAGAAGGATAACAATGACGCAGCAGCAGCAGCAGCAGCAGTAGCTGCGTACGTCATGCAGTGCGCACGTCTACTGTTCATGCATATATATACATAAGGTATTTAAGCACATACATAAGAACAATTAGTTAATGTATGCCCTCAGGTGTTTAAGGCATACATAAGTTTTTTTTTTTTTGTAATTTCAGACGGTATTTCTGCTATGATTTCCTGAGAACTTGCGCTGGCCAGCGGCACATAATAAACCAGAAGTGTCTCATCACTCAGCGGACGACGACGACAGCAGGAGCAGCAGCAGCAGCAGCAGTGGTATTTCATGTGTCGCGACACGGGTGCTAATAGAAGTAATATCTGTCGCGTAGTTTAACAACGGTTTCGGATCTGCCACTCGGAAGTATTTAGCAGAAACAGGGGTACTGCATGCCACAGAAACCGTAGGCGAACGACCAACGAAAAGAAGATAATAACAATTAAACTGGCACTATTGTATCGGTCACACAATGACTGTGCGTCAACGGATTCCTACTGGGGTTTAGTTGCAATAGAGCGCTTTTTCTAATCTCTGACACAGAGTTACAACGCAGGTACCGACGGCTTGACCGTATTGTGTTATACATACCATGTAATACTATTTCTACTGTAAATTCTATCGTAAAAACTATACGTATTTGAATTAAAGATTGAATGAAATTACTTTTAGAAATCGAAAATATTACAAGAAAGATCGCCACACCCCAGCAAAGACGATCATGGTGCCATTGCCATATGTATAGCTGGACTCCGTTTCCCATCTTTAGACCGCACTCTATAGTCTATTGACTTTAGCCGAGTCAGAGGTACATGGTAGTGTCAGCTTTAGAACTTTGGGCAGTTGTGGGGTAAAGTACGGCGGGGAAGGGGAGACAAGTGTAAGAAGGGGTGGCAACGGGCGTCGGAAGTCGTAGCAGGCAGACAGGCTAAGAACAGTCGAAATGGCTCAATTTCCTCTCCGGAAACGAATAATATTCCGCCCACGCAGCCGCCATCCCCAAAAAGGAGAGAGGAACACAACAAACGATGGATGGATGAATGGATGGATGGACAGACAGACAGACAGACAGACAGACAGACAGAATATGTATCTTTATATCTAAAGAGATAGAAACGGTCTCGCATACCGTATTCCCATTCTCTCGCAAGTTCTCTCTCTTGAATGTCGCTGCCACCTCGCTACACATACCCACATGCACTTCGCTTACTATACTCTGCGCCCACCGCTGCTCGCTAGATAGGCTCTGCGATGTTGAACTAAACAGCCGACTTCACGACGGCTGCAGTGACGCTCGTCGTCCAGACGTTCTCTTTCTTGGTCGGTCGGTCGGTCGGTCGGCTGGATTGTGGTTTTGTGATGGGTAGTGTGGCCTAGGACAGGGAGCATACGACGGAACACGACCATCATGCAGGTGTTTGCTTCAACGTCATCAATTTTTTTGTTATTACGATAATGGATTCTAGAGTGGGAATATAAATGGGACATTACTGCTGAGGCCGTCGGAGAACCGAATGAATACACTAGTGCTGCTGCTGCTGCTGTTGCACCATGGTCGTGGATGCTGGCGATGACGAGCGGCGGGGCAGGGCCTACGAAGAGGCAAATGGCTGCTTGTTGTCAGTTGGCGCAACCTTCTTCTCTTACCGTCGTGTTTCGTTCGCAATTGTGGTGCCAATGGCGGTCGTCATAGCAGCAGCTGCCGCCGCTGCCAGTGATGACGGTCGTAGTAATAGCGGAAACATGACCCTGTTGCCCGATGCGCGCTATGCCTATGCCTAGGCCTCCAACTAAGAGTCGCGCCCACAGACGCCCATTCTCGTTGAAAAAATGAATTTATTAATGGCCGTGTGGACAGAAAGGGTCAGCTTACCACTCCAGTCTATGACGAAGGTTATGACACGTGATAAACATTTCTGCTTGCACCTAACTGCTAAATCTATACCCAGTTATATATAGGCGTTCCTTTTATTAACGCTGCATCGTTCTCATAACAGACAGTTTAATTTCACATGCCATTACTTATATCAGCTACAATATGATATCCTGTCAATTTTCTTCTATTTCCCTTCTATCTTTCTTCCACTGGACCCTCTTGTGCTTGGAATGCGTGTCTACCTAGGTATGGTCAACTTCTATAACTTATTGCTCAGTCTTAGCGATGCTTTGCGCGTTGCTTGGACTGCCAGTCGCTTAAAATAACAAGAGCAAGTTAGGTTCAACTAGTTAGCTAATTCAATCACATATTGCTTCCCCCTTCATTAGCCTTAATGGTATGATAATTAGGTATTGTGGACCTGGAAGACTCAAAAACATAATGGGACAGTTTTCGTTATAGGGTTGCAAAGGCCTCCGAATTGGTTGCCTACCCTCCCCTTCTGACTTTTCTATCACTATGCGTGTTCCTGCGTGTGTGTGCGAGCGAGCGTATGTATATTGTGCCTAGTATGCTCATATGTGCGTGTGTAGCCGAGGGCGGGTAAGCGACGGGAGATGGGATCGGATGCGCAGAGGTTACAGAGGAGAGATAAGTGGGAAGGGGACGGCTTTTAGCAGAACCCGCAACGGGGCGGGTCATAGTGTGCTGCTGCTGCTGCTGCTGCTGGCGACAAAGTGGTGGACCGAGCCTGTACGACTCGACTCGTCCGTGGCTTACTTGGCTAGCCTGAAGACATCTCGTCGCTGCAGGGAGAGCAAGGGGATCACTTCCCCGAGACTGCTCTGCCGCTGCTGCTTCTGCCGCACTAACCCACGGGTAGCCCGTGATCCGAGCCCACGAATCACCCAGACGGTCGAACTGCTAGACAGCTAGTAAACTAACTGGCCGCTGCTGCTGCTGTGTCTGCCAGCGGCATCACAACTACTGCCGATTGTCTGTGAGATCGAGAAAAGACGACGACAACGACACATTATGTTGTCACACCGGGTGGACGCGATCCAGCTGTAACGGGCAGTTACCGGAGAGGAAGCAGCGGGGCAAAGTCAACGAAGCGATGGCACTGTGTAATGAGAACAGCACCGCTACAAGCTATAGCACCGGTAGCCTTCTTCTCATGACGTCCGCTTTTTCGCTCATAACACGAATGGCTGCTAGACGGGGGGCGGAAACAGGGGCATAAGCATACACGCACGCACGCACGCACACACAATGTATCATATTTCTATTCTGGATTAATGGTTCACGCATGTGTTATGTAGATGACTTCTGTTATCTCGGACTTTTAAGAGTTTAATTCATCTGCTATATCTGCCTTAGTAAAGAAGGATAATACAATTATAATTGTCATCTGTTTGTAACATAATCACGAGTATATAGCTTGAGGCGGTGTATCAAAACACACGCACCTGTTCATTACATTTTCGATGACGTTCCATGAAAAAAACCGCATTACCGTCACACAGAAGTGATACTACGCGCAACAAAAGTCGTAGTGTGAGCTTTTCAAGGGTAAATAATTACGTCTTAAGCATTAGCTGGCCGCTTCTTCCGCGGATTGATATCGAATCCACAGATGAATATGTCCACTGGGTCAAGTTAAAGTATTATGCGTGTACGTTCGTTCGTTCGTTTATCGGCAGACCTTGACATCAAAATGCAGCTTGTCTTCAGCAAACGAGCCCCTTCGAGACACACACGCTACACGATAAGCCAGCCGAGCACGCGAACTCCCATCATCAGCTAGTGACGATGATGGTTTTCATCACTGCACTTTACTGGATTTTTAATGCTACTAGTGGAAAACAAACGTAATGGTGTTCAAATTCTCTCAATGGCCCTGTTCCGTTGATGTCGGATTGCCGGAGACGCTGCATTCAAGGAGCATATAGCGCTGCCGCTAGGGACAGGCATCAACCCCGTGCGACAACAATTAGATCTCTTGTGTCGTTACTCTAGTCATTTGTGCGTGCATAAATGTACCATACTCGTAAGTATAATAAGTACCATGCATGTGCGTGTGTGAGAGGTAAAAAAAGCAACAACTATATCCACAGAGATCAGAAAAATTAAGGAACACGAAGCAGTACGAGTGATAGGGGACCATTGTGCGAGATGAAGAAGGAGAAGGTTTGTTCACGTTCAGCTATCAGCCGATCGAGAGAAGTTAAGGTTGTCTGTTCTATTTTGTCTGTCCTGGCTGGCTGTCTGTCTGTCTGTGTGTTCTGCACGAGCTGTCTCCTACTGCACCAAGATCAGCTGCTGCTTTGCTGGCTTGACTGGCCGCTTGGCCTGATCGCTGGTAGCTACGGATGCCAACTAGAAGAACAAGAAGGCGAAGAAGCGGCCAAGCTAGCCTAGCGATTCGGTCGTTCGTGACCCTCGTGAGTCACCCATTCTTGGACTGAGGTCTGCCGAGAGAAAGGACGGAAGGGGAGAACGCCTCGAGATGGTAAGGCGGTTACACTGGGCCACTGCCTCCGCAGTAGCTACAATGACTGCACGAACTCGTCCAACCCGCTCCACACTCCACCAGTATTGTGCCATTGTACCGCGATCAACAAAAAAACTAGCCATGCTTCAGAAGGTTACTGACTGCTGGTCCGACAAAACTATGGTTCTACGACGACTGATTTCCTGAATACACTCCTGCGCCCTTTGGCTCCTACAGTAAGAGGTGAGCTTAGGAAAGCTCCTCCATCAGAAAGTTATTTGACCCACATAAATAACGTTACTATTAGCTAAAAACGTATGAGAATAGCACGTATAATAATCTAAAAAATCTAGGATCGTACATCATCTGCGGATGGAATCACTACTCCCGTTTTCGCGATATGTAAACGCGACAACTAGATCTGAATGTACAGTGAAAACAGCCCATATACGGCTAGCCTAACATTTGTGTGATCAGCATTTTCTATGAAATTGGCAGCGGTAACGGGAAATTTGCTAGCTCGGACAAAGCTTTCTTTGCCTGGCTTTAACCATGGTTCATAACGCTCGTTGGTCACCCAGACGCTGGGTGGACGCTCAGAAGATAGGTTTCCTTTCTCTGCAGACTCGAGTGCGGGAAGCTTACGAGGAAGACGATGTGCCACGCTGCTGCTATAGGAGCCAGCCAGCTCCACTCCACCTCGATCCCGATTGCGCGATGCTCGCTCGAACAATCGATGCTGCCCGCTATCTATCACCCTGCATGCCCTCTCCTATTCTGAAGCTTCCGCTGCTGCATCCCGTCCATGATTATGATGGGCTGGGATGGGGGATCTGACGAATAACGGTAGAATTCCTTTCTATCCACCCACTGCCCTCCACTTCTGATCCCTGATCCCGCATCCACAGACCCAATCCTCCCTACAAACAACGTCAGCCGTTGGTACGGCGCAGTTAAGTTCCACTTACTTTCCTTCTTTTAGTCCGACCTCATCTCTAACAGGAACAAGGAGCAGAGCTCGGGACTAACAGCAGCGCCATCATCATCAGCCAAACGAGGAGCAGTATCGCACAATCGTGCGGTGGGACGGAGAGACAAACTGATCGACGATGACGACGACGGCCATATCGCTCGGTTTAGCTAATTCTAGGAACACCAATGGTCTCATCGAATCATATTTGCCGCACGTACGCATCCAACACAAGCAGCCTCATAAGAAATAGCCGATGATATACTGTATGCTGATTTCTATTAATTCCGTTCAATCAATCATAAATTCAATTAAATCTATTCAGATACATTATAGCCTCGCACAGAAGTCAAAACTTACAATATTGTTTCTGTTTTTGGTTTAACACGTGGTCCACAGACCTCGTCCATTTGGTGACGTATGTCGTTGGGCGAAGCTAAATACAAGCGCTACCTAGACGACCAACTGCTTTCAACACAGTGAAGCTAAGCCTAACGGTAAATTCCTCGTTTTCTGGGCAAAGTTATCTTACCGACTATAGTTGAATTCTGACGATAGCTCGGATGGTTATTAGTTGTAGCCATTATTTTTGATGTGTCGTCGGAAACGAGGCCACGAGTGAATGCGACAGTGCTATAGATGTACAGTAGAAGAAGAGCCTGATCGCAGCTGATCAACGACGGACGTTGTTGTTCCCAACGACAATGCGCGTCGCACAGCCGCGCATACATAAACGATTCATTTCTATGCTCTCCCAGTTCAGTAACACAGTGAACCTTCGACGTAGTCCGTAAGCGCCGCCCTCGTGAAACCGTTTGACGCGTTACTTCGACTCTATCAGACCAGAGAGAAATCGATAGCCGATCACAAGAGAAAGTCTTCCATCCATCCCTTGGTATACTATAGCACAGGCAAAGGCTAGTTAGCTATAGCGACTGTGAAAGTTGCCATAACATCTCTACATACAGCCCCAGCAAACGCAGGCCGATAACGAGTATAGCTGGCAGATACTCACCGCTTCGAATGCGGCCAGTCAACTGCTATTATCAATCAGCTCGTTCTAACGGGCCAAACGATCTCGTAACTGCACAGTATTTTTTAAAGTGCTATTTTCTCGGCTGCCATAATAGTTTCGTCGTATCTATCGCTCGAGACGCAGCTCCACTCGACGATGCATACTTTCAGTCGCCCAATGTAAAATTCAGACAGTAAAAATTATGGAAACAGTCCACCTAGAAGAGGGCTTAACCTAGTCCTTTCCTCTGCTGTGAACTTGATTATGCCGTAAGTATTACGGACTTGTCATATAAACGCCAACTAATTTAACAAGTGCGCTTGAAAAGGTGCATGATTATGCGACCATATAAAAACGATAGTCATTATTTAGTTCTGTTTTGTAGACAGAGATTTTCGGTGGTTTATCCGTTAACTTTCCACGAAGGTGTCTGCAGCCGTCCCTATCGTTGTAGACTATATGAATGAAGTCCTATACAGTTTAGGATATGAAAGGAGCTCGGATGTGCTCATATTTATCTGCGCTACATCGTTAACGTTGAGGCTCCGATGAACAGGCGCTAGGTAGGTAGTAGCCCTTATCGATTAGGTAAGGCGTACGGCCACGGCTGAGTTCACCTACCCTCAGTCGCTGCTGCTGCTGCGGTCTCGAGAGGCCCACCTCGATACCACTAGACGGCGTGGTATTTAGCACGCTGGGAACTATCCGCTCAGTCGAATTTATAGCCTATGCTACAAGCCACCACCGGGAGAGGAGCCCTATCGTCTACGTGTGTTTTTGTGTACCTACGGGGATATAGGACACCCCCTTCCCTCCTACCATTCCCTCTATTCCTCCCGTGCTGCAGTTCCAAAAAACTGCCCATAAACTCCAAAATGATCCCTTTTTCCGCCTCCACCCCCTTTCCCCGTCAGCACATGTACACACAAGGTCTAACTGCTGTTCATCCGCCGCTTCAAATCACCTCACCGATTACCGTGATGGCGTTGGAACCTCTCCTTTACGCACTACTCTTTGTATTACTAGTTTAGTTGATACGTTGTGTTTTTTAGGTTTTTCTTCAGCCGTCCCGCTGTAGCATACCAGCAGCGCTGTTCTATAGCTTGAATTCAGAGATTCGTTGATGCATACGAAGGAAGGAGAGAGACTGTATGGGAAGTCGACCAAGCACGAGCGCCATTACTATGTTATTTATCCAGTAAATAGCCTAAGTGGTTAATGATGCCGACTTGGATTTTATCTATTTAAGACTGATACACCATTTGCCTCTAAGATTGTTTCGCGGTAATATTATATATTTTATACTTCTTCATTGTGACCATATACGTCTATAGTGAATGATTGCCACTTGAGGCTGTGACTAACACCAAGGTAGAGCTGTAAAAAAGAAGCCGCTGCCTGTAAAGCAGGCCCTTTTTTGTTTAAGTTTATGCTCCAGGGGCACACAGATTCTTCAAGTAAGTTCTGACACTGAAAAAAGCAATCAGAATAGAGTAAAGCCACAGTGTTATGCAACACGATCCAAACCTGCCACCCTGATAGACTGGAACAAGCTAGTTACTTTCAGTGTGCATTAGAACAGGCATCCTTGTATAATATAATAAGATGTATAATATCATTAATTATAGCTCATTTTATGATTAGGCATTAACATAAAATTGATCAATTCGTATATTTTATTCGTATTTATATATAGCCGATGACGGAAACACTTGCCTCACAGAGACTATATTCATGGTACCTCTTCAATATATAGTATCACATCAAAGCAATATATGTAGCAGCTTTCGTAGCGTTCAATTGTGAGCAGTTGCTTAGCCGCTCCTCATCGCTACAGACCGTTCACACTTACGTAACGAAGGTTGAATTCGTTCGAAATTGTCTTTGGCCGATTATCTACGTGTTTCCGTCATCGACTATATATGCATATATATATTATCGTTACTAGACAAACAATGGCTCAACGTCGTTCGAGCCATTCTTAAGATCTTTCACGACGACCGGCGGCTCCCATCGTCCTTTCTCCACGGGTATGTCTAACTGAGTGACGTCCTTTAATTCTGTTTTAGGCTTTCCGCGGTGTTCAGGCCTTTGCACATGCAAGCAGAACAGTCTCCTGTACAGCGGGCTTAGGCTGCAAGTGAATCGTCCGTGTCTCCATAGCTAGCGATTTGGCGCTGGTTAACCGGTAACTTAGTGTTTAGTATCAGTTCAACCTATAGCATAGCATACATCGGTATTTTCGGAGTTTCGCTCTTTGTGTAATGATTAGTTACCTTGGTACCTCGCTGATGATGACTATGACGACAATAATGTAGATGATTGTATCGTCCTTTCGCTGGACTTTGAACCGATAGGATAGCTGGATCCTTGTTGTTTCAGTTATTCTCTTCGAAGCGAAGCAGATTTCGTTCGCCACTTCATTTAAAGCATAGCAGACTTCTTGACCAATTGTGTTAAGTTTCGTCACGGAAAACTGAGCGTCTTGCTCATGCAGCTTCTGCTCCTGATGCAGCCGTCGCTTTATCGTCAGCTTCGATGCCATCGAATTCGCAAAAACAACGAAAAACATAGACCGGCATATTGTTGTCGTTGTTAGTGGGAGCGCCATTGCGTGCGCTAGGGGGGCGGTCCTGGGTCTCCATTACGGTCGCAGTAGGGCTGTTGTTAGCGAACCGCTGCAGCAGAACATACCCCAGGACCGCGGAGACAGTGGGAAATTTGCAGTTGAAACAAAGAGGTGGGCAGGACCCGCTCAGCAGAGGAAAGAAGCTATGGCTGTAGACGGACTGTGACGAGGTGATGTACGATCGTCTCCCCACAAAATAACTAATCCTGCTTCTCCGCTGGTAGATCGGCCGGCCCTCTTTCCCTCCACTAGAATCTCCCTGTTTATTTCCCGCGGTCGACGACATAACCATCTTTGGTGAGGACCAAAGGTAGTGATCAGAAATTAAGCGAAGTCGTCATGAAGAGTTAAAGGCCCTCAGTGATGGTCGCGGCTAGAACATTCCCGGGATAAGCGAAGGTGAACCTCGCCAATGAAACTGACACATGGCAATAACAACAATAGCAGTGGTGCAATAATAAGCAGGTAGGCAAAAATCGAGTGAGTCTGACTAAATTCAATGTACCTTATTCCACATATTGACATTTGGATTCGCTATCGGTGAGTTGACTGTAGCAGGGAGTCGCCCATCATTTCTATAGTTTTTTTCAGCCTGCATCAATCGACGTGTTAATTAGCTCGTAAACAGGCGTCATCACGGTTGGTGGCCATAAAGCTTCCGGTGTCTATGTATTTAGTACACGCCAGCGAACAAAAGGAAAGACCCATCATCTAACCTGACCCGTACATGTAGGGGGTATTTTTATAGTTGGCAATCATCAGAAAAGGCAGCCTCCCAGTTGTTGTCTCGGTAATCCTGTTCGGTAACGGCTAGTCGTTAATCGCTTCCCAACCATATGTACCATAGTTTTTTTGCGACAATAGCTGTCAGAGACACAACATCCCTAGGTCGGTGCTAATAAATAACTTGGAAGTCGTTCAAATGAACCATGATTCATATGTTAAGTCAATGATCGCATCAGGTGTTAGCTGGATTTGGTAGGGGATGAGGTTTGAAATCGTGTCCATCGTCAACCAATAACAGTCGAACGGCGGCCAGAAGTTAGTAGCCCCGTACATATGCACGTAAAGTAGGTAGGGCTTTTCTATCCTAAACAAATCAACGTTGAAGTAGAGCCGCGATACAAGCTTCCTAGTTCTACTGCTGAGAAACATTGTGCCCGTAACTCTTCGTACTATAAGAGTTTCTCTTTCGTTTTTCTGCGCTCACAGATGAGCATTATAGAAATGATTGCATAGTCTATGGGCATCAAAATGTACTATCGTGCATTCGACATGCCTTGATAGTTTACGTTAAGTCTAATTAGCTACGATGTTTGGCTTCCTTCTGCAGTGTACGATGCTTTTAGCCAGACAGATAAATAGACGTGCTCTGAAAACGTAATTTGTACTGCTTGACGGGCTCGTCGATATTATCAACTCCAGTAATCGCTACTGGTAACGCATATAGAAACGAACTGGGCGACACAAATTCCGCCTCTCTTTTAGACGCCAACGGCAATGAAGCCAAGAGTCACCTAAGCACCGCATGAGTTAATCCGTTTAAGCAAAAGACTACCGGAAACCAGGCTACGGTACTCTATCGTCTATCGTCGTAATGTCGTAAGCGTCTATCGAACGAATCGAAACCTGTAGCAGCAGCAGCAGCAGCGACAGTAACAATGACTTTATCTTTAAGCAAAATAATGAAAAAGGAAACCAGCATCGACAGCGGGTAGCTGGCAAATGCACAATGAGAGCTATTGTCGTAATGAACAAGGTAACACAGTAAAGTATATCTTATAACATGGCGATGATGATGATGATTATACAGCCGCCGCCGCCGCCGCCGCCGCCGACGGTGACCATTGAGACACTGGAGGAGGGAAGATGAGAGAGAAACGGAAGCAGAAACAACGACGAGGGGGAGCGGCGAAGAAGGTTTCTGCGTTCTGCCTATATGTATATGTCGACTAGAGCGGTCTGTCTGTTTACTTCTTATCACGCGTGTGTATGTGCCGTTCGTGCTTCTATTGTGTTTTTCTCTCGTCTGCTGCTGTTGCAACAACAACAACAACAACAATACTAGCCGCTGAGTGATCACCATCATTTGGAAAATGGAGACCGTTTCCTGTCTGGTCCTTTTGTCTCATTCATCACAGGCACGCACCGCGTCGTGTATAGCGTTCGTAGTATATTACAAATATGTAGATAATAAAATTGATATATCAGCTGCCCTTGTTTAATGCCTGTATTTAAAATGGCCGAAGTTTCTACTAGCTAGGAAGATAGCGGCTTGTTTCATCATTACAGATCACTTAGTTTTAGGCCGCAACTCTGCCCTGACCGTCATTATCGTGATTTGGTTTACATACACAAACGGTTATCTCACAAGTTCTTACTAACGTGATATTATTAGTACCGAGCTTACCAATGCTATTGTGTGCGTAAGGCATGACAATGGTAAACAGGACATGAGTAACAATAACATACGATGCGAGATGTAAATTGAATATGGACGCTTAGGCCCAATATAGTCTATAGGCAGCTATTTTAGGTAACTGTAACAGATAGCATTGGATATATGATGATATATAATTTATAGTATAGTACACAATCGCAGCAGGAGGCTGTAATGTATTATATAAACAAAGTCCTTTTTTAGTCGAGAAAGCTAGAACGCTGAAGGTATGCGGTGCGCAATTGATGTCTTATATACAATAGTAATAACTGTAGATAGGCATATATGTATACATATTAGCTGAATAGAAGTTCTGTTAGCAAGACGCACATCTCGACACCATTGTTACAGACTAACCACCGGCGTTATCATTTTCACGGCTATACTACTTTTACCTCAAAGGTAACGCTCCTCTGTTCGAGTATGACAACATGTGAGGCACGCTAATACCTCACAGACGCTGGGTATCGGTGAAAGATAAAGCGAGATGCCGAGCTCCTAGTTGGGCCGATGAGCATCGCACGGCTAACGGAGCGATTAATCGAAGAGCGAAGGCCCGCCACTCACACCCGGACATCTAGTGATCGCCATCTTGATAGTGCCTTTTTATCGCGAAGCACAGTTTATCTAGGCCAGTCTTTCTCTAATCATCATCATCATCATCATCGGTATCGTGATAAATAATGAACATTGGTTCTGCGACGGCGGCGGCGGCGACGGCGGCGGCGGCGACGACGACGACGACCACGACCACGACCATTCTCGGGTCAGTTCCATTCAAATGAACGGCCACACCATTGGACTAACCCCCTGATACTTAGATTTTTTATAAATAAATCTTTTAACCATCTCCTTAGCAAGCTTCGCTGATACATCCAAACCGATGTGATATCGATCTATACTTTTATGAAGAAGGAACACAAGTCATCGGAGTATTCTATATTGCAATAGGCGATATAATATCGGCGTCAATTAAAAGGTCCTCTAGCCCGAACGTTATTGATTGTCACCACTGTAATGACGTGTAATCACTCTAGTTGATCAATCAAATTGACTCCATGGAGCTACTCCGTAGTCCTTTCAAATCTGTTTGATGCTCTCCTATATTTTTATCGAGGGACTCACGGCGTGTATGTGTGTGTGTGTATTAAATACTATTGGTAACATCAAGTAGTAGAACTAATGTGGGCTACTTGAAGTATCCGAAGATGGCGTAACATTGGAGGAAATATGCTCGGTTGGATTAAGTAATAGCTCCATATTTTATTTATTATATATATATATTTATCTAAAATATTTCCGTCTATCGACAGACTCTGCTGATATAGAATTACATTTACTTCGAAGTCAAGCTTCGTATTACATACGTTACTTACTAGAATTATAGGCCTATCAACGGACTAGTACTATGAGCCCCAATTTGGGTAGAATGCAAAAACACTCACAAGATAAGATGTATCTATGAGCTCATTAATATGAGCTAAGACTTCAGGAAAAGTTAGGACTTCAGACACTTTCGAATACTACCTCAAATATTTACGATCTCTTGCCGAATCCGAAAGGTTTTGATAGGTTTCACGAGTCAGTCTACTACGTGCATCTAACTTTTAAGCACTATGAGCATTAATAATTAATATCCTCGCTTAAATATGTAGAAATCGGATGAGGCACAGCCTAAGGCTTTTAGGCATGTTATATCAGTGAGCTCTAGCCCTGTTTTTGACTCCTTCAAGTGGGTCCAAATCGAGCATGCAAAATATACTCAGCGTATTTTCTGGGAGTCCAAATTGATACTATTACTAATAGCAGCTAGTTGAATTTCATGTCCGAATGTTGCAGGTGGTATAGGAAACAATGAAAGCTATAGCTTGATCTTTTACCCGTTTATCACAACTTCTTGACGCAAAAGCTTCTTCACTGAAGAAGATCGATTCGAAGCAACTGAAACAGAGGGCTCATCAGGAAAATCAACGTCTGATGTAGCAAGTATAGCAGCTCTTCACTGTGATCGTCGCGCTTTTTGGTCGATTTGATGGAAAATGAAATTGCCCCGGAAGTGAAAAGGAACAAAAAACTTCGTAAGGAGAAGAAAATTTGTGGAGAAGGGGCAATAATAGACTAAACTAGGCGTCCTGTTTCTTGAGTCGACCGTTGCCTTGCACAGTAAAAGTAGTAAAAAGCAAGGTGCATCTGGTATCCCACGGATGGCTATTCCTTTGAGGGTGATGGACAGCCTGGACAACTTGCACTACCTTCATTTGGACCATGTGTTTGTTGCACTACCTTACAGCCTTTGGTCCCTTCATTCCCTGAACTATGCCTCTTCTCTTTCAGCGACCTCACGAATCCATCGAATCGATGCACACAAGGAAAAAGAATGGGAGTGAGGGGCAAGAAGTTTACGACGAAATCACTACAAACGCGGTTATCGTATACAATGCATAGCAAGTCCTTAAAGAGACCTATAACATGGATCGTAGGCCAGATACGTGTAAAATCTACTTGTACCAAGATGATTCGATACCTTAGGAAACGTCGTGAAATAAATATGTAACTAAAACAATATAATTTCAATAGGAAGCTAATAGCAAATTTCAGATTCGTATCACAGAATTAACTGGCCGTTGCCGCTGTGGGTACATTTCGTTCTACGACTACACTTTTACGCCGCTCGTATTGCCCCTGACTGGACGTGCAGGCGTAACCGACTAATTTAATAGTAGTAGCGGATAATGCAAGGGCGTTTGGCATCGTTGCAGTGATTCAGCTCCGATCTATTGAGTACGCACGAGTCATGGAATTGCCTCTCGAAATTTAACCAAGAGTCACCCGCTTTCTACGATGTGCCTCCGCTGTATTACTATGAATCATTATGGTTCGAACCGCTAATTGTATTACTCCTCGAAGACTTTCATTAAGCCTAGTTGTCAAACGGTCACTCATTGGCATTATGTAATCCAAAGTCATTCTCAGGTGTTATCAATGATCATCGATGAAAACAGCCGTCCAAATTCTGTTCTTTTTCGTGCATCAGAGTAGAATCAGAACATAGAAAGATGGCACGGTGGCCTCCAGCTAAAGAACAGCCCCTCAAAGGTCGTGATGTCAAAGATATAGCTCACATCCGCCAGCATCCACAATCATTGTGTTTTTTCGTCTCTTACATGAAGGAACTCAACCTCGTCGGGGCTGGCTTTTTCTCGGCAGAACAATTTCAAGCAACACAGTATACATATGCATGCATTTACGCGTTACCTGTATTTGGCAACTATAGACTTTGGCCAACATGTGCGTGAATACATTTCTACCTGTTCGCACAACACGGCTGCCGAACAGACGAGGTCTCCTGTTGAGATTAGCTGCTAAAGTCATACTGTATCTACACTCGACAAAAAACGGCAGGCAGCAGGCCAGACCCACGTTCATAAACGCATAGCTTGGTTATTTACTTTATTTTATTTACTTATTTATTCGGGTAAATTCGCTACCTGAGGCTGTATTTCTACCTACTACTAGTTTTCGTTCGAGGCAGACATTAAACCAGACTAGTAATTATAGCGCTGAAATAATATTAGAAAATGATCTGTAATGGTAATGTCTACTTCTTTTCGAATTCCGATGAGATTTTTTGCGTGCATAAAATTGACTCATGGCAGATTATATTTATGTAACATCCAATAGTAGTTGCTGTTGTAGTAATGGCATACCCTGTAGACAGTACCTATTTCGTGATGGGATCGTGTTCATCCGTATCTCTTAGGCAAAAAATTCAGTTTATCTCAATGCACGACTCTCAACATCACCAAGGCGTCAAGCCAAACAATAACAATGCGGCCTGATACAACGACGTAAACACTTAGCGTCCATTTTGTGCTTATACCACACATACACATACGCTGAGGCACACATGCACAGGCGGAGCTTGGTTCTCCATACACAAGGAAGTAACTGCGGGACCCGTCTACGTAAATGCGATGTATTGGAAAAAAAAGGCCGGAACGTCAAAACCGTTCCTTGATCAGGTCGAAAGGTGATCAGCTTCGTATGGCATCGTTCAGTACGATTTAAGCCAAATGGGAATGGCCATTTGGAGTCTGCTTTCAATGGAGAGCCGTATGTTTAGCTAACCCGGATGAAAAAACGGATCAAATTCTTTATTTGATTAGTTTATAAGCTTTGACCGAAATGCAGCGAAGTTTGATAGCCAGGACTTGTCTCTGAAGCATGTTTTACTTTTCCGTGGTTACGTGATGCTTTCGTACTACTTTCGATGCTACATGTAACCTCCATATGGACATTTCGGCTTTGTTTCATCTTTTTCTTTCTGTAGAATATCATCATAACCAAAGAAAGATCTCTTCCAACGTGTTCTGAGCGGACGTCCAGATTCCAACATGCGAGTAACGCCAAACCGGCTTGTAGTTTCATCATTGTTACCACCCTAGTCAAACCGCGGTACGTGATGGACAATTTACGTGCTGTGTGATAAAGTAACGTAATTAACATGTTAGCTATGTTAATAATAAAGGCACTAGCAGACATTGCCAAATATAGGCCTTCCTACGCTAATCTGATCGCTTCTTAGCCCTATCTTTAGTATTTGTTCAAAATAAACGGCTAGTAATATTCAGGTCTACGTATGGGTTTCTACTGAAGATGAGTATGATAATGTATGTAAATTAGGGCAAATACGTATAGAATGCCTATTGTCAGTGATAAGCTTAGCTCCTGCAACATACTGCCCAGTTCGAATAACATGAGTCTGATAAATAAATACTAGCTATTTGTTAAATGCTTGCTTTCCCTCTTTATCTCTCCGTCGTTTATTTACTTCTATATACAGCCTGAAGGTGCTCGTCGTCCCTTTGTGCCCCGTAGGTAGTTGTAACTTTTATTGCACAGTGAATGGAATTGTATTTCGAGCTCAGGCACTAGAGATTGATGCTTCTGGTTGGAGAAGCACACTGTTGGCACCCACTTCATTTCGCCAACCCAAAAAGGTCCAAAACAGCCCAGGATATTTGGGCCACGTACAGTGTGAACTCTACGCATAGGAGAACTGTTCAAAATAATGGTTTAAGAGGTTCAATAAGGGAGGGATTTTGGAACTGGAGCGTGCGCCACGTCGGTCGGCCATCCGACTTCGCATGAGGATTATCTAGAGACGCTTATAAAAGCCCTCAAACAATTCGTGGAGTGGCCGACAAAATGAAGTGCAGTCATGTGACACTCGTCAGGCATTTGGAGCATATGGCAGCCCTTTAAACATTAAAAGCCACACGGGCGTTTCATAAACTGAGCATAAAACACAAAGAAACACAACTTCTCACTGTCTGTGAGTGAAAGAGGCTATTTAACTGAAAAAAAAAAAGGCTCGACGGGCAAAAGGAAAGTTATCGTTTTCTAGGACAATCCCAGACCACAGATAACAAAGGCCGCCGTCTGATAAGTCAAACGGGAAATTGTTTTGCAATCGCTTTCATGTATTCTCTAGACCTCGTGCCGAAAGGTTATTATCCTTTCAGACCATTAGGCAGTTGAATTTATAATAATAGTACGTTTCATAGCGACGGGGTCTCAAAATCTGGCTAGAGGATTTTTCTAACATCTACACTTTTTTAACACAAAAATTCAAAAAATTTTAACGCAAAGGAGTAACTGAATTGATTTTTAGATAGGAGCAACCCTTGATTTTTAAGCCGATAATATGTACAAAACAACTATAGTAGAAGTATTGGGTGGTCGAATGCTTCGTGCTGTTAGTACTAGACGGTAAAAGGCTTGCCCGCGTACAAATGCCAAATCTACCGTTCGGAGTATTCCTACCAGGAAAAAGAAGCCCAGATGTACATGTAGTATGAAATGTCGAAGAAGGACCATGAACACACAGTGAGAGGGCGTCATGAAGAATAGGATGCTGTTAGCTTGTCCCCACTCTCGGAGACAACGTTGTTGCCGTTTTGACAGGGTATCATCAGAGGGGCGGTCCACGGGCCACAAAAGCTGCCATACTGCGCAAGCCATGACCATTTAGTGGACTGGGCTGTCATCTCTATTTCTAACGGTACCTTTGCGGTTTGCTTATGGCCCGCACATTGAGCTAGTCCCTTGATTTATCTGTTTTTGTCGTCTCTGCCTCCAATAGTGGACCGGTCGTTATTCGCCCTTTCCAATTATTTTTGTGAAATTTTTTTAAAATTTGTTGATACGTTGAATGATTGGTCTTGCCGCAATGCTGTAACAGCTATTGCCCTCTAGTTGGCTCGAACGGTTAACGTATTTAGCTAAAACGTTTCTTCAGCTGATACTGAGTCATGTGTGAAGACGTCCTCCTTTTCTCTCTTGTAATTAAGGCACAATCTGGCGGGGTACTGCGCAAAATTCCTTGAATTTTTGAGAAAAATAAAACTGATAGGGTTGTTTTCGGCTTTTCCAAGGTTCGATCTTCTAATCCGCATAGCTTTGTTCCATTTGAGCTAAATCGTAGAAGTTTAAGAAAGAGGTGAGCTTACCACTGAACAATTGCTAGAGAGTGAAATCCTACCTGCAAATCGAGGAGATGGAGCAAGATGACAAGTTCGTCTGTCATGCAGTGGTGCTAGCGCAAGCCATAAAAGCAGACATAAAGTCCGCCATACGCGAACAGATGTAGTCGCCCACGATTAAGCACCACTATATAATCACTATTACTACTGTTGAACGTACCACAATCTAAATCGTTTCTGGCCTTGAGTAGATCGAATTGACTAATATACCGCATACCCTGCATGAGGTCTTCAAAGCACACTCGTGTTGTTTGCGAAGCGCTGAACCGTTACCATATTAACCTACTACTTTTATAAATTAAAATTAACGTAACCTATTGATGTATCAGGCGAAGGCAATAATTCAAGTCACAAAAACGAATCTGGCTCTTGCTCACAATAGTCGTCTACAACGGAAGTCTATTACTATGGCCAGTGGTGCCGTTGTGGAGAAGATGTTTTTTGTTTGTCTTACGCTTGAGGTGCCGCTGATACACAAAATGCCCCACTGAAGGCTATACTGAACTGTGTAACCAATGTGGATGAACAGTTGCAGTAGGGGCTACCGGCCATCAAACAACTCGAACCTCGCGTCGGCCATTAGAACGACCCGAAACAACAGCAAACTCTGCAGAAAGGTCGAGTTTTCTACATACCATTAGGCATAAAACATGACCTTCGAGATCTGATAACTAAGTGTGCTTGTGTCTAATACATCTCTTGGGGAGTCTTCGAGCATGTCATGTTGTTATTCCAACATGCAGTCATTTGGAAATTCCTCCAGAGAATAAACAAGACTCTTTCTTATGGAGAATGCTATACAACAGCCTATAGGATTTCAATAACTCTATTCATTCATAGCGTATTGAATGCAATCTAGAACATATGACGCTACCTGTGAAATCATCTGCACTTATTGCTTTAAGAAACAGCTAACGATAAATGGAATTTATCACCACCGTTTAATTTTAAACGACAAGACGAAAGTATCGAGAGGGATATATTTTGGTTTAGATTCTGTTTCTTGGTTTCCCATCGCTAGAGGGTTGAGGCAGTGGATTCCGCGTCGAGAGGCAGCGCAGCTGGTTGTTTTCTTCGAAGATCAAAATAGTTTAGCATGCATACGTGCAATATAACGAATAAAGCCACGAATTTCATAACGCCTCGGGACGTTTTTGTTAAACAAGAGAAAACGAAATTTGACGATGTGCTAAGCACGAGCCAATGTTGTCGCTGTTAAAGGGTTTCTTTTCAGTTCCTATTTCTGCGTACGGTCAAACTTTGTAGGAAAAAAGTATCAAGTGATAAAAACAATCATAATTATACTGCGAACGTGGGTTTCACGCTTCGTAGGACACCCCGCTGCTCTTATTTGAACGCAACGCTTAAAAATACATAATTATACGTAGCGTTTTCGCGCTTCGATTGGCTTGTCCTTAGGTAATGAACGCAAATTATGCCACCAACAAAGCCACCGAGGGCCAAATCTACGAAATGCCAATTAATAACATTGATAATAAACGTGTCGTGATATGATAATAGATTTTATGATTTGATAAATATTCTTTTTGAAGAAAACACGTTTGTTGGCCCGACACCATCTCTTCCTTCCTGTCTACCTTTGAGGTCATCATGTTCATTTGACATGGTTGGATATACTTAGAGAAATCGGTCGACGCAGCATTGTTGTCTATGGGTTAAGTGATTCCATTGGAAGCATTCATATGCTTGTTATATCACAGTTAGTCCTTTTTCTTAAATACTGTTCTCATCTGTTCCATCACTAGAGAAAAAGTATATGTCGGTAGGGATGCAGCTTAACAAGAGTGTCGATTGCTAAATTCTGCTGATATCCGCCACGAACCTGCTAGTAATGGCAGTAATAAAGCCCATATGATCCCGACGGCTCCGACTTATTGGGTCAATTATTCTTACCGGTTTATTCTCGTCTTCAGATGATCCTGCAAACTTCGACGTCGCTCTTCATTCTTGGTCGTTATTCATCTCAGTTCCTCGCAACTTTCGATCATCATGAAGCTGTGGGTCTATTCATCTTCTTTGCGCACATTGGCGGCGCTTCTTGTTGCCGTAGCTGAGACCCCTAAACGCCGTCGCCGCCCTCCCAACCCTCGTTCATCTCCGTTTCTGTTTTACGCCATTCTCAACATCTGCTTCATGGAAACGTTTTATGACGCTGAAGCGGGTGTGCGTTTTACAACATGCAAAAACCGCTTTTGTTCCTATCGCTGTCCTTCTGCTCCTCTCCGTTCATGAAGACAAGACGGCTCTTGTCCTCTCGTTATTATTGCTGGTATTTGGCAAGGCCTATGCTTGCAGAGATCGTTGTCACCGCTGCCAACATCTTAAGATCACTCGAATGGTCGCAGGGTAAGAAGACGACCAGCAACAAATGGAAATAGACTGCACTAATAATAAGCGCTTAGTTGTACCGGTTCATGTGGCAACAGTTTTTGTTGTCTCTATTGCCCTGTTGTTTTACCAAGCGATGTCAACCATCGTCGACATAACCAACTCGATTACATAGAGATGTACAGAAGATTTTTTAAAGCTATATAATTTATTAGAATCATTTATGAACAAAGAGAGCCTACTTAACGATATTGGCCTTGTCTTCCTAACTCGTTGCTAATTTGTACACGCATCATTTAAAAAACGATGAAACGCGTTAAATAGGCACATTCCGTCGGGGTCGTCATCACGAGGTATTGAAGTAATGCTTCATGCTGGTGCTTGAATAACAACCGCGATACGCGACATCTCGTACCAGTGGTACAACAGCCATCATCACCGGTACCAGCGTCATGATAATATAGCAACGCGTTATCTGTCATTCACAGATCAGAGCCTGAGAGGGCAAGAATGGCACCCGCCGTATCGTGCAAAACGGCGAACCACCATCATTCATCGAAACGTAACAAAACACAGATTTTTCATTTATATTAGTGAATTTCATGATTCAATAACTTCGCTTGGAAAGGGAATCCCCCTCCAGCTATCGTCTATTAACAATACCTATTTACCAGGCCTTGTTTTATTTGATCGGCTTCATTTATGTAGCCTCCACGTATCTGAGAAACAACAGAATGGGTCTCTTACCTGGGGTGATAAAAGTGGATAGTGTGTGAAAAATTTGCAATAACTGTCAATTACAATAACAACAATAGACTATAAGTAAGATCAAATGGCTGGACCTCGAATGGGCAGTGACCTTATCATCCCTATTTAATTACAAATATGTTTATTCCAGCATAAAGCTCAGGTACATGGGAAACTATCTAGCCCCACACCTTTTCTATCTACCGAAAAGAAACAATCCATTTTTAATGGTAGTGTTCATAATAGTAGCAACACATGTACAATGTTTATCACCGGCACAAAAAGATAGTGTATTAAAAATACGTACAAACGTCGAGGTTTGTAAATGTAACGTTGGAGAACATCGGCGGCACACATATTAACTGAACCAGCAGCGATAACGTACGAATCAAACATTTCTTTTTTCTACTTTAGGATAGAATAATGCAACCCTGTCGATGCGGTGACGATAACGGGCGATTTTGGATAAATTCAGGGATTTCTTCATCGAAACGCCTGTCCGATACAGCGAATAATCCTTGTTTACGGCCTGAATTCCCTCTAGCGAAAGTACTTATAAATCTCCTTTAAAGTGAACGCTAGCATTTATCATGGCAGCCCAGTCTCGTTTTCTCGTTACGGTAAAAAGGATGTGCCCATGTTATTTAAAGGAACCCCATTATAAACGATGGCAAACAGTATATCGACGTACTGGTTCTATTCACTTGAACAGATGTGTTTCATCAAATCCCGCAGCCATTTATTTGCCCCTTATGTTTTATAAGGTGCATGTATATTATTATAAAACCACAGTAATTATATTTAACTAATTAGATAATTAAATGGTCAACAAACAACTCTCGATGTTAATCATCGATGAACGTATAGCGCAATTTCTTGAGAAAAATGTGTTCTTTTCACATGGCAAAATCTACTCAAAGGGCAGCGTTCTTGTACGCCTTAAGTTACTAACTTTGCACTCCTGCACTTTCCGGACGCGTTGCCCTTTTCTGCCACAAGCTTGGCCCAAATCGTTTTACGGTAAGCAACATATTTGCTGCTGCTGCTGCTGCTGCGAATGGTAAGGCAAGCGAGCTTCATCTGGTACTCACCCTGGAAATAGCTTTTAGTGCGCAGGTAGGATACGGATAGTCGCAGGATGGAGAGCTTGTCGAGTTTAGATAGCACACTCTGATCGAATGGAAGTAGAGAAGCGAGTGAATCCAGCTCCGCGTTAAGACGCTCGCGGTGGCGTTTTGATGGGTTGGACTTAGTCTGCGTCTGTTGGCCACCGCCCCCGCCGAGTGAACCACCTGTGCCTGACTGGCCTGACACGCTGGTCGATAGAGTCGTCGGAGCGCCGAGAAGAGGCGATGATAGGGAAGCAGCTGTTGCACCCAACGAACCGAGAACGCCCAAACCGCCGTTGCCGCCACCGTTCGTCGTCGACACCGGCGTCACCTGCGACGCTTGAGGCGGTACCGGAGACGTGTTACTGCAATTAGTGAGGCCGAGATGGACTTCCTTCAGGGAGACAGCGGAACCGACTGTCACACTCGACCCATTCACTCGGCCGCTGCTGCTACAACGACACGCCGGACAAAAATAGATGCACATTAGCGTTCTACATTGCATACAACTACGTGCCTAAAAATTCTACGAAAATAATTCAAAAATGATATGAATGAACCACATTCATCTTTAGCGTTAACAAAGTAAATATTGTTACTCTACCTAAAGAAGGTGTAAAAAAATACGTTTAGGTAAGTAACATTTAATTAATCGTCCATTTGTACAATACGCTATTTATTTTTTAAGCTCTCGATGGGAGTAGCAATCGATTTACCATGGCTGAACCTAGAATTACAGAAAATAGATCACTGGCTTACTTATTAATCGCTTAAATACTTATTATTAAGAGAAAGCGAAAACGCTTGTACAGGCCCAATGGACCGATGAGCACATCATCATGCCTTCTTCTACGGTTAATTGTTGTTAGGGCCTTCTCATATGTCCTACGGTTAACCCTGCTTCTCTACGGGTAAAGGTCGGTTCCCAATGACATTCAACCATTGACTATATCCAAATTATTTGTATGGTACGTCTAACTTTAGTTAATAGAATATCATGTCTTGTTTCAAAGATTGTCTAAATTGTACTTTTTGCATAAGACAAGCTCTTATTTTGTGTAAGCAAGTAATATACTAATGCAATTTCGAGTCGGGAGATCTTCCTTCAGTATCAGTGTATCATTTGTTATAAGGTATCCATATCAACGCAGCTTGTATCGCGCATTCGGTGGCAGGAGTCGCCCGTTGCATGTTACCACAGCACCAGAGACACACAGCAGGGGGAGCAGGAGGGAAGTATCTTGCTTAAGTTTTACGTATTTGTCTTTTAGATCTCTGCTGCTGTGTTGATCCTGCAAGGTTTCGCGTATTTTGTTCATTGTGGTTCTACTGAAATACCTTCCTAAGAATGAACGGACTGGGGGTGTCCCCCAGTCCGTTCATTTCCAACAGCGCCATCCAGCGGCCACTCAGTTACTGGCCGTTTTTCGTTTCTTTTTTTCTGCGCTTCTCATTTTTAGAGGGAAAGCATGACAGCAGCAGTCGATGGTCGATTACAACAGAAATCGACGACGGCCAATGGTCCACTGTCATTGAGCGTGCGTGTCTGTGTGTGTATACTGTACACAATACGTATGTATGTAGCATTATGGTGGTTGGCTTGCTAGCTGCGTCCGCCGCTACCGCCGCAGAAACGGAAACAGCAGGCCCAACCAGGCCGAGCATTTCACTAGCGACCGGAATAAGGGGTTGGGCTGGATCTCTTTACAGAAGAAGATACTATCAGAACAACAATAACTCGAACAATCCCGCCACGCATTCTCTTCCTTCCCTTTGAACCACCATCAGTCCCGTCCGCTCGCCACTGTTCTCAATAGCCCTCCTCTATTTTCCATAACTTCGTGCTTTTCGATCGGCCATCCAGACCACCTCAACAACCTCTCCGCGCCCCTCGCTATCCTCGATGCGCTCATCCCTGTATCGTCGTCCCCTTGCCCCTGTCGTCTGCTTTTGTGTATAGTTCGCTCCGACTGTGGCTATATCAGCGGCGGCGGTGACGGCGGTGCAGTGCTGCTGCTGCTGCTGCTGCCGCCGCCGCCGCCGCCGCCGCCGCTACTGTTAAACCTGCTGTGCCTTCTCATATCCGTTGGTTGGGCAGGGGTGAGCGATGCCATCTGCTCACGCCATCATCCCCAGGCGATCCCCAGGCGAACCCTTCCCCCTTCGTTTCTAAACTCGTATTGAGCTTTGCTGCTGCTTCGTCCCTGTCATCGTCGTCCTGAACGAAGGAGGTTGTTGTCTCCTTATTGCCCCTCCTTCCTTAGCTCGCTATGCCCTGTTCCTTGTTCGACTCGTTACAATGGCAAGTACCGCTGAGATCTGCCAACCAACCCCTCGAGTATCGTTGCCGCCGAATTGCTCTATGAGGCAGAAATGGTTTCCCTTCAGGAAGCCTATTCGCTTCTCAAACCCAAAACCTACTTTTGACTACATAGCTGCTGCTGATATTGCTGTTGCCGTGGGCGATTTTATTTTGCCGGCCGCCATCAGTCCCACTGGGCCAGTTTTACCAGTCAGTCAAATTTGTCATTAAAATTTAACGAGCGCTTTCTTTGGTAAAGACAAAGCGAAAGCTTGTTATCCTGCTTGATTATCCACTAGATTTTTCTGAAGTTATACGGACACAATACCATGGTTCTTAACGATATTGATCCGTCTCTTGAATTTGGCAGACTTAATCAATGGTGAAGTAACACTATTGCCATTTAATTTGCCACCAATATATTTGAAAAGGTTTAGTGAAATGAAAATTAATTTCAATAACTGTGACGCCGTATGATGAAAGCCAACTGAAGGCATAGGATCCTAGCGGTCGCGAACTAGTCTATACTTTAGAACCGAGGAGCACATACCGTTGGACACTCTATTGGCTGATTATTACAATAGTTACACCTGCTATTGTTTTTCGGCACTCGTCAAGCGGATTTCGATATACGCCTTTCTTTTAAAACGAGTAGGTCCTTTCTCGGTTTAGGCCGCGTCGCTCTAATTTTATCCAGCTACCAACCAGGTTTGTGGCGTGAAAATTTAATGCACAAACTTGGTCTCGCGCTGCCACTCTTGTCGAGTGTATGATGGACGCACTCACGCCAACTTCCCCATCAGCATCAACAACGGCTGTTTCTTCAAAACCATCTTTTTCAGGTGGTTCCCTAGCTACCAAGAAACCCGCTTAGCCGCGCTTGTAGGCTATTGACGGCCAGCAAAGCATTTCCTCGCAGCCGTGACGAGGGGCCTGGCTTCGTCTAGGCCAAAAAGATCGTGTGAGTTTTCGAGCGCACATAGTGCTATAGTGTTGCTACAGTACAGAACACATGTGATCGGCCTAGGGCCTGTTTGGCTTTGGATACAGTACGCACTCACTTTCTCACACACACGCTATTCGAATATGGCAACCCGTACACCGCTCTTCTGAACCTCCTGACATTCCTCATGTGCGCCGTCACTCACCCACTGGGTGGCGTTAGAAGGCTCTCCTTCTTAAGGTGCGGAGAGGCGGCGCGCGGATGAACTGACCACCGTGCTCGATTAAGCGGACGAGGTATCCCAGTGGCCACAACGGACATCGCTGTTGACGGCCACCGTCCGTCTTGGATACCAAACGGGCTACTATAGAGAGACCTCATTTCTAAATCTGGATTGCGGCACCAACAGATAGTGGGAAGGCCGGGAGCGTTCGTTCGCCCGCACCTTCATCAAATGCTTGCTATAAAGTTCCTCCAGATTCTCTGGCCCAACGTATCTAGACAGAGGCTAGAGGCGTACTCGTTCCCCTAGAGAAGATCGGGTGAGCCCAAGCGAAACTGTGCTGGTGCCAAAGTCCATCTAATCGTCGAGATTCGCGCCAGCCGGCATTCAGTCCTTAACATCGAGATATTTAGGCCTTCGTTTTTAGTTTGAAATGATCTCAACAAAAAGGAGAACCGCTGCCCTGCGCAGTAATCTATTCGTCATCCGCACCACACCAATGTATATGTGTATAAACGTGCCAATCTGTCCTAAATTGTAGCGCAATTAGATTGTGGTTCGGATGCTTCTGGTAACAGTGTTTATTCTTACTTGGTATAAATCGATGTGCAGCATTACCAGCCAGCTTTCTTTTTTCCTTTTAAATGCCTAAACTGTCTTGGGTGTAATAGATGAGGCGTTTATATCCAGCCCTGTACATAGCCTGCTAACTGGGACTACAAGAAAGCGACCGAATTCGTAACTCACCTAATGAGGGTGATAGCGTTCAGTTAATTAATTCCAGTTGTGCTTTAGCTTCAAATCTGTCTATCACACTCCTCAGTGCCCGCTTTCCTCTCGCGCTTAGGGGTTCTAGTTCCCCTTCATTTTTCCTTCGACTATCATACACCCCCCACATTTCTCTACGTACCACCCTCCCCCCGTTTTGCTTCTGCGCGCTCTTCGATGACGCATAGGCGGAAGGTGATCAGTAAACGTTTCTGTCATTGATGCAGAACAAAGAACACACGTTTGTCGTCTTCTCAGCGAATGAACAAAAAGATCTGAACGGCACTTTCGTGCCTTAAAGGATTTTAGGAAAATCATTTGATCTTGATTTAAATAACCTCACTTTTCTGAGAAGACTTATCTTTGCAATTGTCAATTCTATATAGCTGTTCGTGAGTGCATACGGAGCTCCGTGGATAACGAAATAACCTTCGAGGAATTCTTAGGATAGGATTAGGTAGAAATTAGTCCTTAACCTCTCCCTCAAATCTGCTCTTCACGGATATTTCAAATCAGTATCTACTACGTTATTGTCATTTGGTCCTATCAGCGGTCGTTGTAATTATAAAAATAGGCAGGTACACACTCCTAACTAACCTGTTACATCTGTATATCCATGACTGTCTTGACTTCCCTAATTCCGCTGGCAACCTTGGTTCTGTCGCGCCTAGAAACACTTCCAAGCCTTGACGACAACAACAACAACAACAACAGCAACAGCGACAACAAGAAGAATCAGAAGTGAGTTTGTAGGAAGGAATAATGAACAGCGACATACGTGTCTGATCATAACGATGTCAACAGAGTTAGCGGTACCGTGATTGTTACCATCGGTCTCACTTTTGCCAAAGTTATCTCGATGCCTCCTTCTCTAGATCTTCTTCTTCTCTATCTGTTCCTTGAGTTGCCTCTGCTGTTACAGCATAAACCGCTGGCAACGTAAAATCATTCAAATAACTCATCTATTTGAAGACAAAGATCGGTCAGTTACGCTGCTGCTGCTGGTGGGGGGTGATGTAACCGTCATGGCCTGTGACAATGCGAAGGACAAGCGTCAGCGATCAATGGTATCGTATTGATTTGGATATAGCGTTGTGTTGCCGCTACTGAAGTGCTGATGTACGGCGGTAACAGTCGCGTTCGTGTTGATATAGTGATGTGATTATCCGTACTGCAATCATTCTTATCGCTGAGTGTTCTCACGTGGCTCGTTCGTCCCGTATCGTTATCGTTAGACGTTTAGAGACGGACGGTCGGTTGGGTAAATAACATTGTTGTCAATTTACTTATTTACTCATTCTAGTTGTGCGTCAGAAACGCTGAAAGTATCAGGTTGAAGAAAGCCGCGTATGTACATTTAAGCGCATATTTACTGGCTCAGCATCGTCTGAAGGCGCGCTCGAAGAAGCAAATCTGAGATTTACGAATGGACCGTGATAACGACCCTTCGACAATGTCAGCATATGCGGCATAAACAGTAGCAATTTTCTAATATATCATTTAATCTTTTCGACAAGGACTATTTTCAATAGTCGTTACTTGTGTCGGGGCAGCTTGTCCAGCTCTGGCCTTAGAGCTACCATCTAGTCAGGTAATGTACTGCTGAGCGACCATTGCCGTAGCTTGTGTCCTGAACAGCGCAGACGGCATCATGTCCTTGCTTCGTTCGCTTACAACAAACTGCAACAAAGTACACTTTATACGATTCAAGTCAGATGGCCGGTTGTACGAATCCATGTCGAATATCCAATTTGTACACCTGCGTAAATTGCAGTATTATACACCTGTTACACTCAGGCAGTCAATATTCTCATTGGGAGCCCTCCCCATCCCTTAATTATTCGCTCTATCTACGTGAGAGACAGCTCACTTTCGTTAATTATATCTTCGTTCGTTATCTAACTAAGACTTGTGTCCATCTACCACTCGTTAATCAGCTGTCGATAGGCACTCCAGCCTCGACCGCATCAAGGCCTTCCCTTCTGTCCACCTCCGACGTGTAGCGGGACCGCCACATTGCGAAGTGGAAGCAAGTCGCTTGTTGTTTCTGCTAACAATCGTATCAGAAAGGGTGTGGAGTTATTACAATAGCTCCCGTGAATTGGTTAAATCAATATACTTACCTATGTGTTCCTGACAAGAATTATCTATTGATTTTGAATGCGGTTACACTACTGGAAATTCAATTATCGCGCATCAGGACCGCCCCCGTCAGCACTCCACATCACGACACCGTCCCAGACAACATAGTTCGCAGTTATGTGATAGTTCCAGGACAATTGTCAATTTCCCAAATATTTTAAGAGATAGCAAGTAAAATCCCGAAAACCCAAGTTTATTCGATGAAACTGGTCACTTAGCGGATATATGCTAAGGGGACAGAATCAAGCTTTTTTTTTTATTTTATTCGCGTCCCTTTTCACGGTAAATATCGGCTTCTTATGTTGGACCGCTCGTGGATATCAATTGATACTGCTTTACCGCGAAGAAATAATTCACTTGTGATAATGCTCAGAATGATCGAACTTTGTCATTTCGTCCACATGACACTCTTCTTGTTATCAATACATTGTCACGCTATTGATCTACCTTGGCCTCTTTCTCGCTCCTTCTTTTACGCAGGGACGCCGCGTCGCCGAAAGTTTGTAGGTCATCATCGAGGCAAGTTGGGATCCAGTGATGTCCGCTTCCGAAAGAAACCTTCATCTTTTTGAAATCGAAGCTTATTATAAGCCATCAACGACGAACCGCCTGTCTTCATGTACCTCCAATATATTCGTATACATTCATCATACACGCTCATGTGTTTCGCATGGATGAGGTTTAGCTGAGGTTGTGCACTACAGGCCCAAAGGACTTTCGTTAACTATATCGACCCCGTCCCTTTTTTATGGCCATGTAGGACAGATTCAAATAGCCATAGACGTGTCTCTACCGGAGATAGGTGAGCCCTGAAACGAAACACTGGTGACAACGACAACAGAGGGCGGGAGGTGGAGGTCCCTACACACTGGCACCACTAGTAGAAGTAGCAGCAGCGCTATTAGAAATCTGATGTAGCTGAACCATCCTATCAGCCGAAAAACCTGTGAATCAGCAGACTAGTAACTAGCTGGCTGGCTGGCTGGCTGGCTGGCAATCAACGGGCCGATGGGCGTGAGACCACGGGGCCTTTGTAGCAATGTAGAACAGCAGGACGTTTGACAGCGGCAGCAGTGTTTGGGCGTAGACAGGGTTTAATCATCCCTAGAGAAGATGCTGTCATACTGAATTGAGGCTTAGCACAATTCTCATATCTGCTTCGTAAAAGACGAGCAGCTCAAGACTCCCTAACATTTTCGCTGCCAATATCCATGTTGTGGAAGGAGTGATGTGATAATAAACACCGGTGGAAACGTGAAGTACTCGTAGACCTTGGTCTTTGTATACCTATGCGTGTTAATCGTACCGAGTCGCCATTTTGTATTGACTTGTGTGAAACAGAGGTCGTCCACGAGCAGGCTTATATTATGCATCAATGATGGCAGTACTGCATTACTTCCAATAAGATAGTACGTTCACAAGCCTCGTAAAAACGAAGCGGGTTTATCCTCAAATGTTAGTTATTGCCTATGGCAGATTTGAGAAGCGGCATCGAAAATGCTGTTAAATTTTTTCTTATGGCGTGAAGGGGATATTTTCACGTACCCCTCAGTCAATTAGCGTTAGCTCTCAGGTGTTCAACCGTCGGATTATTGCTTTCATCAGCAGCCACGGTACGAAACTTCGATTGCACACGAATGGAAGCTAATTTTGAGGCTTCGCAGCAGCTATTTTCATTGATTTTATGACCTCGTTGATGTCTACTAGACAAGACGAAGCTTGTTTGATTACTCCCTTTTGACCTCGTCCCCTCTTATCAACGCCAGTCGATAATAGCAACGTATTTGGCGACGCTGGTGCTGAGGTGAACGTATAAAAGAGACAGTATAAACAATTACATCGTACTGCTGTGCCATCACATCCTAGCCTTAACTATTTACCGCATACGTATGTGAAAGTTGTGGATACTAAAATATTGATTCGTTTACACAGATACAGACATGCACATAAGTAGACTGTGACCACGCACAATGGCCGTGCGGTGTGGAGGTGTCGTGCACTAGAGCTATGAGAACGTGATATGTAGCGACCCTTTGAAAAGCGGCTTTGGAAGAATGACGCTTTAGCATGGCGGCAGACATCTGTGACCGTTGAGCTCGATTAACGGATGTGTTTTGTGCAATAGATGATTAGCTAACTGCTTAGTTAGTTGTTATACGATGTACACAGGCGTTTCATGCACCTTACGATTCAGCAGGTGGCACACCGGCCGCCATTGCTCAGTCAGTCAAGCTCGTCAACATCTGAGAGGGGCCGGTCCCACAAAGGATCAAAAGACGAACACGTTTTCGTTGCTTGTGCAAAAAGAAGCCGCCACCGCCACTGCCTCTTCCATTCGTTATTCTTGTTTATGTTCCTCGTGTGTTTGTAGAGAAGGTGTTTGCTTGTCTTGGCGGTCTAAGATACATCCCGGCCTGCTCGTGTGCTGGGCTCTTATAGATAGACTGTGCTGGATGCGC